TGTGGCCTATGATGCTAGCATTTCTTGTGGATACCAGTTTGTGTCCTGGATGCTTCATTTCCAGTCCAGCTGCTTGCTAATGGTCTAGGAAAAACAACAGAAGTTGACTCAAGTCCTTGAGTCCCTGCCATCCATGTTGGAGACTGGATGAAGCTTCTGGCTCCTGATTTCAAGCTGGTTCAACCTGGTCATCATGGCCATTTGGGAAGTGAGCGAGTGGATAGGAGATCTCGCCCTCTTTCTTTGTAACTATTTATTTATTTTTATTGGAAAGGCAGATTTACAGAGAGAAGGAGTGACAGAAAGGCCTTCCATCTGCTTGTTCACTCCCCAAATGGCTGCAGCAGCTGAAGCTGAGCCAATCTGAAGCCAGGAGCTTCTGCTGGGTCTCCTGCGCAGGTTTAGGGTCCCAAGGCTTTGGGCTGTCCTCGACTGCTTTCCCAGGCCACAAGCAGGGAACTGGATGGGAAATGGAACAGTTGGGAAATGAACTAGTATCTGTATGGGATCCCAGTGGTTGCAAGGCAAGGGTTCAGCCACTAGGCCATTGTGCTGGGCCCAACACAGTCTTAAAAAGAAATAAAAACATGAAAGAAGCACTAGTACTTTAAAACAAAATAAAGAGTTGTGCCTGAAAGTACCATTTGGCCCAACAGTCCTCCTGGATCTCTCCTTAAAACATTGGGAAGTGCCGTTTTGAAAAGATGTTTATACAGCCACCCATGTTTATAGCAGCGTGGTTAGCCAAAGGTGGAAGCAATCTAGACTGTGTTTGAGCCGAACGTTAGTATATTATTGAGCTTTCAAAAGGAAGGAGGTTCTGACACCTGCTCCAGTACAGATGAAGCTTGAATGTGTGAAGTACTGAATGAGCCAATCACAAAAAGACACATGGGACAGTTCTCTGGTTTGACTTACCTAGAGTCAGAGAGACAGAAAATAGAGCGGGCTGCTGGCTGGGAGGGAGGGAGAGGCAGGGAGTGATACTGTTTCGGGCATTTGTGGTTTTAGCTTGGGAAGAGGGGCGTTCTGGAGATGGATGGATGGTTGGTGGTACAACAGCACAGCCATGCCCAGTGCCACTGCCCGGTGCCCTGAAAGTGTGAGCCTTAGCGCAGCGAGAAGTGAGAGTGGTGGGGGAGGGGCTCCCAGAACTGAACCCATAACCTTTCCTTCTGTTTGTGAAACTGGTGTGGGAGTGGGGGAAGTGCCAGCAGGTTTGGCTGAAATGTGTCCCCGGGGAGAATGTGTTATGCATGTTGGCTTCTGGAACCCCACATATCCTGAGTCTTCCAGACACTGAGTGGGTCAGGGGTGTGTGGCCCCCTCGGTGGTTGTCCCCTGGTCGGTGGCAGGCTGAGAGAGAGCTGTACAGGCAGTTCCCTCCACCCCTTATTACGCAGTGGAAAATTATGGGAAGGTTCATGGTCATCCCATACTTACCCAGTCTGATACTTTGAGCAGAAAATATTGCTTGTGTGACATTAGAAGAGAGCCCAGGGCAGTGTGTGTGTGGGGGACTAGACATATTGAGGGCCAGGAGTGCTGATGAGGTGTGGGCAGCGGTCCTGTGCTGCGGGTGGGGCGAGTCCACTGGTATAGCCACTCTGTGGGGCTCCCTTTAAGCCGAAAGCCAGTTGTGCCCTCTGACCCATCAACACCACTTTCTTTCTCCAGAGAGACCCTTGCCGGGAGAGGTGTGTGGGTATCCAGAGCCATGACACCAGGGTATTGTTCCATGTTGCATGGCTGCTTGCTGCCAGAGACCAGGAGCTGAAGGTCCAGCTATGGGGTGGGGGTAATTCAGTGAGTTGTACGCCCATGGCATGGACAAAGTGTGTGCTGCAGGGAGTAAATTCTGATGCCATCACGGGGACCCTGGCATAGTCTGGCTTGAATGAGATCACTTTTTTTCCTTATGGGACAGCCCAGAGGGAGGTGTGGTCTGGGTTCCTCCATTGCTGCATAAAACAGCGGCCAGTGCTGAATGCTCGTGGGCGCTGGGGTCGGGGCTCTGCCACTGTAGAGGATGTCTGTGGCTGAAGCTGGAGTCCTTTGGTAGTTTTTTGGTGCACACATCTGGTGTCTGCACTGACATGACAGGGAGAGGTGTGTCATTGGGACTGCTCATTGGAGGGCCCACACGGGACGCTTTCCTGTACAGCCTGGAAACCTCCGGGTAGTTGGACTTCCCACTGCAGGAGGCCGAAGGTGCGTGGCCTGCTGTGACTTCTGTGTGCTGTGACCTTTCCCGTCCTGCACGGGTCAGGAGCCTCCCTGGAGCCAAGGAAGGAGCAGAGACCTCGCCTGTCGGTGTGCTAAAGGAGAGGTGGCAGATTGGGAGCGCCTCCCCAGTGGGAAGCTCTGCTACTTTAGTCATGACACTGTGCCTAGCTGCAAGGGTGGCTGGGAGGTGTCGTATGGAGGGGGTGACTGAGGAGTAGCTTGGCAGAGTCCTGTTCCTGCAAGGAAGCAAAGAAAAATAAGATTTAGGGCCCATTGCGTTTGCAAACAGGATATATATATATGTGTGTGTGTGTGTGTGTGTAGAGTATGGAGGTTATCAGTGCAGGGGACGCAGGCTAGGATGGCCTGGGGGTCTGTTGCGCAGTGTGGTGCCTGTAGTTAGCGTTGCTGTACTTGGAGTGTGTGTCTTCTGTTAAATGTTCTTATCACACAAAGGAGGGTAGAAGGAAGAATCCTGTGGTGGGTGAAGATAGGTTTCTGGTGTAGGTTATGTTAACGGTGGCATGAGTAGGAACTTCAAACCCACCATTTCAACTGCTCATTAAGTATATACAGTATTATATATATATATATATATATATATATATTTTAAGATTTTATTTTATTTTTATTAGAAGGGTCAATATGCAGAGAGGAGAGACAGAGAGGAAGATCTTCCCTCCGATGATTCACTCCCCAAGTGAGCGCAACGGCCGATGCTATGCATAGTCCAGGAGACTCTTCCAGGTCTCCCACGTGGGTGCAGGGTCCCAAAGCTTTGGGCCGTCCTCCACTGCTTTCCCAGGCCACAGGCAGGGAGCTGGATGGGAAGCAGGGCCGCCGGGATTAGAACCGGCGCCCATATGGGATCCTGGGCGTGCAAGGCGAGGACCTTAACCACTGTGCCATCATGCCCGGCCCTACCGTATAATATATTAAATGTAATTAAGTATATACAGCTTTTTGTATACTGATGTTTGGTACATCGGTTATACCTCAATAAGGTTTTCTTTTTTACAAAGAAAAAAATCTGTCTTTGTTATTTGAATGGCAGAGTTGGAGAGTTAGGTTTTCCATCTGCTGATTCAGTTCCCAAATGGCCCCAACGGCCGGAGCTTGGCTAATCTGAAGCCAGGAGCCAGGAGTTTAGAACGTCTTCCAGGTCTCCCACGTGGGTGTTTGGGCCCAAGCACCCATGCCATTTCCCAGATGCTTTAGCAGGGAACTGGAGTGGAAGGGGAGCAGCTGGGGCTCAGTTGGCACTTGTATGGGTTGCCCAGTGCTACAGTGGGGGCGTAGCTGGCTCCATTTGTGTGGCTGTTTGGTGTCAGTGCCTTAAGTTTACTTTTGTGGTGAAGTAAGATACATTGAATACAGTCTGAAAGAATATGTAGAAGGGAGTCCAGAAGAGTGATTGGTAACAGTAATTACTTCTGGGGAGTGGGGAGAAGGCAGGATGGGGTTTGGGAGGTTACATGAGGGTACACCCAAAGGTTGGAGAGAATGGTTTTGCAGTGCGGTGAGTTACCTGCTACCTGACTCCCAGGGCTTTGTGTAGAGAGTGGATAGCAGCACAGTGGGGTAAACCACCCCTGGGGAGTGTTTGCTTGGAGTCCGGGCCCACTGTGGGTTTGGCTTCTTGCTAATTTGCATCCCGGGAAGCAGCAGGTGGTGGCTCAAGGGTTTGGGTCCCTGCTGGCCATTTGAGAGACTGAGCTGGAGCCGAGGCGCCTGGCTTTGGCCTGGCTCATGTGTGGCTGGTGTGGCCTTTTGTGGACGCAGGTAGGAGAGTCTCTCTCTGTCAGTGTGTATTTCAAATTAAACAAGTACAACTTAGAAAACCAACTAGCTGATCTGTGATAGAATTTCACGCTACGTCCTTGTGAAGTGTAGCTGTCGCACTCAATTTTTTTTAGCAGAAAACACTTTCCTTTTCATTCCATTTTCCACAAACTTCTTCAGGTCCTCTCGGAATGAAAGCTAACTTGGGCTGAAGCCATACTGTTTTAATTTTTAACAAGGATGATGTCTTCACATTTTGCCTGTGACATTAAATATTCAAACTGGGCCCGGCGAGCACCTGGCAGCTGGGATTGGATCTCCCTGCTCGGGCCTGGTGCCCTCAAGGGCCAGGCCGAGGTGTCGACCCTTTCTCTCTCCTGGGCCTTCTGAGGGCAGAGGCTGCCATCGGTCAAGGTTCCCTCTTTCCCTGTCCTCCCCATGCATTCTGGAAAGTTCTCTGAATACCCATCAGATCTTTGTTGACCATAGAGGGCTTTTTGGTCCTGAAGAATTCAGAAGTGATTAAAACACAGCCTCCCGGACAGATCCTTTTAGTTACAAATGGAAACTTGATTGTTGCTGAGAGCTGAAGGAGCCAGATGGATGCCTTTACCAAGTCAGCATCACTGGCACCAAATCCCACTCGGTGCCCGCAGACAGGAGGTGCTGTGGCTGTGGCTTCTTCTGTATGTAAGCCCCATCCTGGCGCCTTGGGGTGCAGACTTCAGTTCTGTCCAAACCCTGCAGTCTGTCGGTTGGGTGTACCCATAGGAAGGAATGGAAGCTAATGGGAGAAGTGGCCGTTGCTGGTCATACTGGCTTGCCTGACGTCAGGCCACGTCCTCAGTAGCTGGATTGTTCTCTGTGCCTCACCGTGGGCTCTGTTCGACCTGCCACCCCCCCGCCCCCGGACTTCCCACAACAGTCCGTGAAGAGTAACCAGTTCTTGCTCTCTCCCCGTCCCCACCCCATGTCTGCTCCTCCGGGCGCAGGAGACTCACCGGGTCTACCGGCAGAAGCTGGAGGAGCTGACGGCTCTGCAGGCCTCCTGCAGTGGCTCCATTAGCAAGCAGAAGAAGCGCCTCAAGGACCTGAAGCACACCCTGCAGAGGTAGGTGGGGCCGCACCTGAGGCGCCTGCTGAAGCCCAGGATGGAAATCCCAGTGGGGGGGGCCAGTGGGGCGGTCGGAGTTCCCTTCAGGTGTCCTTGGATCTCAAGGTCATAGCGTGTTTTTAGGAATCTGGTTACTGCCTCCCCCAGGACTGTGTTCCTCTCAGCTGCTGCCCCCCTCCTTTCCCTCCCCACCCCAGATGGCCATCAGTAGTGTTGGGGTTGATTCCTCATCCTTACAGCCTGTGGCCTGGCTAACTGAGCACGGGAGCATTTCTGCTGTCCGTTCCTGTAGCCGAAATCCTGGGTGTGGTCCTCACTGTCTGGTCACGTGCCCATCTGTGAGCCAGTCCCTGAGACCCTGTGTGGATGGGGCCATGTCATGAGCTGTCAGTAGCCCTTGGGTGGGGGGGAGAAGGGGAGAGGATGATAAGGGGTTTTCTGGGTGCTGCTGCCTTGCTGGCCAGGGAAACAGAAGATGGCCAGGGGACATGGGGGACTCTCCCAGTTCGGTACGCCTGGTGGAGACAGACTCGAGCTGGTGAATTAGTTCAGTTCCTGAGTTCCTCCTTCCTCTTGTCTGGTCTGGGAAGGCATCATCCTTCATGGGAAGACGGGAGATACCCTGTTGGGTTCCTTGTCATAGACTAGGGAGTGTGGGTGGCTGCCTGTGAACACAGCACTGTTCTTGAGAAAAACACATCTTCTTGATGTCAGGCCACAGGCTGCCTGTGCCTGCCAGTCGGGGGAGGTTGCCCCCCTGCACTGTGGAGGCCTTGTCGGATAGTTAGGGGTGGTCTGTGGTTGGTTTGTGAGCTAAGACCCCACCTTGTGGAATAACCAGAACATCTCCCGACCCTGGCCCTTGGCCCCCGTTGAAAAGCACCCAGCTGCAAGATTGGCCTGAGAGAGGGGGCTAGACAAAGGAAGGATCCCTCCCGTTCCAGGGTCCCAGGGGTCTCATGTTTTTCTGGTATTGAGTCAGTATCACCAAAGAGTAATCCTCCGACTTCAACAAGTGGCTGCTTGTGTTAGCTGGGTTTCTTGGCCCTGTCAACAGTTCTCGGCTTATTCCTTTCGTGGTAGCAAGAAGAAATATAGTTGAACCAGTTGGCATGGGTCGTCGACGTTCTAGGTGCTGTACACTGTGCCTGCCTGAGAGATCAGGTGGGATGATGTTGCTGCCGTTTTCAGGTTTGGAAGACAAGCCGAAGGTCAGCTGGCTGTCAGGGGCCAGCACCACCCTCTGAGGGACAGACACGGGGCAAGGGGGCAGGGCCCAGGGCACCTGGATCCTTGAGCCATCTGAGCCATTGTGTCTGCTCCTCTGACTCCAGGTACAAGCACCATGCCAGTCAGGAGGAGGCGCAGCTGGTCCAGCAGATGAGTGCCAACATCAAGGAGAGACAGAATGTCTTCTTCGACATGGAGGCCTACCTGCCCAAGAAGAACGGGTGAGATCCCTAAGCCCCGGCCCTCCCAGCTCCCTGCAGGGGCTTGAGGGAGAGCTAGAGTGGGCAGGGGGTGGGCAGGGCAGAGAGAGGGAAGAGGAGAGCGCGGCAGGAAGAAAGGAGAGGCCGTGTCCCCGCCGGCTCTTCCCTGAGCCCTGGAGGAGACCTCATTTTCTACCAGGTGGCATTGACGTTCTCAGGAGGGCTTGTGAGGAACTGGCCCCTGCCACCCGCGTGTGGGGTCTCAAGAGAGAAGGTGTTGTCCCATGGCTGGGTGACAGCTGGGTGCCCAGCCATGATGTCCTCTGTTTTATCAGCACAGAGCTGCTGTGAGAAGTCCTGGTCAGGGTGACTCAGGCCAGAATGGGTCCAGCTCTGCCTCCCGAGCCTGTGCTGCTGGTCTTCTCCCTTGAGGAGTCCCTGCCTGCCCCTGGTGCCCTGCTCTGGATACAGCTCCTCCCAGCCATGTTTCCTTGTCGGGCCTGGCTTTCAGTCCGAGGCACCACCATGAATGGGACAGAGGAGTGTTAACAGCCCTGTTATATATGTAATAGAATTATTTATTTGAACAGTATGGTTAGAGAGAGAAGGAGAGATGGAGAGATCTTCCATCTGCTGATTAACTCCTGAAATAGCTGCCATGCATAGGGCTGGACCAGGCCAAAGCCCCAGGATCTCGGAGCTTCTTTGTGTCTCCCACATAGATGCAGGACCCCAAGCACTTGAGCCATCGTTAGTTGCTTTCCCAGGCACATTAGTAGGGAGCTGGAAGGGAAATGGAGCAGGCAGGACGTGAACTGGTACCCATTTGGGTTGCTGGTGTCCTGGGTGGCAGTCCTGTCTGTCAGCCCACAGCATCGGCCCAGCTCTATTGTATTTTGACCCATTTGTCCTGGTTTCTCCCTTTTTGCTGTTGGACTGCAGCCGCTGAGCAGGGAGGGATGCAGCACTGTCACAAGTCCCAGTGTCAGGGTGAGGGGGCCAGGAGTGGGGGGCTCCAGAGCTTCCCTGGGGGCTCACAGTCCTGCCATCTGACTCTCCCCCAGCCTACCTTTCCGGGGAACGCTGTCATCTAGACCAAAATGCTTTCTACCTCTAGGTTCTCGGGGAGGGGAGTGAGCCTGGGACAAATTCCCCCGCCCCACCCCCACCCCCTTTTGAAGATTTAGTTATTTTATTTGAAAGATTTATACACACACACTGAAGGGGAGTTAGAGAGATCTTTCTTCTGCTGGTTCACTTCCCAATGGTCGCAACAGCCAGAACTGTGCCAGTCTAAAGCTGAGAGCCAGGAGATTCTGCTTTCCCAGGTACGTCAGTAGAAAACTGGGTCATAAGTGGAGCAGCTGGGTCTCGCACAAGTGCCCGTATGGCATGTTGGCATCATGGCTTCATGTGTTAGGCCACAAAGCTGACTCTGCTCCCTACCATTTCTGCAAAGGGGTTTGCTTATTTACTCATTTATAAAAGGAGAGAGAGAGAGAGAGAGATTTTTCCATGCACTAGTTCACTTCTCAGAGGACCATAAAATACAGGCTTGGGCCAGGCTGTAGCCAAGAACCTGTCATTCTTACATGGGTCTCCTCTCTGAGTGGCAGGAACCCAGGGACTTGGGGCATTGTTTGTTGCTTCCCATGTGCACTAGTGGGGAGTTGAATTGGCAGCAGGGCAGCCAGGGCTCACAGTGACTATTCTGATGTGGGATGCTGGTGTCACAAATGGCAGCTTAGCCTGGAGCCCCAAGCAATTTCCTTTTTACAAAAACTGCCACTTCCTAGGGAAGCTGTGTGCCGATGCTGGCTAGGCCAGGATTCAGAACCTCTCTCCTGGGTGCATGCCCAGGGCAGGGCATGCCAGTCCTGCCAGAGATGCAGAGCGCTCAGAGCAGAGGGAGCTGGCCCAGAAGGCCTCGGAATGGATGATGGGTATTGTCTACAGAGGGATCTGTGCAGACCAAACTGCTGTTGCCAAGGGCTGGGTGGGTGGAGGGATAATGGGGCGTGACCACTGCTGGCTTGGGAATGTTTTGGAGTTAGATCATGGTGATGATTGCACAACACTGTAAATACACGAAAGTCATTATGTCGTGTGTGAATTATGTCTCGATTGGAAACAGGACTGAAGCCCGTGAGAGCCTGGAAGGGAGCAGGGCGGAGGCAGCGACCAGTGTTGCGTGGCCTCACTTGTGGGTGTGAGATCAAACTGGGGAAGCAGAGTGGATGGATGGCCAGCCAGGGCAGGTGCAGGGGAAGCAGGAGGTGGCAGTCAGAGGAAAGAGAAGGTGCAGTGTGAGAACAGTCATCAGAAAGCTCACGGTGAAAAAATCATAAAGGCAGCTCCAGAAAGTTCATGCATAATGTCTGTTAGGGGAGTCAGCACTGTGGTGGAGTGGGTTAAGCTGCCATCTGAAGCACCGGCATTTTCTGTCTCTTGTTTTCTTTTTTCTTTGTCATTTGCTCTTTCTGTAACTCTGCCTTTCGAACACATAAACAAAGAAAATTTTAAGGTTAACATATATATATATATATTTTTAATTTTTATTTATTTTTATTGGAAAGGAAGATATATAGAGAGGAGGAGAGACAAAGAGGAACATCTTCCATCTAATGGTTCACTCCCCAAGCAGCCACAATGGCTGCAGCTGGACCAGTCTGAAGCCAGGAGCCAGGAGTGGGTGCAGGGTCCCAAGGCTTTGGGCTGTCCTTTGCTGCTTTCCCAGGTTACAAGCAGGGAGCTGGATGGAAAGCGGGGCTGCTGGGATTATAACCAGCGCCCATATGGGATCCCGGTGCGTTCAAGGCGAGGACTTTAACTGCTACGCTATCGCGCTGGGTCCCCCCCCCCAAATTTTTTAATTATTTAAAAAAAAAATTATTGGGATCCAGGTACGAGACTACGCACTGTGTACTTTTATGTGAAGCTCAAGCATGGTGGAGGTTGTGCAGCAGGCTAAGCATCTGCTTGCAGAACCAGCACCCCCGCATCGCAGTAGTAGGTAGGGTTTTACCTGCTTCACCCCGGATCCATCTCCCTGCTACTATACCTGGGAAAGAGCAGGTGATGCCCAAGTTCCTGGGCCCTGCTCCCGAGGTGGGAGACCAGATGGAGTCTCTGGCTTCTGGCTTCAGCTTGTTCCTGCCCTGGCTATCGCAGCCGTTTGTGGGAATGAACTAGCAGATGGAAGGTTACTCTTTGTGTTTCTCTACATTTCGAAGGAGCAAATCTTCCCGTTCCTCCCCTCAAAAATAGACCATATTCAGTCCAAAGATAGAAGACCAGGCAGTGGTGCCCTTGATGAACGGTAGTGGCTTGGGCAGGGGTCCACAGGAGCCCTCCTAAGGCTGCACATATTTCTTTCTTTGATCTAGGTGTTGGTGAACAGTGTAAATATGTGAGCATTCGTGTGTGTTTTCAGATTTATTTGTTTGGAAGAGTTGCAGAGATAAAGAGGAGAGAATGGGACTGGCCCAATGGCTCAATTGGCTAATCACCTGCACGTGAGCATCAGCATCCCTTAGGAGCACTGGTTCATATCCTGGCTGTTCAGCTTCCCATCCAGCTCCCTGCTTGTGGCCTGGGAAAGCGGTGGAGGATAGCCCAAAGCCTTGGGACCCTGACCCGTGTGGGAGACCCGGAAGAAGCTCCTGGCTCCTGGCTTTAGATTGCCTTGTGTCTGGCTGTTTTGGCCATTTGGAAAATGACCCAGTGAATGGAGGACCTTTTTGTCTCTCCTTCTCTCTGTAAATTTGCCTTTCCAATTAAAGTAAATCTTAGAGAATAAATCTCCTATCTCTGGTTTGCTCCCCCAAACGGCCACAACAAGCAGATCAGGACCAGACTGAATCTGGGGGTCTGGAGCGCCGTCCGGGTCTCCCTCTGTGGGTGCAGGGGCTCAAGCACTCAGGCTGTCTTCCTGTGCTTTCCTTGGCACATTGGCAGGGAGCTGGATGGGAAGTGGAGCATCTGGAACTTGAACTGGTGCTCATATGGGATCCTGGCATTGCAGGTGCAGGCTTTAAATTCATGTATTATACTTGAGGCATGTGTAGTAGTGAATGTTCTGGCTTCATTTTAAAGAGTCCTGTTTAAATAACCTGGTACCTAAGGCTTCAGGTCACTGCAAGGGAGGCCGGGCAGTGTGATCTCCAGGCTGACCCAGGTGCTGTGGCCCTGCGGGCTGGCTGGCTGAGCTCGGCCTCTCAGGTCCAGCGCTCAGTGTGTGCTCGTCAACCTGGAAGAGTTTCTGGGCAGTGCCTGTGCTCATTGGTCTTTCCTTTCAGGCTGTACTTGAACTTGGTCCTTGGAAATGTGAACGTGACCCTTCTCAGCAACCAGGCCAAGTATGTGTGCCCACGCCTGAGGTGCCCAAGCCTGCAGACTGCCTGCTCTTTCATCGCAGAGGAGCTGGGGCAGCCAGGCTGTGGGTTCTGGTCTTCCTGGGGGTGGGTGATGGCCACATGGGGCAGTTTCCCAACCCTTACACTTGCACTACTTGAGGGAAAAGGGCAGCCTGTTGAGCCTCCTTCTGCCCATGTCTAGATGCAGTCAAACCTTGCTGCTAGAGTTGGCTGAGGGGGTGGGAGGGGACCCTGTGGGTGCCCCTGGCCATCCTCAGCTCTAAGCTGGGAGCTGGCAACGAGGTCAGCACCCATAAAGCCAGGCCGTCCTTGAGCTGGGAGGGATGGACCCCGTGGGGTTGGAGGGCCGAGGGTCTCCCTTCCAGACAGGAGCCGTCACTGCCTGCTCTGGGGTGTCTGTCATGGCAGGTTTGCCTACAAGGACGAGTATGAGAAGTTCAAGCTCTATCTGACCATCATCCTGCTCCTGGGCGCCGTGGCCTGTCGATTTGTCCTGCACTACCGGTAACCAGGGCACTGGGAGTGGGGCTGGGAGAGATCCTCCGGGGGGAAGGGCGGGTCAGGGCATTTGCCAACACCTTCCTTAGCAACGTCCTTCTGAGCTGCGAGTTCAAGGTTCAGCTCTGCCACTCCTGGGCTGTGTGACCTCGAGGATACCTTTGTCCTCTCCCTGCCTGCTCCATCATCCTCCCTCGGACCCCGGGAGCCCTGTTCTGCCTCTGCTGCCCGGTCCTCAGGGGTCTTTGGGAGGCAGCCAGAGCATTTGAAGCTCCCCTCAGGCCAGGATCATCCTATGCACTCTGTGACAGGGGCACGAGGGGGGGTCACAGTTAGACTGGGGCCGGGACCATCAAGTACCTGCCAGTGCTTGCCGGCTGCATCCTCTGGAATGGTGTCCCTTCTCTGAACCTCAGTGGCCTTAGCTGTAAGATGGGAGGCAGTGCTGGCTTAGTTCTCTCTCAGGACAGGCGTTTGGGTACCAGTTGTTTGTGTGGGAGGTGGTCCCCGAGTAACCCGAATGGGGGTGTCAGGCAGGAAGAAGTGATCCTGTGGGCCATGGGAGCACACTGATGCACCATGGGGTAGCACAGGATGTGTCTCAGAGTGACCCTACCGGAAGGGCAAGGGAGCTGGGGTCCTTCTCCTCCACTCAGAAAGTCGAGGGCTATTCCTTCTCCACCCTGCCTCTGGAATGAGCCAGGTGGGCTCTGTTGGCCTGAGACAGCCCCAAGGCACTCCAGGAATGGGGCAGGTTCTGGCACATGGGAGCCAGGCAGCCATGCTGCTTGTGGCCCGTGTAACTGCCCCAGGGGCCAGTCCCTTAGCGTCACTCAGAAGTGTAGCCCGTGGTCTTGGCAGAATGACTGCAGTGGGGCAGCTCTGCAGCAGCCAGCCCTGACCCCGTGTGCTGGAGCAGGCAGGGTTCCTCAGAGGTGTCTGTCCTCGTCCTCAGCAGCTGTGGAGTTACTGCCCTCCAAGGATCAAGTGACGTCATGCATGTGATCGGGTTAAGGATGGGAGAGCCTGAGATGGCCCTGGGTTGTCCAGGAGGACCTGAGGTCATCACAGGGCAAGAGAAGGGCAGAGCTCCAAAGCAGAGGCCACAGGGACCGACGTGGGCTGAGGATGGCTGGAGGCCTCTCCAGAAGCTGCACGAGGCAGGAATCAGATCCGCCCCAGCCCCAAGAGGAGCCTGCCCTTATCCTGTGATAAGCCCTGCCAGGACCCAGGGCTGTAGAGGGGTAAAGGTGTGTGGCTTTGAGCCACATGTGTCCCCTTTGCTGCTCTGGCTGCAGAAGGCTCACACTCCGAGTGAGGTTGGGGCAGGAGCCGGAACCAGGGACTTCGACCCCTGTCTTTGCCAGCGAGAGGCTGGTAGACAATGCCCAGGGCCCGTGACTCACCGCTGGGTCTCCCTGCGGGGAGGAGCTGCAAGTTCACTCCCATGAGTGACGACGCATTCCTGTTGGAGTCCAGAGGACCTTAATGTTGAACCTGTGGCATCCCTGGATTCTGAAGCGGTCAGGGGTCTTGGCAGAGCTCTGAGCTCAACCCCATGTGGTGATGTGGGTCCCCACTGGGCAGGGATGACTCACTCACGTGTGGTGCCCTAGCCGGGGCTTGGTGGGGAATGTAAGGCTGAACTGCTCGTGCTTCCAGACTGCCCTTCACTCCCCCAGCAGAGCAGCCTGGGGCGTGCACCCTCTGTATCTGCTGCTGCGGGGTCTTCTGTTGCTGCTGCTGGTCACATTGCAGTCTCTCCGCCCGCCCCTGACTCTTCTCAGGGCCATTCCAGCTGGGGGCCACCTCCAGGAGTCTGGCAGTGCTTTGGAGGCACTGTCAGTCTCCAGGCCTCTCCCTGAGCCCCTCCAGGAGCTCACACTGGGGACAGAGTGCCAAATCTCCCTCCTCCCGAGCCTTTCTGTCACCATTCTGCTGCCAAAACAGTCACGTGGCCCAGGAAACGGGGAAGGGAGGAAGCTTTGGCTGGGGCTTGGCCTGCGGTGGGGGTTCAAGTGCAAAGTTCAGGGGACCTGGGAAGACCTCCCTGGGGGGCCAGGCTCCCTCAACACTCTGTGGGCTGTCCACAGCCTGTCCAGGTCTCATACCTGCTCCCCCCGTCCTGGGGCTGTTTCTTCTCCTCAGGGTGACGGACGAAGTGTTCAACTTCCTGCTGGTCTGGTACTATTGCACCCTCACCATCCGGGAGAGCATTCTCATCAGCAACGGCTCCAGGTGACCGGGGGCCTGGCACCGTGATGATGCCAGGTGCTGGTGGGAGGCAGACTGGGGAGGGAGCAGGCATGGCTGATGCTGCAGGTGCCATATCGCCTGCTTGGCTGGTCATGTAACACAACACAAAGTCTTTCTAGTCCAAAAACCTGTCCGTTGGTGCTGACTTCAGGTCAGGCTTAATTCAGGCGCCCAGATAGTACCTGGCGTTTCTCCATATCTCCCTCTGCCTTCTGTCAGTCGTCCTCGTTTCCAGGCCCCATGTAGGGCCACCCGACAGTCCCAGGCCTATGTCATCATTTCTGGCATTTCCCCCAAGCACTCCTACTGGGTCCAGGCACTGACCTGGTCACTGTTGCCAGAGTAGTTACTGCTGGAATTGGCCAGGCTTGAGCTTCCCTCCCACCCCCATAGCCTTCCTTCATGGCCTCGAAGCTGAGCCGTGGGTGGGGAATGGCTCCCAGAGGAATCTTGAACAATAGCCAGAAGGATGAGTGGGTCTGGGAGGCGAGAGTGGCCGGGCTGCATGGGCAGATGGCAGGGGAGTGGATGACCATGGCAGCTTGTGGGTCAAACCTACCCTTCAAGGGATGAGGCCCAAGGCTGGGGACTGCCCTCCTTGGGTTGTTCCACGGCCCCCTGTGGATCCAGGCACCATTCAGGTTCCCTTGGCTCTTAGTTGCAGATGTAGAAGCCCTGGATGGTTTTGTGGTCTCCTTCCCACATAGAAGAGACGGGACCCGGTGAGCATGCTGACCAGCCCCTGCAGGCTCTGGGGTCTACAGGAGTGGTTCCTGTTTGGAATTTGTCCATTTGAACCTTGCTGCTGTGCTTCCTGAGGAAGCACCTGCCAAGCTCACCTCTCCCTCTCCAACACATACCACCACCCCACCACCCAACACTCACTCACTGCCTCTCCAACACACACACACACAAACACACACATACTACCACCCCACCACCCAACACTCACTCACTGCCTCTCCAACACACACACATGCTTGCTCACTCACTGCCTCCCTCCTGGGCGCTGAGAAGGCAGGTCAGGAGCTGTGGGCTCAGGACTGGGGTCAGCTGCCAACTCCCAGCTGTGTTGCCACCTTCTGCCTTATTTGCCCGCTGATCTGGCAGGCCAGGTCCCTGTTTGGAGAGCTGGGAGTGAGGACCAGCACTGAGCTGGGGCTGGCCTCTGAAGGCAGTGGGGTCTCTGGGGACACAGCGTTAGCCCGAAGGCCCTTAGGAAGGCTTAGTGTTTCTCAGAGGCAGGCACGGTGGGCATTGTGGGTATTGTGGCCACCTTCAGGTACCACCTGCATGAGATAGCCCCCTGCTTCTAGTCTTCCCCCACTGTCTTCACGCTGAAATGTTTAGAAAGGAAACTGTGTTGAACCACCGTCCATTGGGGGGGGGGGAATCCAGCATCCGTTGCAGGACAGAGTCCTATAAAAACGTGTAAAAGTACCCTCCTGTCTTCATTACGGCAACCATTGGCCCCCTGGGTGATGTCGGTAGGCCTCTGGGTCTCTTTCACTCTCTGGAAAAGGAGGGCTTAGGTGAACTTGAGAGGTGTTGAAGACGTTCTGGCAGTGAACAGACCCTCTCTAACCCCCTCAGGAGAATGGAAAGGGAACCCCAAAGCTGCCTCGTTCTCAGCTTACCCATGGGTACCACTGGAATCCTAACAAAGGGGACGGTGCCCATCCCAGGCTTTGGGAAACACTGATGTGGACACACTTGCCATATAAATCATGGTCTTAGTTTGACCTCATTATATTTTTGTTTTATTTTTTAATTTTATTTTAAATTTTTATTTAAAGGCAGATTTACAAAGAGGAGAGAGAGAAAATTCTTCCACCATTCTCTGGTTCACTCCCCAAATGGCCACAGCAGCTGGAGCCGAGCTGATCCAAAGCCAGGAGCCAGGAGATTCTTCCGGGTCTCCCACATGGGCACAGGATCTTAAAGCCCTGGGCTGTCCTCCACTGCTTCCCCCAGGCCACAGGCAGGGAGCTGGATGGGAAGTGGAGCAGCCGGGACATGAACTGGTGCTTGTATAGGATGCTAGTGCTTGCAGACTGAGGATTAGCTAGTTGAGTCATCACACCAGTCCCAGTTTGTCTAACTTTAGAGAGGATATTCTCTCTGCCTTTGGGTGGCGGTGGAGGAATCCAGATGGTAACACAGTGGGGATGAGTGGCCGGGCAGCGGGCATGTTTCCTGGTTGCTGGTTTTCACTAGGCCACGGGCTTGTGCAACCCTACATCTCCTGTCAATGGTACTCAGGAGTGCTGTGGCCTTGACAGTAGCTTACACATTCGTGAGAGTTCTCCAACCCGCTCCTTCTTCTCATGCCGTGAGCTCTGGGTGACTGGGTCCTAGCAAGAAGGGACAGGAGTGAGCCAGGGTCCCTGTATCCTGAGCGTGGGGCTTACCAGGAGGGCAGATAGATCCTGAAGAGGCGAATATATTCTAAGAGCCACGCCCCAGCTGCCAGATTGATTTTTTTTTTTACTGAATTTTATTATTATTATTTTTTAATATCATTTTATGACACAGTTTCATAGGCTCAGGATTCCCCCAGGAGCATCCCAGCTCTGGTTGTCAAGCTAACAGGTTGTCAGCGGCTTTCCTGAGCCCTGGACAGCAGTGCTGAGCTTGCAGAGCCTCAGCGTGGGGCTGCTCAGCCCTCCTCCAGCTGCCATTCATCTCACACTTAGCAAACACCCCCTGGGGGTCAGACCCTGGCTAGGGGTGTAGGAATAACTCCTACCCAGGGCTTAGAACGATGGCTCAGTTGGCTAATCCTCTGCCTGCCACTGCCAGCATCCTATAATATGTATTGGTTCCTGTCCTGGCTGCTCCACTTCCCATCCCGATTTGTGATCTGGGAACGCAACAGAGGATGGCTCAGACCCTTGAGCCCCGACCCCACGTGGGAAACCCAGAAGCTTCTGGCTTTGAATTGGCTCAGTTTGGCTATTGTGGTTATTTGGGGAGTGAACCAGCAGATGGAAGATCTTTCTCTCTCTCTCTCTCCTTCTGTCTGTAAATCTGCATTTCTTTTTTTTTTTTTTAAGATTTATTTATTTTTATTGTAAAGTCAGATTTGTATACAGAGAGGAGGAGAGACAGAGACAATGACTCACTCTCCAAGTGACCACAACGGCCAGTGTTGTGCCGATCCGAAGCCAGGAGCCCAGATCCTCTTCTAGGTCTCTCATATGGGTGTACATTCCCAAGGCTTTGGGCTGTCCTCGCCTGCTTTTCCAGGCCACAAGCAGGGAGCTGGATGGGAAGGAGCAGCCGGGACTTGAACTGATGCTTATATGCTATGCTGGCGCTGAGGCAGAGGATTAACTGGACACACCACCATGCTGGCTCCACGCACCCAGTGGTTTTTAAACAAGATCTTCTGGTAGAAGATAGGATTGGATGGGGTTTAGGATTAAAGGAGTCCTGATGGTGACAGAGCCCAGGCCTGTCTCCCCGTGCTGGCCTGGGGGTGGGGACTTGGAGTCTGTAAGGACTGCAGGAGCTTGGGGCCAGTAATGGGGGTGGGGGGCAGGGCGGTGGGCTGGAGCTTGTGATTCCTCCTGCACTTGCTCCCTCTCAGAGATGGTTTATCCTGGAGTGCCTGTGCCTTTCCCTCCAGCTTGGCCCCTCTCCAGGCAACAGTGAGGAAGCCGTGCCAAGAAAGCAAGTGAGGAGATGAGGCTGGGGATGGGGGCAGGGGGGGGAGGACAGTGGCCCCGATGGGGTGAGCTCTGTCTTTCTCAGCTGGGCAGCATCCCTGGCACCTCTGGAGCTGGGCGGTGGTGTCCATAGAGGGTCTTGGCCTCTGGGGCAAAAATGGAACCCAGCTCTGTGTGGAGGAAAGATGCCTGGGGCTTGACCGGCGGCTCTAGAGACAGTGACAAACAAACTACGAATGCTTCCCGGGGTGCGGCTGGCCTGTTTCGGCCTCACTAAGACTTGTTTGAAATGCTGAGTGGCTAAAAGCAAAATAGGGCTTCTATCTGCTGGTCCTTTCCCCAGATGCCCACAGCAGCCAACACTGGACCAGGCTGATGCCAGAGGAGGCCAGAGAGCTCAAGTCAGGTTTCACATGAGGGCCACAGGAGCCCAAGTACTTGAACCATAAGCACTGCTTCCCTGGGTGTGTTAACAGGAAGCTGGATCTGAAGTGGAGGTGGGGCTTGCTTGCAGGCACGCTGGTATGGGCTGCAGGCTGCCCAGGTCAGCCATGCCAGCCATGCCACAGCACCTATCCCTCATGGGAGGCTCTTTTGTCCATTGGAGCAGCAGGTGCTGCCCAGGAGGCGGACTGGAGGCTTGGGACACGTAGAACATTATTACCTGTCTCTTAGCTGTGTAGGCGAGCCTGCTACTGCCCAGATGAGCAACCCCAGGGATGGGTGCCCCTGCCCACCTCTCCTGCCTGCCACTGCCACACACTGATGCCAGGGGAATCTTGAGACAGACTCCACGGTGTCAGATTTACAGCACAGTAGTAACTACGCAAACATGGGCTGTGCAGACCCAGCCCGGGGCCTTGGGCGGTGCAGATGGCCAGGAGGGCTTGTGCGTGCCAGGGTACGGAGGAAGCGATCTCTAGCCTCAGCCGACATGGCCGGGCTGTGTGGATTGACAGCATCTGTCAGAGCTGGGTCTTGGACGCAGCAAGCTGTGAGATTAAAAGTTGCCCCTTGGGCCAGCTTGCTGCCCTCAGCCTGTGTTTGGCTCAGGCAGTCCTGGACAGTGTCAATGCATTTCTCAGTGGTAGTGGTGGGGCTTTGAGAAGCCAGACAGGAATGTGGGAGCTCCTGTGTGGTTTTACAGACACAGGGATGGCTCGGTTGCTTTTTTTAACTAAAAATCTCAGGGTCTGTGCAGTGACCTTTGCTACTGGAAAGCTGGAGTCTGAGGTCCTCTGAGATTGCAACAGGCAAGGTGGGTCCGGGGGTGGCACAGTGGGTTGGGAAAGACGGAAATTTTTTTTAATTAATTTATTTTCATTGGAAAGGCAGATGTACAGAGAGAAGATATTTTGTCTATTGATTCATTCCCCAAGTGGCTGCAATGGCCGGAGCTGAGCTGATCCGAAGCCAGGAGTCCAGATTCTATTCTAGGTCTCCCATATGGGTGCACATTCCCAAGGCTTTGGGCTGTCCTCGACTGCTTTCCCAGGCCACAAGCAGGAGCTGGATGGGAAGTAGGGCCTCCAGGGTTAGAACGAGTGCCCACGTGGGATCCCAGTGCATGCAAGGCGAGAACTTTAGCTGCTAGGCCACCGCACCAGGCCCAAAGATGAACATCTTGTCCTTTTCCTGCTGCCTCTGTGCTGAGGGTATCAAAGCTGGCAAAAAAGCAGCTGCTCCCTGTACCAGCTACACCTTCCAATGTGGGATGCAGGAGTCTCACAGTGGGCGACTTACGTGCAGCACCACCACGCCCGCCTCCTTACAGCCGTATGAAGTGCCTTCGTATTGGTGCAGGGTGCCGCACGGCTTGTGCTTTCAGCACACGTCCTGGGCAGCTGCCTGGGCCCATGCGGCTCAAGTGCCCTGGTGAACGGCCCATAGACAGCGCCTGCTCTCTCTCTTTCTCTCTTTTTAATTTTAGATGCTGTTTCCATAGTCAATCAGGGTGGGAAGGATCCAGGGTTAGGGAGAAGTGGACGTGATCATTGTTTCCAAACTTCTTCTTCCCATTTCTGGGGGGAGGGGAGAGACGGGGGATAGGACATACCCAGCCTCACCACCATGCCAGTGCCCGAGGATGGGGAAAGGCCACCCGATGTCAACCCAGGGTCACAACGTGGCACATGCTCCGAGGGTTCTGCGCAGGGGGATGCGGTAGTTTTGAAATGCTGGTCTATGGATGAGGAATCCCTTCCAGTGTCCATTGGCTCACACCGTCGACCTTTGCCCGGGTACTTGCTGTCATCCTTTCAGCCCCTGCACTTGTGCTGTTTGCATGCAAGTGGGGAAAGGTGACAGATGGGGAAGAGCCATCTGTGCTTTCACTTGGCCGAGAGCACTACCCAGACGGCAAGCCCGGGGCTGTGACCCAGGCCAGGCTCTCGGGCTGCGCAGAGCAGGTGGTCAGAGAAGGCACTGAAAGAGGTGCTGGTGACGCTGTGGGCCAGGGTCCAGGCAGGCTGAAGCCTCGGGGCCCAGGGAGCAGTGAACACCAAGGCTGGCCTGGCAGCATGACCCACGCTGGGCACCCACGGTCCTGCAGGCCACCAGCTCCAAGGTCAGGCTGTTGGCATGGCTGGCTTCTCCCCTGTCCTCACCTGGCCCCTTCCCTGTACACACTGCCCTGACATCTCCTGCCAGTCTCACAGGGACACCGTTGTCCCCCCACTTAGCACAGTTTTCCCTTTGAAGATCTTCTGTGTTAAGGTGCCGCAGTTTAGGTCCAGCAGTAGCCTGAGGCCTGAATGCTTGCAACCTCCTGGTGCCAAGGACCGGGAAGGAGCAGAATGAAGGCGTTGTTGGGCAAGGACCTGATCTGAGGGTCCAGGTCTCTGGGCTGTCAGAAGGGGGTTTGTGAGGCTCCGCCTCTGCAGGATAGGGAGAAGGGCCAGGGCCTGGCTTGGTCTGCTCCTTGTTATGGGGAAGTGTGTTGCTGCAAAGCTATTCCTGCCCACCTGCTGGAGCTGGGAAGTCAACAGAGACCCACGTTTCCTGGCCTGAGCTTTCTGTCTCACTCTCTCTAGAATCAAAGGCTGGTGGGTGTCTCATCATTATGTTTCCACATTCCTGTCTGGGGTGATGCTGACCTGGTGAGTGTCCCCTGAGCTCCCTGGGAACGGGGGCCCTGGGTGAAGATGCAATGTGGGAGCGAGGACCCAGTTTGGGATTGGGTGGGGGGCTTCCAGGCTTCCAGGGCTAACTTGGGGGCCAGACAGGGAAGCGTAAACTCACAGCTAGGCCAGAGGGTGTATCGGGGCCTGGCCAGTCACAAGGCTGTTTCTGGGAATATTTCGCAGTCTCCCAGCTGGCAGCTGGTCGGGGAGGAGAAATAGTGCAGCTTCCCCGTGGTTGTGTGATCCGGTCTAGGACATGTTAGCCTCAGTCCAGCTTCAAGTCTTGGCTCACAGTAGTCGGGTTGGGGCTGATGCTCGGCTGAAGTCTGACCCCGTGCCAGCCTGACCTCTGTCCGCAACTTCTTTGCAGGCCTAACGGACTAATCTACCAGAAGTTTCGGAACCAGTTTTTAGCATTTTCCATTTTTCAAAGTGAGTGTCTCCTTCCCAGCCTTGTGCAGGCTCCCCTCCCCGCTTTCCCAGTTGACCCCCTGTGCTACTGGAATGAGTAGAAGGCAGTGGGGATACCTCAGAAATCCAGAAAAAGAGTAGTTCCCACCCAGCAGGATCACCTCCATCTTCATCTCCCATGCCATAGCCACTGCCTGCTCCTTCCCAAGATCAGAATGGGGACCAAGGGTGCCCTTTGAGAAGTATCTCATTGTTTGCCATTGGGAAGTTGTGTGTTGTCTGTGCTGTGTCATGTGCACAGCACCAGGGCATGTTGTCCTGCAAGCATCTATAGAATACCTACTGCATGCATGGGAAACAACAGAAATTCCTAACCTAGCTGGGGCTTGGATGGGTCCTCTGGTAGCTGCAGTCTGTTTTTGTTCTGTGTAAGACTCAAATGCCTTTCTGTCAGGGCGGGAAAGGGATGTTGCCCAGCTGCCTTCTGCCTGGGTTCTGTGAATGTGGGTCTGAGAGCGGGCGATCCCTGAATCTGAGTGCCGTGCTCCCCCTGCAGGCTGTGTCCAGTTCCTACAGTATTACTACCAGCGAGGCTGCCTGTACCGGCTGCGTGCCCTGGGCGAGCGGAATCACCTGGATCTCACTGTGGGTGAGTAGCTGGCAAGGCCACGGGAGTGTGGCTGGGCTGGAACTTTCCAAGATGCAGCCCACGGCACAGCCAGGCTGTTTAAAATTCATTGTGGAGTTGGCTTCAAGGATAAACATGAGGCTGTTGCATGCTAGGCCTGCCATGCAGGTCCTCATCATCATCATCTTCTTCTTCTTCTTTTTAATTATTTTTATTGGAAAGGCAGAGCTACTGAGAGAGATATCTCCACTGGTTCACTTCCCAAGTGGCCAATTCAAAGCCAGGAGATAGGCGTTTTTCCAGATCTCCCATATGGGAATGGAGGCCCAGGGACTTGGGCCATCCTCTTCTGCTTTCTCATGCCAGAAGCAGGGAGCTGGATTGGAAGTGGAGCATCCTGGGCACAAATGGGCACCTATATAGGATGCCAGCACCGCAGGTAGAGACCCAGCGTACTACACCATGGTGCCAGTAACAAAACTACATGCATGTCTGCAGTGTTTTGTTTTTTCTCTTAATTCAGAGGTGCAGGGGTGGATGGTTGGGCAACAGGACTCTTGTTCACTGGTTGGCTTCCTACATGCCTTTACTGGTTCAGGGCTCAAAATTGGGACTTGCGGACCAATCCTGTGGGTAGGAGGAACCCAATTCCCAGGCCCTGGAGCTGTAGTAGCAGAAGTGCTAGCCAGCACTGCAAGTGCTGGGCTAAATACCTGCCCCTCAAAATATTTTGCACTGGGCTCAGCGCAGTAGCCTAGCAGCTCCCCAAGTGGCCGCAAAGCCTGGAGCTGAGCCAATCCAAAACCAGGAGCCTCTTCTAGGTTTCCCGCACAGGTGCAGGGTTCCAAGGCTTTGGGCTGTTCTCAACTGCTTTCCCAGCCCACAAGCAGGGAGCTGGAAGGGAAGTGGAGCAGCCAGTATACGAACTAGCGCCTCTGTGGGATCCCAATACATTCAAGGCAAGGAATTCAGCTGCTAGGCTACTGTGCCAGGCCCGGCTGTGTTGTTTTTGATCCGGCTGCTCCATAGCTAGGTCCCACTCTGCCAGCATGGACTAACAGGATGTATGCAACTGCCTTTACAAAATGCCAACTCCTGCGCAAAGTTGAGCTGTGGTGTCGTCAAGCCTGTTGGGTTGTGGTGGCCCAGGGCAAGGGGCTGGGGCTGGGGACAGGGCATGTCCTGTGCTGTGGGCTCATGTCTATAGGAGAGGCCGCCCTGGGGCATGTGCGAGTGTACACGCCAAACTGAGGATGACTGGGCAGTGGCGTGGTGTCTGGGGACGATCACCTGGGACTAGGAGCTGCCCCTCAGGCTCTCCACTCCTCCCTCCACAGAAGGGTTCCAGTCCTGGATGTGGCGGGGCCTCACCTTCCTGCTGCCATTCCTGTTCTGTGGCCACGTGAGTCCCCTGGTCTGGGCTGACCCCGGGAGCGGGAGGCCCCTGGGCTCCTGCACGAGCACCAGCCTGGCCCCCATTGGATTCTGGGGCTGGAATGGCTCTCTCGAGTCACAGATGCGTGCTGACTCATTTTGGGGGGGGCTGGAGTCTTAGCCTAGCTGCCCACGGGGGTCTCGAGGCAGCCAGCACCTGAGCAGGGCTTCCCTCCTCCCTCCCCACCCAGTTCTGGCAGCTCTACAACGCTGTGACACTGTTCGAGCTCTCCAGCCATGAGGAATGCAGAGAATGGCAGGTATGGGGTGTGTGTGTGCCCATGTGGGGGCTGGGGATTCCAGGGGCGGGGCACTGGGTGTGCCTCCGAAGTCTGTCCTTAGCCCCTGCTGCCCCAGGACTCCTGGGGGCGAGTTCCTCAGGAGGCCATGGAGCCCCAGGAGCCACTGACGCTAAGGGGGTCCTGAACCCTTCCCCCTGTGACATTGGGGTTCAGGGTTTAGGGTGGCGGGGGTGGCCCTTCAGTCTGTGGGACTCATTGCACTTCTCCCTGCTTCCCGCTTGCGTGCCCCCCAACGGCATCTGCCCTCCCAGGTATTCGTACTGGCTCTCACCTTCCTCGTCCTCTTCCTGGGCAACTTCCTGACCACACTCAAAGTCGTGCATGCCAAACTCCAGAAGAACAGAAACAAGATGAAGCAGCCGTGACCTTTACTGACTCTCTTGTTCCCTCGGCCAGAAGGCCACGCTGCCTGGCTGGGGACGGCGCAGTGTTACCCCCCAGCCTCCTATTTATGACATATTTAATACTGGGCCTTTTGGCTTCCCTGGGCTCTGCAGCCTCCTTGCCACCCATGGCCATGGCCTGTCAGTTTTTCCAGGGTGGGGCCCCACCAGCCTGCTGCTGGCTGTGTCCCGGGGCCAGGACTGCCCTGCCTCTGCTACAGCAGACCCCCGCCATATGGGGTCCCTTTGGGTTCCCAGAGAACCTCCGTCCACCTCATTTTGCCTTGTGCTGCCTCCTGTGGTGGTCAGGGACCAAGAGGGTACCCCTGCCCCTGGGCTGAGGGGCCTCAGTCTGGGTGTACTTCTGGGGGCTCACATCCCAGCCCTCAGCACTGTGCCTGCACACTGGGGTTGCAGGAGGGGCCCCCCTCTGCATGGCTTTTTCTGGAATGGGAGAGTGGGGGACGGGGCCCTGAATTAAGCTTCCTGGGAGACCAGGCAGGAGTTATAAGTGGGCCTATTTGCCCAACTCAAGTGTGTACATTCTTCACCCACCCCCTACAGGGTCTGACTTTGAAAATGGGAGATTCCCCTCCCCCTACATAAGCCCAGAGTTCTGTTTTCCTTAGAAAGCTGGGGAAACCTGACAAAATCCCCTCAGATAGCCCTGGACTCCCTCCCACGGCCCTCTCCCCCTGGCACTGGGCTTTGCCAGATTTCTTGGAAAGGAGCGGCAAGGAGACATTGGAGGTTTTGTGTAGCAGGGGTGCCCGTCAGAAGCAGCCAGTGCATGAGTGGGCGTAAACAAAGCTTTATTTACAGACTGGCAGAGGCTGCCGTGTACCGGCCCCCCACCCTGAACCACCCTGGGAGAACAAGGATTCCTCAAGGCCCAGGTGGGGTGAGGGGGTGGGTCCCAGGCTGCGTGGGGGTGCTGGGCCAGGGAGTTTAGGCTGGAGGTGGGACGGCAGGCCCCAGTGCCATCCTGGGCAATGCCAGTTCCCAGACCCTCCAGAGGCAAGGGGGCGTTGTGACCACCGGATCCCTGAGCGCGGGCGTCCAGTGTGCTGGCTGAGCTGCCTGGCTTCCACGCTGGGCCCACACCTGTTCCTGCTGATGGAGTCCCTGTGGCCCCCTGTGGGAGACCTGGGTTTCCAGCCCTGGCAGTTGCAGGTGGTGTTTGGAGCATAAACCAGCAGAGAGAAGGTCTCTGACTTTCAAATAAATAAGTTAAAAAAAAAAAAAAAAAAGTCCTGGACTCCTGAGCCCAGACCTGCTAGAAGGAGGGTCAGGCTTCTGAAGGCGGCTGTGGCAGACACAGGCAGTCCAGGTGCTGGACATGAATAACCGTCTCGTGCACAGGGCAGTGGCCGCTCTCGACTTGCTCCTTGGCAGAGATGGGCTTAGGAGGTGGAGGTGGGGCACCCTGCTGCCTTGTGGCAGGGGACGAGGGGATCCTGGGCAGAGAGAGGTCAGCTTGGCTTCAGGGTACACGCTGGCCTTTGCCCACAGTCCCTCTTCCCGGCTGTGGAGACAGTGGCCAAGCAGAACCGGAGGCTGACATCTCTCACAGGGTGGGCAGAGGAGCAGGACTGGACAATGTCTGTGTCTCCCTGATAGGCCCCAGGTTCCTGGGGAAGAGAAGGAAGTGGCTGGAGGATGCGGCCGAGGCTATCTGGAGAGCCCAGCAGGCAGAGGCCTGGGAGCACGCACAGGAGGCTGTGAGGAGGCCACAGTCCTGGGATGAGCATGGGCTCCTGGCCCACACCCTCAGTCATCACTGTTGGGCTCCACAGGGAAGGAGAGCATTCCAGAATGTTCTCCCAGCGGCCCCCCAGGAGGCTGTCAGAGCAGTAGGCAGAGCCGGCGCTGTTTGTGCCGCTGAGCTTTCTTGAGTGCACTGAGGGCCACCTTGGCGGCCTCCCGGAAGACGTTCTCCACGTTCTCCCGGAACTTGGCTGAGCACTCCAGATAGAGGGCCGCACGGATCTGCTCACAGGCGCTCAGGCCCTGCACAGGGAGGAGCAGGCGTTAGGGGGCTGCCTGACACTGCCTCAGGTTCTGAGGGGAGGAGACCTGGGCTTGGAGTTCCTTTCCCTTCTCTGTCCCAGCCTCGCCAGCCTGTGTGGGCCCAGAGACCTCCCACGCGTGCTCCCTGCTGTCCCCGGAGGTCCTGCATAGATAGCTGAGCTGGCTGCCTGGGAAATAAAACCATTTTATTTCTTTATTCTAAAATTGAACTTTTTTTTTTTTTTATTAAAGTTTCTTATTAATTCCCCTTTTATTCTGCATGTTCCCCAGGGCCTCACCCAAAACACTGCAGGGCTGGATTTGCCAGGGATACTGGGGGGCGGGGGATGGTGCTGCTTTCCAACAAGCGCTGACCCTTCTGCCTGCTCCCCTCCCCTGCCCCCAGGTGGACAACAGCAGGTTGGGGAAGGAAGGCCTTGGGCCAGGGTGACAGGGACGGGGTGCCTAGCTGCACCTCAGGGCAGTTATGTACTCTGCACCCCAGCTTCTCTCCTGAACTGGGAAGTGTTAGCAGTAATTACCAGGTGCTCCCATCCATGGGCTATCCATTTTTAAATTGGTATTCTTACATTCCTGATGGCTGCAGAGGGACCCCCGACTATAGAGGCCAAATGGGCTTCGTGGCACCTTCATGTGCAGGTGGGCACTTGGGGGAGGGCGGGCCCTGCCAACCTGGGAATAGGTGATGGGCTCCAGCTGGGCAGCACGGAGCTTGCGTAGTTGCTCCTTATCTTTCCGCAGATCTGTCTTACAGCCGATGAGCACCATGGGGGTCCCGCGGCAGAAGTGCGTGACCTCAGGGAACCACTGTGGAGGGAGGAGGCTAGCGTCGGGGCTGGGGCCGACCCCTGCGGGTGGCCGCATGCCTGAGGGTGGGGGTGGGGAGAGGGCCTACCTTGATGAGGACGTTGTCGTAGCTGGTGGGGTTCATGACATCATAGCAGATCAGCACAAGGTGGGTATTCTGGTAAGACAGGGGCCTCAGCCGGTCATAGTCCTCCTGCCCTGAAACACAGGAGCTGGAGTGTTAGGGGTCACACCTCCTGAGCCCCCAGGGGTGGGCTGCAGGCCTCAGTATCCCCATGTGCACACAGGGTTCAGAGCTGGTGCCAGGTAAGCCTGGGAGAAAGGTCCATGGCGCACAGACTTATCTCTACCTCATCAGAGGCCCAAGTGGAAGCTGACTCCAAGTGGAACCCCCGCCTCCCAGGTGCTCCTGCCTTTCCTCTGTGACCTTCCCACCTAGCTGGGCCCACGCAGCAGCCGTGGATTCCCATGGAACAGTCCTGACACCAACTCAGACCCTGGAGGCAGGCTTCAGAACAGGCGAGCTTTAAGACGCATCACAACATGGGGTCGCTTTTCTTATACTTGCTGGCTTACAGAACTACCCTGCCCACAGGCCTAGGGCCTGCTTTACCTGCACAGACACAGGTGAGGGACCTGGCCTGGTGCTTGTCCCTTACTGTTCAGAGCCTGTTCCCCAAGGTCAAGGGCACTCCTGGGACTACCAGTCCACGTGTTCAGCTCAGGAAACCTACACGGGCATGATTCTGCCCCCATCCACATCTCAGCCACAAAGTCCTTCACTCTCCTAGTCCTGAAGGACTGTGGCCCACACAGCCTTCTGCCCAGGGGGTTTGAGAGTCCAGAACCTCTGAGACTGCCAGCAGGCCAGGGACTTCTACAGCGAAGAGACTTCCTTTTCAGAGGCCCAGGAATCCCCCGGGATGCCAGCCTGCCCCCTCTTTCCCTGCCACACCAGGCCACCACTTATTCCTATCCCTCAGGATGGCAGGGCACAGCTGCCCCCAACTCCCCAGAGACCTCCTTCTACCATCTTCATTACAAAGCTGGAGCGTTCCCATGAAACTGGGGGGCAATTGGCCCACTGAGCTTTCCAGACAAAGCCCCCGGCTGTGCCCTCTCCTAGCTTCCCTGCATGTACAGACCTGTGCAGGCCCCACAGTGGCTCCTAGCCCCGTGGGTCAGAGCCTGTTCCTGACTTGAACAGCCCATGGCTGGGTGGGGCAGGTGGCGGCTGCCGTAAGCAGACCTCCCTGTGTTTTGGTTGGTTTTTGGGTTGCTCAGACCCAACAGTGGGGTTTCCATTCGTGGGCAACATGGGCTCTTCCTTTTACAAACAGTGGCCAGGAAGCAGCCCCTCAGCCTTCTCTCACTTTGCTTTCTAGGCCCACCTTCACCTTGGTAGTCTCTAAAACCTGGGCCCTGAGGGCAGGAGCCAGCTGTGCTCTGAAGAGTAACCACTGCTTGGGAGCCAGCCTAGGGTACCTGCGACGGTGTACCCTCCTCTCCCGCATTCTGCACAGATGCTCCTGCCCCGGCATCCCCAGGCTGCATCCCCGGTGTTCTTCCTATTCTCTGCTGAGAATGGTAATGCCATGGCCTGGGAGCCAGGTGAGCGGAACAAAGGAACAAGGGGACACGGCAGGCTTATCACTGTGGCTTTATCCTCCTGGAGCGCTGCCAAACACGGCTCCGTCCCCACCTGCCTCCCTGTGGGGTGGGGGATGGCAAAGTCCTTTCCCGTATAGAGCGCGAGAGCCCAAGGACCTCTGTCAAGGTTAAGAATGAGCACCTTGAGTCAGCCCAAACCTCAAGGCCACTTTACAAGCGCCTGGATCCTCCAGACCTTCCCATCCTGCTCTGTGAAATGCAGAGATGAAAGCACCAGGTGGGGAAAGATGGTAGGAACCCAGAAACAGGGTGATAGGACTCACCCCGAATCCTCTCGGCCATCTCACCTGGCCCACTTGACCGCTGACCCCACTTCACAAATCAAAACAGTGGGGCACAGTGGTCCCTCAGTGCCTGGTAGATGCCTGCCCCCGCCACCCCACTAGCCCTGACCAGGGGAAGAAAAAGAGCTGCCACCACAGCCCCTGGGGCCCTGGGAGGACACGCAAAGTCAGGCTGCCTCCTGGGACTCATTGTGGGCCTCTCCTGGGAACTAGGCCCACAGATACAGTATTCCATGTGCTGCTTGGGAAGGGTGGAATGTTCTAGAAATTCTCTTCCGGATGAATTGGGCTCCATTCAGACATGCACGCTGGTGCTTCCCCTCTCTAGGCTTCAGTTCCCTTATCTGGAATCTGACAGGCCTGCCTGGGACCACAGGTGGCCAGTGCCAGGTGGCGGTCAAGGACAGTGGCGATGTGGAAGTGAACTGCCTGGGTCAAGCTCTCTAAACTGACAGCTTCCGGGAGCCTCCTGGCCACCACAGACATTACCACCCTTCCCTCCACCCACCAGGACGCCAGCTGAGGTTAAAAGCCCCAGCTGCCTGCAAAGCTGGCAGACACAGATCCAGTCCCGTCCTCCTGAGGGTGTGGGTGCTAGGGGCCCTGCGGAAGCCAGGTTCCCGCCCCCTGCCTCACGTGGTTGACTTCCTTTGCCACAGCGGTGGCCACCCTTCCGGGGTCCCTGAGGCCCAGGGCTTGATTGTGTCTTGCGGCCCCAATGGACCTGAACCTGCTGGACCCAACATATTAGCAAGGCCCCAGCACTGTCTGGGTTGTTGATCAGGGGAAGAGTGTGGGCAGTGTGAGAAGGGGAAGCAAACAGAAGAGGAACCCAATTCACTAGCACGCTGGGGACCCACCCTGTGCTTCCTCCCCACCAGGGAGATGAGCCAGTGCTGGGGACCCACCCTGTGCTTCCTCCCCACCAGGGAGATGGGCCAGTGCTGGGGACCCACCCTGTGCTTCCTCCCCACCAGGGAGATGGGCCTGTGCTAGGGACTCACCCACCTGTGCTTCCCAGCCAGGGAGATGGGCCAGTGCTGGGGACCCACCCGTCTGTGCTTCCCAGCCAGAGAGATGGGCCAGTGCTGGGAACCCACCCTGTGCTTCCCAGCTAGGGAGATGGACCAGTGCTGGCCTCTGTGGAGATATCCACCTGTCTGGAGGTCCAGAGTATTCAGCAACTATGCCAACTACTTTTCCTACTGTCCCCATCTCGGGCCAGGAAGGAGACCCCAGCTCCCCCTCCAGCCCAGGGCTCTGCAGGCAGTCTCTGGCTGGCCCCTACGCAGCCCACCTCGCCCCGCCTCCCCTCAGCCCAGGAAGTGTTAGGCTTTACCACAGTTTCCTGCCCTGGAGGATGTCAGAGCACAGGGTGCTCCCAGCCCCCTTCACCTCAGGGCCTCTCCATCACTCATTGCCCCCTACTCTGTCTACGCCTTACCTGGCACTGAAGAGGGGAAATCAGGCCTTTCTGGAGCCACCTCTGTCCCCCACAGAGCTCTGACCACCATTAGTTTGAAAGATACCGCCTCCCCCACTGGGCCTTGCAGACTGGGTTCTAGAACCTTCCACAACCTTCACTGGCCTCCTCCCAGCCTCAGGCATGTCTCTTAGCCCTGTGCCTTTCACTGCCTAGTTCTCCTGAGCCAGTTCAGTCCACAGAGCCAAACTGTTCCTGTGCTCAGAAGTGGCATTCATTCATTCATTCATTCATTCATTCCAGCCCTTTCTGGAGCCTGGTATGGAAACCAATCTCCACCCCAATCCCTCAGGGCAGCCATGGGAGGCCACGGAACCAGGGCTGGCTGGGGAGGCAGTCTTAAAAATCGAGGCCCTGGTCCTCCAGGAGGGCAGCCCTGGGGCACGTGGCTGTGCTCACCTGATTTCAGGGATGGGCCCTTCTAGAGGGCAGCCCCAGGGCATCTGGCTGTGTCCACCTGATTTCACTTGAGCCCCATGACACTGTAGTGGACCTTGCTGCCGCTGCAGCAGCAGAGGACTGCTCCGAACATGGAATCTGGGCAAGGGGAGCCTGAGGGCACAGGGAAGAGAATTTCCCTTGATCCCCTAGCTCTCCTCATCCCTGCAATAGGTCTTGGAATCTGCGCCTTCCTGGACCCATCCTCCTGCCCCTGCGGGCTGAATTCTTGGTGGGGATGAGCCTGGATGAGGGGGGTGGTCCTCGGAAATTGTAGGGAGATGTGCATGGGACACAAGTGCACTCTGTTCCACCTGCTCCAGTGCCTTGGAGAGCCACCCCCAGAGAGGAGGGGCGAGGTCCCGGGTCAGCACTGTGTCCCCACTCCCGGGCAGGGGCTCTCCAAGGCTTCTGAGCGCTGACTCGCAGGTCAGGAGGGACCCCAATATTTGCTCCCCAGCATAGAAGCCACTAGGTAAGGGGGTCAGGAGTTCCCCACAGCCACTGGGGTGAGGAAAAGCAGGTGGCTGGCTTCAGTTTCTTGAAGTTATTTCCCCAGGAAAGAACCGACCATGACTACAGGATCCCACGTCAGGCGCCGTTCCCTCCGGAATTCCCCCTTGACAAATCCTAGAAATTCACGGGCCGAGGGTCGCAGCCTATGGCTGCCCTCTCCCCAGGATCCACGGGGGCAGGCGGTACAGGCCCAGGGCTCCGGCACCAGGGGAGACGCATGAGCAGGGGTCCCCGCGGCTCCCGGGGCATCCACTCACCTGCCGTGTCATACAGGTTCAGGACCACCTCCTTACTGCCCACAGTCACGCTGGCTGTGTACTTTTCGAACACTGACGGTGCGTAGTTCTGCGAGACACGGGTCGGCGTGGCGTGAGTGGACCGGCTAGGCGCGCACCAGTGCCCGCCTCACCGCCCCCCAGTCTGGCGACCTCACCTCGGGGAAGGCGCCCTGGCTGTACACCATGAGTAGGGAGGTTTTGCCGCATCCGCCGTCGCCCACGATCACGATCTTCAGCTCCTTTCTGCCCGGGCCGGGGGCTGCGGGTCGGGCCGGGGCGCCGGGGGTGTCCATGGCCCCGATGCGCCGGCAGCTCTACCCGCACGGTGCAAAACCCAGCCGGGGCTGAGGGATGGACTGGGGACGGGTCCGCAGGGCGGGGCTCGAGGCAGCTCCGCCCCGGGAGCGCCGCCTCCACCAGGCAGTCCCCCCGGCCGACCCCACCCCGAGGGTCCAGACCTCGGCGGCTGAGACGACCGGCAGCGGCGGGCACCTGCCGGGCACCGTCTCCTGCCCCCACCCCCGCGCCACCTGCTGTGGCGCGCCCCCCGCTGGCGCTCCGTTCGGGCTGCCCGATTGGCCGGCCTCCCGGCAGGCACCCTCCAATTGGCTGACTTCCCAGCAGGCGCCCTCCGATTGGTCGTTCCGATCCCCCCCCCCGCGGACTGGAACCGATAGGTGGAATTCTGGTTCGAGACTCCGGGGTACCGGAGGAGTCGGCCCTGTGGCCGCCATCCCCGCCGACTGCGCAGGGGATGGAGCTGTGGCAGCACTGGGGCAGAAGCTGGCCCTCAGGACGCCGGGGGAGGTGGGCACCTGGGCACCTGCGTTCGGCTCACTGGCCCTCTCCTCCCTCAGGGCGGGCGCCGGGCGCCCTCTACCGGGTGCTCGTCGGGGCGAGGCCGGGTCCCTGACCCACCGGGTAGGCTCCTCCTCCCAGCAGGGGCCACAGGGGTGCCGTGCGGGCCGAACCCCTCCATGCGCCTCGGAGACTTCGGTGATCCAGCCCACCACCACGCGCCCTTGGTCCTCAGGTAGCCACAGCTGCGGAGGTGCTGCTAGAGAAGCAAGCCGAGACCACCAGTGGCACCCAGTGCCCTGCCAAAGCTAGGCCAGTGGTCAGGGGCGACCAGAGAAGTGTCTGTGGAGCACTGAGGGCTGAAGGCTACAAGACCGCAGGGCTCCCTTAGACTGGGTTTGGGATCTTGCTGCCTCCCAGACTCCGTTTTCAAGTGGCCAGCAAAGGTCAGGCAAACCTGATTTGCTGCGGGACATTGCCAAGCTGGCAGTGCCGTGGTCGCCAGGCGCGAGACAGGCTCTGACCGCCAGGGGGCGGCGGCGACTGCCCGTGGAAGCCCTAAGTGAGGCACTCCAGCCAAGCTACCAGGGTGCAAGCAGCCCTCTCGGCCCTCCCAGGCAGGGGCACCTTGGACTTTGTGATCAGTTACAGACAGGCACAGCAACACATCCACTTCTCGTTTGAAATGCGTTTATTGAGAGGCAGTTGTGCTCCTGCACGCCAGGGGCTCACAGTCCGCCACTTCTAGGACAGCAGCTGGCTCGGGCCAGTGCAGATAGCCAGAAGCCCCCTGGCCTGGCAGGGCTCCAATGGAGGGCAGGAGAGGGACACGAGGACACCAGGCCACAAGGTGGGGACATCAGCAGAGGCCAGGGACAGGGGAGGTGGGGCCCACTTACCTGTGTAGCTGCCTCAGCATAGCCCTGAGGGGACTCTGGCACTCAGGCAGCACTGGGGGGAGAAAGATATACCTGAAACCCGGGCTGGGCCCACAGGAGACCTCCTGACTAGCCCCCCAAATCCTCAGCTTTCATCTCTCCTTTCTCTGTCTACAACGGGGCTCTCATGGCTACTTGACACAGGAAGCATGGACACAAGAAATGAGCAAAGTGCAGTGCAGCCTGGCACCTGGCCGAGCAGCTGCCCACCCACTTCTGTCCAGCCAGCGGGCTGGCAGAGGCCCAGCGCCTGCAGACCGACTCTTAGTGGCCATGGGGCTGCATCTGTAGCTAAGAAGATGGAGCAGACCAGCCAGCCACTGAGGGCGCCCTGCAGGGAGGCAGGCTGGGCTGCCCCCTCACCTGCAGCCTGGCCCAGGACCCTGTCTTACACCTCCACTCACCAGGAATTCCTGGAGAGCTCTAGGATGGGAGGATGCTGGCCACAGAACCCCAGGGGCATTCGCAGTACCCATCGTGCCATGGCCAGGTCACCAGGGAGATGGGACCATGAGAAGCACAGGACCCTTGGCCCTGACTGTGTTGTGGCCATCCTCACTGTCTGTCTCAGAGACTCCCCATCAATGTGCAAGAAAGTCCCGGGACCGCCACAGCTGCAGCCAGATTCAGCGGTGACCAGGGAGCCCAAGGCTGGCTGTCCACCCTTTCTGGAATCAGCTCCTTTAAAGTGAAACTCAGACCCTGTCGGGCGGCTCCTGGCCACCCTCCTCCTTTGTCACCTCGGCAGAACTTGCCAGTGGTCATTAGACCAGCTGGGCACAGCACTAGACCTAGATATCCCAAGAAGGTGGGCCAGGCTGGGGATCCTGCTGGAGGCGGGAAGAGGCGGGACAAGTATAGTCCAGCACGGAGGCCAGGAGGGCCACTTCCCAGCCCTTCTGCTGGCGTGGCCTTCTCTTGGGCCACCAGGAGCAGCCCCGCCCTGTGCTCCCTGGGTGACCGGGGGCGGGGTGCCTGGGCCAGGAGGTGACACTGGATGGAGGTGGGTCCAAGGGAGGGAAAAAGGTAGGTGGTGGAAAGCCAAGCAAGCCTTCCAGGCTGCTGCCAGGCCCCTCCCACTTCCACAATCCCGCCCAGACCACAGTGGAGCACCTAATTGCTCCCTAACTGGTTCAAGGCCAGGACTGGTGGAACAGGCTGTGGCCTTCCAGGGTGCAGGCGGGAGAGGAAGAGGAAGACTTCAGCCAAGGATCTAACCAGCCAGCAAGCAGGAGGTCGGGAGAGCAGCCCAGGACTCTACCAGAAGGGAACGGGCACCCACGGGAGCACGTGTTAGGGCGGCCCAGTAGGGCTGGGGGCACAGCTGAATCCACTTAGATTTCAAGAGCGTGTGGAACGCAGGAAGATGCCAAGGGTACGAAGAACGCCAGCCACAACAGCTGCCACGAAATGCCCCCTCCCCCGCCTTAGGCAGGGTGCTGTGGGACATGCCCCTCCCTCTCAGCACTTGAGACTGTCCCCACCCCAGGCAAATCCTGGTCAGTGATGCCAGCAGACAGCTGGCACGGGAGGTTGAGCCCAAAATAATCCAGACAGCTGGGGTGAGGGTGAGCCACAGACACAGGCGCTGAGCTCCAAGGCAGGACCCCTGGAAGCCCAGTGGCTCAGCTGGCAGTAGCCTTGCAACCCTGGACACTTCCCTTCTTCAAGCTAGGAGTGACCAGGACACAGTATAGCCCAACCTTAGTGATAGCAATGGGAAACGCATGGCCAGCCCTCAGCCAGGAGGCTGTACCACATGCTCTGGGGACTGGTGGGGGGTACCCTCCAGCCCAGCTCCAGAACTGGCAACACAATGGAGGCTGAAGCTTCAGAAACGAGCTCACCCTCCCCCACGCTTTTCAGCACACCCCTCGGTCATCCTTCACGGGGAAAGACACTGGCACCCCTACAGGTGCCAGTCACCCAAAGGCCAAGCCGCTGGGATCCCCGCCCTGGGGCCAGAGAGCTGACACCCACAAGGGGAGGCACCTGGCCCCAAATGGCCTTCACCAAAGCAATCACAAACAACAGATCACAACCAGGGGCGGGCGAGCCATCAGGGGCCACCAACTCCAGCTGGGGAACTTCCCTGCCCGGGGGGATGACAACTGTGTGAAGCCCGCCCCGTGGTGAGGGCAGTAACATTGCCCTGGTGGTGGACCAATCACGGGTGACTCCTGACGACAGAGCAACCAGAGCAGCCACAGAGGGAGGGCCTCAGACCGAGAGAGAGCCGCAGGTTCGCAGAACCGCCCGCACCGGGACCAGGCTCAGCTGCCCTCCCTGCTCCGTGATAGTCTAGGCCCAACTGTACAAACACCTTATGTAAGGTCACAAGGTCACAGAGGGTTAGGTGGAGAGCCCGCTTCCAGGGCAGCTCTGCCTGTAGAAAACAAGGGAGGTGCCCCCGCCCACCTCGGGAGCAGAGGCGGAGACAGGAACGCCCAGGGACCCTCCTGCACAGCCCTGCAGCCAGACCCAGGGGACAGCTCCTTGGGTGGCCTAGCACTCCCGAAGAAGGGACTATCCCAGGCGTCCAGGACCCGCCCCTACCAGCACTAGCATAGGACTGAGCAACCTTTGCCTTTCCCAAGAACTGCACGCCCCAAATGCCTGACGACAGAGGCCAACAAGGGGGTGGATGGAGCCGGCAGGCCCAGCAGGCGCTCGGTCACACATCTGTGTGGGGGAGGGGCTGCAGAACCAGCCCAGCCGGTTTGAGATTCCCGCCCTCCCCAGGCTGCAGGCCAAAGCCCCCCTTCCCGCCCCGCCCCCTAGGGCCCGGACGGCCTGGGAAAAGGGCTCACACCTACCTTAGTGGGACGACTGTCAGATTCAAGCTGGGCCTGCTCCTTTAGTCGGAATCAAGCAGGGCTGCCCACCCAGGGGGTGCCAGCCAGAAACCTGGAGAGCAAGGTGGAGGGGGATCGTCAGGGTAGCCCCCCGGGGGTGGGCGACAAACGGGCTGGTGAAGACCCTCGGCTGACAGACAGGGAGCCTAAGGAACGCGCTCCAGGACCCCAACCCAGGGCCCCTCACCCCAGCGGGGATGGAGGCGGGGCGGCGGCTGAGTCCCCACGATTGCGACCAGGCTGCGACTCCTCAGCATTTTGAAAGGCGCGCCCAGTGCCCATCCCCTCCCCAAAGAAGGGCCTGGGGACCAGGGTGCGGCCCACTAAACCATTCCAAGCCTCCAGCCCCCATTTCCGGCATACAACGCAAGTCTAGAGGGGTGCGGCCCAAAAGGGCAGCCCCTGGAGCCAGCGCGGTGGCCTCACGCAGAAAGTGGGGGACAAAGCGGTTCCTGCCCCTCCGCTTGGCTGTTTGTCAGAAGTTATGGGAAGGCAGGGTAGGGAACTCAGGCCGGCTGTCCTGGGGTCAGAACTGGGGTACAGAGCAGTTCGTAGTGGCCTCGAGAACCTGGCTGGCCCTGAGGTCCTTTGCTGGGGAAGGAAGCGCACCAGCGGCCAGCAGGCGACCAAGGCCTCCTCGTGGAGGATGGGCCTAGGTCGGGGCAGGGAGCACTGCGGGGTTTCCCAGTGGCCCGCATCCTTCCGGCCTCGGCTCTGGGGGACGTGGGTCGCGGGCGGCGGCTTTCCCGGCCGCCCTTGCTCTCCTCGCCAGGCGCTGTCGCGGCCACCGCCCGAGCCGCAGGCGGCGCGCGAAATGGCGCCCGTCTGGCCGCCGCGCCCAAAGCAGGCGAGCGCCGGGAGCCAAGGCATGCGACGCCCCTGAGGCCCCCAAGTCCCCGAAGCAGCCCCGCGACCCGCGCCCGATCCGGGGGCGATGTACCCCGCAGTCGCTCGGTGCTAGCCCGGCCGCGGGAGCCGCCTCCGGCCCGGGCCTCCCAACGACTGCCGGGAAGAAGAAGGAAGAGGAGAACCGGCCGCCATTAGCCAGTCAGAGGCTCTCCGCCCGGCTTGGCCCGCGCGGCCGCCACAGCCACAGCCCAACTGGCGGCTCCTCTCAAAACCTGAAAATAACATTGGTGTTTGGGAGGGAGGAGCGAGCGCGGCCCGGAGGCCCACGGCGCCGGGCGCCCGGCTCCGGCGGGAGATGCTGCGTCATGGCGCCAACATGGACGCCAGCCTTTTGTCCTCCTTCGCCTTGGCAGCGCAGGCGCGCCCGGGAGCCCCGAAAAGCCTGCCCGCGAGCTGCGATTTCCGTCTCCCCCCCACCCAAAAAAAAGGGAACGACGCCTCGCGCGTTTTCGTCGTCTTTTGAGCCCCCTAGGTACCAAGCACACTACTTTTTTTGCCCTCCTCAAGGCTCAGGTCAGGGAAGGGCGAGGTTGGGGAGGATGTGGAGACTGATGAGCGCAAGCGGCTCCGTGGATATCGGGGGTTCGCTGGCGAGACCCCCCATCCCGCCTCTGGAGCCCAAGAGGACAAGGGGTCAGTTGAGACGTTCTATTCCCCCCACCCCCACACGCTGCGGCTGCCAAAACACCCACAAAAAAGCCCTACAGACACCATTCTCCCCTAACTCCCAAACACTCGCAGTCCGTGGCCTGCTCGAAAAAGGATTTCCTCGAAGGGGCAAAAGGCACTTTTTTTTTTTTTACTTACCCGCTCAGCCCGGTGCCATGGAGTCTAGAAGATCAAGCTGGGCAGTGGGTGGTTTTGGAGATATTATTATAAAAATAATTTTTATGACAGTTTAGTTGGGTAAGAAAAATGGGATTTGGGTGCTTTTGTTGTTGTTGTTACCTTTTTTTTTGCAAGTTACACTCTCGGGGCATTTTCTGCTCCTTCCACTTCTGCAAACTTTCCAGGGTTGGGTTGGCAAAAAGGCGGCTTCGCTGAGGGCTGTTTACTGCTCTGGATATAGCAGTGGTGTGATCGTCATTAAGAGACAAAAGGCGAAAACACACAGTCAAGTCAAACAAAAGGCAAAAGACGCACCAGCCCTCCCAAGCAGCTTAGAAAGACCCCCGAGTTAACGTCGATGCTTGGCTCGAACCAGCCAGGCTGGCTGTGCAGTATTCATCTAGTTTCCTGTAACGGCTTTCGTCTCACACAAAGACAAGGTCTTTCTTTCTCAGCCACCCTCGAACAAGAGAAAAACAGAGCTGTTTTTCCTCAACTAGATCGATTTTCAAAGAAAAAAAGTGTACATCACTGGGAAGAAAGCTGGCTAGCATGAATGGCTGTAAACATTTTCATACGCGTAAAGCTAAAAACCTTTAGCTTTCAAAAGCAAAAAAAAAAAAAATCGTCAAAGCATTTTAACTGGCTTCTATCAGACAAAAGGAAGACATACATGCAGATGGAGGTTTAGGAAATTAAGGACATCTCACCGACATTAACATGAAAACTGCACTGAGCAAGGACACGATGGAGTGGGTACTTACAATGTACAAGATTTTTTAAAAGTTAAAAAAGTAACAACTGCTCACAATTGTTGCTGCCATTTCGCTACTAATAAAATTATGCATTTAAAACATTACCTTGTTTTTTAAAAAAAGTTAATAAGATGGCCAGGTTTAAGTGTTTACTAGAGGAAACTAGATATTTAAAAATTTATTGTTCAGTCAAGAGAATACAGAATAAGACAGCTCCAAGCCCACCCCCCACCCACCAAAGAAAGAAAAAGAGAAAAAAAATTAAATATGTCGTTTACTTAAGGCTTTTTGGAATTCAGAACTGTTAACTGCTGACATTAATGGTGTGCTATGACCTAGTTATACAAGACAAAGATGGATTCCAAGTCATAAGGAAAAATCCAGATCTTTTTAAAAAAGTCTTCTTCATTCTTCCAACTGGGAGTCCTTTAGCCTGCTGACCAATGTTACACACACTCAGGCGTCCTGAGCTGGATGGTGCAAAGGAAAAGCGTTCCCCATTTGCAACAAAGGAAAAACCCACTTGGCCATTTAATTCCATTGCAGAAAAATGGCTCCCCTCATCTCTTGGCCTCTCCTTGGTGTCTGCTGAAGGATGTTTTGAGATCAGCGTCTAATAACTCAAGCCCTATAGAAGCCGCGCGCTGATTGGCTGCCGCGCCCTGCCGCCCCGCTCCAGCCAATTACCTACCCACAGCCAAATCGCAAACCCCGAAAAGAGCCCCAATATGAAGTGCACCACCACCACGGGCCCCAGCCGGCCGGCCGCCGCGCCTCGTCTGCCCGGGAGAGGCGGCAGAGGGGGCTGCGAACGAGTCCTTGCCCAGCCCGGGAAGCCTCGGAGTTGAACTCACAAAATGGAAGCCGCGCGCTGATTGGTCGCCGCCACTCCCGGACCTTTAATAAAGAAGGAGGGGGGCAGGAAAAGAGAAAATGCAAAAAAAAAAAAAAAAAGGGGGGGTACTCTCTCCGCTGCCGGAGAGAAGCATGTGTTCAGGACAATCACTGGGGCGCTCCCCTCCAAAAATAAAAACAGAAAGACGGTGCAATCGCCCGAGTGCAGGCGAGGACCGCTTCCTCCCAGGAATGTGAATGCTAATTTGGTTAAAATCCTTGTTTCCCCTCCCCAGTGCAGCTCCGGGAAGGGGAGTGGGTCGCGGGCCCGGGGAGGAAGCCGGGGCCGAGATCCCTCGATTGCAACTCGCCCCTAGTCGACGCCAGCCTGGCCTGCCCCCAACTCCTCCCCGCCTGCCCGGGCCAGGACTCTGGGCGCCCTCACAACCACACACAAACGTGCCCCCGGGCCCAGCCCCTGCCCCCCGAGTGCGGGCGCGCTCACCGCCGAGCTCGGCAGTTTGCAAACAGTTTTTCGGAGGCCCCAGGGTGCCTGTGGGGTGGAAGGGGTGTGTGTGGGGTGGGGGGAGGTGGGGAAACGCTCCGCTCCTCCAGCTGCTAAGGCTCCGAGGGTCGCCCCCCGCCGCGGGAGAGGGGAGAGCCCAGGGAGACCCCCTCCCCCGCCCGCCGAGCCCCCCATCTCAGTCCCCAGCGGAATAAATAAATTAAAAGGCCTCCCCCCCCCGGGGGGAGGGGGAGGCAGTGTGGGAGCGCGCGAGTGAGGGGTGGGGGGCCGCTGGGGCCCGGGGCTTTGGCGGCGCAGCTGCCGCCGCCGGGAGAGAGCCTGGGGAAGCGGCGAGGAAGGCGAGGGGAGGAGGAAGAGGAGGAGGAGGAGGAGGAGGGTGAGCGCTCGGGTCGGGCTCCTTAGCGGTGTATTGTGGGATGTGCGGCTACTGGGAGCCGAGCCTCCGCCGCCAGCCGCCTCCCGGGCAGGAGCAGCAGCAGCGGCGGCGGCGGCGGCGGCAGCAGCAGCGGCGGCGGCAGCAGCAGCAGCTCGGGGCTCCCCGTCCGGCCGCCCGGGCCTCGGCTCCCGCGGGGGACACCATGTACTGGCTGGCGGCGCAGGGAGGCCGGCGCCCGGCGGGGATGTAAGCGCGGCTCGGGGAGGGAGAGAGGCCGCGGGGCAGCAGCGGCAGCCCGGGCGGCCCGAGCCCCCGGCCCGGCTCGGCTGCGAGCGGGCAAGGCGGACAGGCGAGCGGGCGGCGCCAAGGCCTGCCGCGAGCCCCGCGCCCCCGAGCCGGACTGAAGCGAGCGCCACGCCGGGCGGCCGCGACCACGGGCCGGAGCCCGCGTCCTCCGGGCGCCCCGGGCCCCGCCAGCCCGCTCCGGGGGCGCCCGGGAGCCCCTCGCTGCCGGCCCTGAGACGGTGGCCGAGCGGGCGGGCGCGTAATTCTTTCCCGGAAGGACTATCCCCTCGCTCCGTTTCTTTTCTTTTTCTTTCTTTCTTTTTTTTTTTTCTCTTTTTGTGGGAGGTGTGTGTATGTGTGTGTTGGTTGCGGGGGGCAGCTGGTGCTTTCGGGGCGCGCTGGAAGTGGGGTGGGGGTGAGTGTGGACACGGCGGCGGCCGCGGCGCGGACGACAACAACTTGCTGGTTTTCAGGTTGGGTTAACGGCATGGAGAACAGCCACCCCCACCACCACCACCAGCAGCCCCCGCCGCAGCCCGGCCCTTCGGGCGAGAGGAGGAACCACCATTGGAGAAGTTACAAGTTGATGATTGACCCGGCCCTCAAGAAGGGGCACCACAAGCTCTACCGCTACGATGGGCAGCACTTCAGCCTGGCGGTGAGTCGCCGGCCCGGGACCCCTGCCCACCCCCACCCCACCCCCCGCCAACTGTCAGCCGCCGCGGGCCGCCGGCACTTTGACAAGCGGCCCTGAGGTGGGGGTGGGGGCTCCCCGGCTCCGGCTCCGGCAGAGGGTGGCCCTCCGCCCAGCCTCACCCCCACTCCCCGCTTGGTCCCTCCCCACAGATGTCCAGCAATCGCCCGGTGGAGATCGTCGAAGATCCCCGGGTCGTCGGGATCTGGACCAAAAACAAGGAGCTGGAGCTGTCGGTGCCCAAATTCAAGGTGGGACCCCTCCCCCTCCCCGCCCCAGGTTCGAAAATAACGCCAGCCCCGCGGGGTCCCCAGTTCCCGCCGTCCCTCCCGGCCTGGGAAGTTTTGGCGGGGAGGGCGCCATCCCCACCCTGGCCTCTGAGCAGCAGGCATCCCACTGGGGGTGCCCCACTAGGGGCTCCGGCTCCCCCACCAGACTCCTGCCCGCTCGGGGTCCCGCCCCCTGGCCAGCCCAGGCGCTTGGGAGCCGGTGGAGCTGGACTTGGGCAGAGGGAGCCGAACCTCCAGGGTCGCCCTGACCCGGGAGCGAGCAGAGGAGGCCAGCATGGGAGCTGGGGAGAGAGAAACTGTTTCTTTTTCCCCTTCCTTCCGAACCCAGAGGACTTCCACGTTCCAAACGATTTAATCCTCTGCTTCCCGGGCCCGCCCGTGTGCTCCACACCCCCCTCAAAATTTCATATTAAAAAAAAAAATTTTTTTTTTTTTAACTTGATTGTTTTCCACCAACCGGTGACTGGGGCACGTTGTGTGCTGGCTTCGGTTTCCTGGTTCTCCAAACTCCCTTCCTCCCTCGTCCCGGGCCAGATCGATGAGTTCTACGTGGGCCCCGTGCCCCCGAAGCAGGTGACATTTGCCAAGCTGAATGACAACATCCGAGAGAACTTCCTGAGGGACATGTGCAAGAAGTATGGGGAGGTGGAAGAGGTGGAAATTCTGTACAACCCCAAGACCAAGAAGCACCTGGGCATTGCCAAGGTGGTCTTCGCCACGGTCCGGGGGGCCAAGGAGGCTGTGCAACATCTGCACAGCACTTCGGTCATGGGCAACATCATCCACGTGGAACTGGACACCAAAGGTGAGTGAGCGTGCGCCTAGGGGCGGGGCCTCCAGAGACCTGTCACTGCTGCTTCCCCCCCTCTGCTGGGGGCCCGTGGGGGCTTAGAGCCCCTCCTCACTCTTCCTGGGAATCCCCCTCCCCACCTACTGACTGTTTTGCCCCCTCCTGAGGCTAGTCACATGGAGCTAGAGCTGTTGTCTGTTGCTAGGAGACAGGCTATAATTTCCCCGAGTGCTGGTCCTTGGCCACCGCGCCCCTGGGGGCCCTCCGGAGGCTTCCCCACCTCCAGCACACACACCCTCCCTCCCCACGGGCTCCCCTTGAAGCTCCTGGTGACCTGGGCTTTGGTGGTCTCCCCTGCTGTGTTAGGGAGGAGACGGGTTGGTTTGTTTCAGGGGGCTGAGGGGGAGCCAGTGGAATGCCTTTGAATGGGTGAAGAGAGGGTCCCCTATGCCAGAGTGAAGCCTCCCGGGCCGGGGCAGGCCCCCTGGAAGCGGGAGCTGGCTGGCCCGCATGCCTTCTCATTGATAGTGCTGCGGGGAGGAGCTGGGAGCGTGCAGGGCTGGCTGGGCGCGCCAGGCTCACACTGGCTTCCCTCCTCTCTCTTAAAGAGACCGCGCCTCCCAGTCGGTCAGCTCAGTGCATTCCCCAGAGCCAGCTGCCTGAGAACTGGGGTCCCCACGCTCCCTTGGGGGGCTGGCAGCCTTGGAGGGCATCCCCCATGGGGTCAGCCTGAGTTCTCTCAGAAGATGTCCCGAATGTTATAATTATACAAAAAGCAGCTGGCTACAAAAAGCAGCTGGCTATCGCGTGGGAGCGGTACTGTTGGGTCCAGAGTCCATTGGGGGTTCCTTCTCTCCCCCACCCCGACCCCCTGGGGTCCTTTCTGGGGAAAGGCTGGGGTGTGGTCTGCAGCCAGTTCGCGTTGGGAGTCAGCTGGGGCAATGCAAACCTGGGGCAAGGGAAGGTGAACAACCTGTGCTGACTTTGAGAGTGAGACAGTGCCAAGCTGTTTCCAGGGCCCTGCCCACTGTCATCCCAGGCACCAGTCTCCCCCCCTCGTGTGTGTGTGTGTGTGTGTGTGTGAGAGAGAGAGAGAGAGAGAGAGAGAGAGAGAGAGAGAGAGAGTGAGTGTGTGTGTGTGTGTGTAGGGTCCCTTTAAATGTGCACACCCCTCTCTGGGCAACTGCAGTCTGCTCGCTCCCTGAAAACTGGCTGTGGAACCCTGGCCCCTGGCTCGGCTGGCTCCACCTCCTCTCTGGTAGCTGCCGGGTCTACCCTAGACGTCACGGGGTGGGGGTGTGGGTGGACCTGCCCCTCAGAGACAAGCAGCTGAATAGTTTGTATTTCAAGAAGGAGCTGGGTGAAGTGAAGTGCAGCTCCAGGAATGCGCCTCCTTTGCATATGTAAGCAGCTGTCTGAGGCTCTATAAATACCCTGCCTCTGGGGCCCAGGGCCAGCCCAACCGGCCAGCAGCCTCCTACCAACACTGTATGCCCCTGGCTCGAGCTGAGGAGGCACCAGGGCCCAGAGAACCTGGGAAGGGACTTGGGGTTGGAGGTGGCTTCCCAGCCTTCCGGGCCCTTGCTCTGATTTTCAGCAACAGAAAAGCAATCAGAGAGTTTAACAGCTTTTCTGAACAGATGGGATGCCTAGTGCAGAGCCAAGGTGGCAGGAGCTTGGCCAGGGGCCGGGGTCTCTCAGGCCAAGCAGACTGGAGTCCCGAAGGGCTGCCCAGTCCCCCAGTCCCACCAAGTTCTCTCGCTCCTCCACAGGGGAAACCCGCATGCGGTTCTACGAGCTGTTGGTCACAGGCCGGTACACCCCGCAGACCCTCCCCGTGGGCGAGCTGGACGCCAGCTCTCCCATTGCCAGCGACGCCCTGCAGGTGGGTTTGGCTTCTCTCCCACGTCCCCAGCCGGGTCTCCTGGGACTGCTGGTCCCACTCCCGGTGGCTGCCAAGTTCAGCCCTCAGGGACGAGCCTGAGGCTTCGGGGTCCACACTGATATGGAGCCCCTGTGGTGTCCAGAGGCATCCTTAAAACTCCCTGTCCCAAGACAGGCCTCTTCTAGAAGAAAGCCGAGCCCTTCCCTGACCAGTGCCTGCTGAGACACCCCCTGGGAGGGGGCTCACCCAACCCCTCTGGGCAGCTCTGCTCTCCGTCTTGTTGCCTCGCCATGCTGTTTAAACCCAAATGTGAGCCTCCAGAGGCAGAGCCAAGCTCTAGGCTCTCCCCTTGCCACCCAGCCTGTGTTTGGGGTCACAGCCTGCCGGGCTCAAACGAAGCAGGAAGTCTGTCCCCTGACAGCTAGGGGTCTGGCCTTCTCTTCACTGCCTCAGGGTTAGGAGTGACTTCCAGGTCCCCTGGGGACAGGCGGCCACTGGGAAGGTAGGGCCCTCTGACTTCTGGTCCTTGGGAGCGCTTGGCCTCTGAGCTCCCCAGCAGCCCTGTCCCCCGGCCACATTGCTTGCTTCTCTCTCCAGCTGTCAGATGCCCTGAAGCGCCTCAAGGATGGCAGCCTGTCTCTGGGCTGTGGGTCCGGCTCCTCCTCCGTCACCCCCAACAGCGGCGGGACGCCTTTCTCGCAGGACACGGCTTATTCCAGCTGCCGCCTGGACACCCCCAACTCCTACGGACAGGGCACGCCCCTCACGCCGCGCCTGGGCACCCCCTTCTCACAGGACTCCAGCTACTCCAGCCGCCAGCCCACACCCTCCTACCTCTTTGGCCAGGACCCCACCACCACCTTCAAGGCCAGGCGCCACGAGAGCAAGTTCACGGACGCCTACAACCGGCGCCACGAGCATCATTATGTGCACAACTCCAACGCGGCCACTGTGGCAGGAACTGCGGCCTCCTTCCGGGGTTCTTCTGACCTGCCCTTTGGGGCAGTGGGAGGCGGAGGGGGCGGCAGCGGCCCTCCCTTCAAGGTCCAGCCGCAGGACTCGAGTTCTTTTGCCCACACGCCACCCCCCAGCCAGGCCGCTCCTGCTCCTGGGTTCAAGTCAGCTTTCTCTCCATACCAAACCCCTGCACCTCCTTTCCCCCCGCCTCCCGAGGAGCCTGCTGCCACCGCCACCTTTGGGACCCGTGACAGTGGGGAGTTCCGGAGAGCCCCTGCACCCCCGCCCCTGCCGCCTTCGGAGCCCCCAGCTAAGGAGAAACCGGGGACACCACCCGGCCCGCCACCCCCGGACACCAGCAGCATGGAGCTGGGCGGCCAGCCCACCTTCGGCTGGAGCCCTGAGCCCTGCGACAGCCCCGGCACGCCCACACTGGAGTCCTCTCCCGCGGGCCCTGAGAAGCCACACGACAGCCTGGACTCGCGCATCGAGATGCTGCTGAAGGAACAGCGCACCAAGCTGCCCTTCCTACGGGATCAGGACTCGGATGCCGAGCTGCAGATGGAGGGCAGCCCCATCTCCTCCTCCTCCTCCCAGCTCTCGCCACTCACACCCTTCGGCACTAACTCTCAGCCCGGCTTCCGGGGTCCCAGCCCGCCCTCCTCGCCCCCCTCCAGCACGGGGCTGGAAGACATCAGTCCCACGCCGCTGCCGGACTCTGATGAGGACGAAGATGAGCTGGGCTTGGGGCCACGGCCCCCGCCTGAGCCGGGCCCTCCGGACCCCGCTGGACTTCTGGGCCAGACAGCTGAGGTGGCTTTGGATCTGGCTGGAGACAGGACCCCGACCTCAGAAAAGATGGATGAGGTACCCCCCGCCCTTGTCTGTCTGTCTGTGTGCAGTTGGTTTTGTCTCTCTTACGTCCCCTTGTATGCTCACGAAGAACGACACAGGCTAAGGGGCAGCAGGGCGCGGGCAGTCAGCATGGGCGCTGGAGGGAGAGGGGAAGATGGCAGTGGCACCAGGCAGCTGGCTTGGCTCCCAGCTCCCGGGCAGCCGTGAAGAGAAGGAAAACGTGGCTGAGTCTTGCTGTCCTTGCTGGGGGAGGCAGTCAGGGTTTTCCCTCAACCTGCTTCATTGCAGTGGGGTCGTGGTGATAGTTAAGGGATTCCTTCTCTGCTGGGAATTCCGGACCTGGGAACATGGGGCTAGTCCTGACACTCAGCTGAGGGGGTGGGATGTCAGGGGGCTGAGCACTGACACCCCGAGCCTGGTGCCCTTTGAGGAGGTGGAAGGCCAGGCAGGAGGGTGCTGGAGAGCCCCTTCTGGCTAGGGGGGCCCCAGGTGCAGTCCTCTCCCTAGGTCTCCCTCCAGCCTCCAGCCTCTAGGTTCCTCTGGGACAGGTTAGCCTGTGCTCCCCCTTCTCTGGGGACACCTGCTTAGCCCTCCTGGAGGCACACTTTAGAGCCAGACCCTGGAGGTAGGCAGGCCATGGCGCCTAGAGCCCTGCCTCTGCGCATGTCGGGAGCTAAAGCTGGGCCACCTGCACAGGAGGGGGCCTCTAGGCAGTTTGGGGAAAGTGGTTTTGGGCACCAGGGGTCCGGGCAGGCAGAGCTGACAGGTGTGCAGACGTGGGATCGGCCAACCTGTCCCCTTCCGCCTGTGCCTCCTTCTGGGCAGCCTGGGGTTGGGGTTTTACCATGCTGACCAGCTGGGCCAGAGCCGATAGGCAGGCCGTGAGAGCTGGGGCTGGGAGCGCTAGGACTTACGGCCTCCGGAGCCCCCTGCTGGCGACTGAGAGGACCACACTGGGCTCCTCCGGTAGTCTGGGGGTGGGTGAAGGGGTGCAGGGAGAACCCAGACACAGCACAAAGCAGGCTGAAGCCAAAGCGGGGGCGCCACACAGGGCAGACCCGCAAGGGGAGTACGGGTGGGAGCTGCTTCTCCGCAGAGGCCAGTGGTCAGCAGTGTGGAATCTCCTCTGGGACCTTGCACCCCAGCCCTGCGCATCTCAGGCTGTGTGCCTCAGGAAGGCACTTTCCCTCTTCAAATCTCAGTTTCAAACTCTGTAAAATGGGCCAGTCCTAAGTGAGCGTGAGCTTCCCTGGAGGCCTCAGCACCTGAGGCCTCACCTGGCACTTGCTGTGGCCTCCCAGCTGTCCCCGGCAGCCAGAGGGGCGGAGGGAGGGGTGGGCCGTGCAGGGATTGGTTGGCAGCAGCCGCCTGGGTTAACCCTCTGTGTGCTGCATCAGGCCTGACCTGCTGCTGTCTGGGACCTGGGGTTTGGGTCCCTGATTTCCTGAGCTGTGCGGAGCTGACAGCTCGTGTCACGTGTGTGTGTGTGTGTGTGTGTGTGTGTGTAGAACAGGCCAAGGAAAACTGGGCTGTGGGCTGAGGAGAACCCCTGCTGAGGAAGAGGTCCCCCTTGCTGCCTCCCTTCCTCCTCTTGCCACTCCCAGATTCCAGCAGCAGCCTATTCCTGGGCTGGGGTACCTGGCAAGACCCTCTGTCCTCTTGTTTTTAAAAGTTGAAAAATGCGGAGAGATCCCCCTCCATCTGTTGACTCACCCCACCGCTGGCACTGGGCGGCCAAAGCTATTGGCAGGGACCCAAGTACAAGGGCCTCTCGGGGTACAAGTTAACAAGAAGCCAGCCAGGTCTCTCCTGTGGGGTACGAGCCTCCCAAACCATGCCATCCCACCCTCCTCAACCCTGGGTCTGTGTGGCAGAGAGCGCCACCTTGTGAGGCTCCTGTGCTCTGCTGGGGTTCCCTGACCCACAGACTGGCTATCTGGCCCTGGGTAAGGTGCTGGAGCCCTGGTGCTCCCAGTGTTCCTATCTCTGAGCATGAAGATGTTGGAGTCGCCTCTGTGTGGGGGGCGCCTGGGCCAGGCGGGGGGCTCAGGGATGCCCCATACAGGCTGCAGCAGTCCCAGGGACAGCAGAACCCCCGCCCCTATTTCCCTGTGGTCTCAGCATCCCTGGCCTCCCCTCCCTGTAGATGGTCAACGCTGGAAGGGCAAGGTGGGCCTCGCATGCAGAACAGGGGCAGGCAGGTGCTGAGTTTGTGAGTGGCCTCATGTGTGCTCCCAGGAGCCCCCAGGTGCTGGAAGAGTAGCTGAGGCTGGGGTGGGGTGTGATGGGGGCTCACTGGGGTCGCCTTAATGCTGCCGTGGACTGGGGCTCAGGAGGGGATGCTGGCTGCCAGGCTCGCCCCAGCTGCCCATGTCTGCTCTCTTTCCAGGGCCAGCAGTCCTCCGGTGAGGACATGGAGATCTCAGATGATGAGATGCCCTCGGCTCCCATCACCAGCGCTGATTGCCCCAAACCTATGGTGGTGACCCCAGGGTCGGCAGCCGTGGCAGCCCCTGCTGTGCTGGCTGCCAGCCTGCCGCTGCCCCCACCACCCGGCTTCCCACCACTGCCCCCGCCGCCGCCGCCGCCTCCCCCGCAGCCCGGCTTCCCCATGCCGCCCCCGCTACCGCCGCCGCCACCACCCCCAACACACCCAGCGGTGACTGTGCCCGTGCCACCACCGCCGCTGCCTGCACCGCCTGGGGTGCCACCACCACCCATCCTACCGCCACTGCCGCCTTTCCCACCCGGGCTGTTCCCGGTGATGCAGGTGGACATGAGCCACGTGCTGGGCGGCCAGTGGGGTGGCATGCCCATGTCCTTCCAGATGCAGACACAGATGCTGAGCCGCCTGATGACTGCCCAGGGTGCCTGCCCCTACCCACCCTTCGTGGCTGCTGCTGCTGCGGCCGCCTCAGCTGGGCTGCAGTTTGTGAACCTGCCGCCTTACCGCGGCCCCTTCTCGCTGGGTGGCGCAGGCCCGGGCCGAGGCCAGCCATGGCCCCCACTGCCCAAGTTTGACCCATCGGTGCCACCGCCAGGCTATGTGCCGCGCCAGGAGGACCCGCACAAGGCCACGGTGGACGGCGTGTTGCTTGTGGTGCTTAAGGAACTCAAGGCCATCATGAAGCGTGACCTGAACCGCAAGATGGTGGAGGTGGTAGCCTTCCGCGCCTTCGACGAGTGGTGGGGCAAGAAGGAGCGCATGGCCAAGGTGAGGGGCACAGGCCGGGCAGCACGGGGCCCCAGCCACGCCACCAAGGGCCTCTCAACACAGCAGGACGCTCTTGGCTTCGCAGCACAGGGTCCCCCAGCACAGCACCCAGCCTGTGCCTGGCCTCTTGGGTCACCACAGAACACCTTCCTGCTTTCTCTTCCTTTCTTTTCTTCTCTTTTATTTTCCTTTCTTTTTTCTCTTTTAAAGATTTATTAATGAAAGACACAGATACAGACAGGGAAAGAGAGAAAGCTTCCATGTGTTCTGTGTGTCGGTTCACTCCTCATAGGGCCATGACAGCAGAGCTGGGTCGGTCCCAAGCCTGGAGTTTCTTCCTGGTCTCCCCTGTGGGTGAGGGGCCCAAGGACCATCTTGCCATCCTTCCCCAGGTGCATTAGCAGCATGTGGAGAGGCTGGGACTCGGCAGGCACCCACGTGAGATTCTGGCGTCACAGGCAGTGTCTTGGTGCTCCACAGCACTGGCCCCAAAACTTTTTCTCGAATGTTTCAAAGCTGCTTCAGCCACAGTCTGATGGACCTGTCTGAGGTGGCCGAGGTGGTCAGATCTACTTTGAGAAATGCAGCCTTGAGAGCTTGCTGCCTTGCAGCCGGGGTGGGCAGCACCTGTCCTAGCCGGTCCATTAGGTGCGTAGTGGGCCAGTGACATCACAGTGAGCCTGCTGACACTGCAGTGAGAGGCACAATCCTTCCCCCCCGACGTGGGACCCTTGCAGGACACAGGGCTCTCCTTGCGTCTCCTCTGAGTCTTGTCCATGAGGCCTCTCAAGCCCAGGGGTGTCCCCTCCCTCCTGGCATCCTGCCTTGGGCTAGGGTGGGAGAGTGTCTGGGTTCTATGACACTTGTGTGGACTCACAGCATGTTCCCCAGTGAGACATGGAGGGCAATTGAGAGTGTCCAAGGCCAGGGCCCCAGGCAGGCCCTCCACAGGCCTGGGACCTTGGTGACTGTCTCGTCTCCTCGCAGGCCTCGCTGACTCCTGTGAAGTCGGGCGAGCACAAGGATGAGGACCGGCGGAAGCCCCGGGACCGAGTGGCCTCATGCCTGCTGGAGTCGTGGGGCAAGGGTGAGGGCCTGGGCTGCGAGGGCCTGGGCCTGGGCATCGGCCTGCGCGGGGCCATCCGCCTGCCCTCCTTTAAGGTCAAAAGGAAGGAGCCGCCTGAGGCAGCCTCGTCTGGTGACCAGAAGCGTCTCCGGCCTTCGACCTCTGTGGATGAAGAAGATGAAGGTTTGCGTCCTGCCCCCTGGTGCCGGGTGGTGCGGTCCCTTGCTCCCTGCCCCCAGCCTAGCCCTGACACTTTTCCCTACAGAATCTGAGCGGGAGCGGGACCGGGACATGGCGGAGGCCCCATGCGAGCTTGCCAAACGGGACCCCAAGGGTGTAGGGGTACGGCGGCGGCCGGCGCGACCGCTGGAGCTGGACAGTGGCGGGGAGGAGGACGAGAAGGAGTCCCTCTCGGTGTCTTCATCCTCATCGGCATCCTCATCCTCGGGGTCCTCAACAACCTCACCCTCGTCCTCGGCCTCCGATAAGGAGGAGGAGCGGGATAGTACCGAAGAGGAGGAAGGGGAAGAGGAAGAAGAGGAAGAAGAGGAAGAAGGTGGCCCCCGGAGCCAGATCTCTTCTTCCTCAACCTCATCCTCATCAGACAAGGTATGACCTGGCCAAGAGCCCAGGGCCAGGGCAGGGGACAGACCCCTTGGCTCACTGCCCCCCACCCATCCCTGTCTCCCAGGATGATGACAGTGATGATCAGGATGAGTCCGAAAACGAGGACGAAGACTCGGCCCTGTCGGAAGCCAGCCAGAAGAACGACGGGGACTCTGATGGAGGTGAGGGGCCAGAGTCAGGGCCTTGGTGTCACCTCGTTCCAGCTCACGCACAGCCTTACATGCATGCAATATCTGGAGTGGGTGGGCAGCTGGGGCAGGGAGCGGGGCAGGGAGCGGGGCAGGGACTGGGAAGGTGGGTTAGACCCACCTTTGGCTAACACCTGGACCCAAGTGCTGTTGAGCTGTGCATGTGCATGTCTCAATGAGGAGCGCGGCATGGCTCAGGGGCAGCGCCTGGCCCAGTCGGAGCCCAGCAGTCAGGCGATGGCTCTGTGTCTATGTCCCCATCCAGAGGAGACGGTGAGCATCGTCACGTCCAAGGCTGAGGCTGAATCGTCCAGCGGGAGCTCTGAGTCTTCTGAGTTTGAGTCAAGCTCAGAGTCCTCATCTTCGTCCTCAGAGGATGAAGAGGATGTGGAGACAAAGGATGAGGAGGAGGAAGAGGAGGAAGAAGAGGAGGGGAAGGTGGGACCAGTGGACAAAAGCTCGGCCTCTGCTGGCGCTGAGAGCTTTGAGGAGGCCAAGGAGGAGGAGTCCCTGGCCCTGGAGGTTCTCACCGGGGAGGCACTGGGCACTGAGGAGGAGGTGGACATTGAGGTGGAGGACGAAACCCCCCAGGAGCCGGCGCCTGTGCCTGTGGATGCTGAGGAGCTGGCGCGCTGCAAGCGGCCCCCTGAGGAGCCAGATCTGAGCCAGCAAGGACCCATGGTGGTGTCACCGGAGCCCCGGGCCACAGAGGCAGAGCCCCAACCCCCCTCGTCCCCTGAGCTCGCCCCAGGTAAAGTTGATAAGGCCTGTAGCCCCCTGTTGGTTAGTGTGCCTTTGTGCCACAGTTCCCAGTATCATCCTGGGACCACCAGCCCCGTGAGCTGGGGTGTGTGAAAAGGAAGAAGGTAGTTGTCCCCAGTCAACGTAGTGAGTCCTGACAGACCTGGGGATGCGGGCAGGGCGTCAGGGCAGGGCCTCCTGCATGGAGGTGATTGGTGCACATGCTGGATGCATGCTGGACTCAGTGCTCCTTGAGCCACCCTCCCAGCTAGGTCCTAGACCAGGGTAAGAGATGACAGCAGAGAATTAGACAAGGGAGGAAAATACTAGAAGAAAAGCAGGGACGGCTCTGACAAGTCCTGCAGAAAAAAAAGACAGTTGGAGTTGCGTCTCAAAGCAGAAGCAGTCCTGTGAAGGCAGCTCACAACCACATTTCCTGTGTCTGTGATATGCCGTGGCATCCATAAGCACCTACTGTGTGTCCTGTGCTGGTGTCAGGTGGGCCTTGAGTGGCTTAGCTAGAGCAAGGCCCTATGCTCCCAGAACCCAAGGGATTCCTAGGGCTGTGGGCCAGACATGTGTTGAGCGCATAGTAGGGCAACATCGGTCAGGTCTGGAGAAGTCATTTGAGTTGTAACTGCTGTCTGCTCGCTTCTCTGCAGGGGATGACCTGGAAATGGAGCCCGTGCCCCCTCCAGCACTCACCTTGCCTCTGCAGCCACCATTACCGCCCCCTCGGCCCCCTCGGCCCCCCAGTCCACCACCAGAGCCTGAGACCCCAGACCTTCCGCACCCACCCATCGCCCCGGAGCCTCTGCCCGAGGACCAGCCCCCACGTACCCCAGGCCTGTGTGGCAGCCTGGCCAAGTCGCAGAGCACAGAGACAGTGCCGGCTACACCAGGCGGGGAGCCGCCTCTGTCGGGGGGCAGCAGCCTGTCCCTGAGCTCCCCGCAGGTACCCGGCAGCCCCTTCTCCTACCCGTCCCAGTCCCCAAGCTTGGGCAGCGGGGGCCTCCCACGGACGCCTGGCCGGGATTTCAGCTTCACACCCACCTTCCCAGAGCCCAGTGGGCCCCTGCTTCTGCCCGTGTGCCCGCTCCCTGCCGGCCGGCGTGATGAGCGCTCTGGCCCCCTGGCTTCCCCTGTGCTCCTGGAGACAGGTCTGCCCCTCCCACTGCCCCTGCCTCTGCCCCTGCCCCTGGCACTGCCCGTACCCGTCCTACGGGCCCAGGCTCGGGCGCCAACCCCACTACCCCCTCTGCTTCCAGCCCCACTGGCCCCTTGCCCTGCCCCCATCAAAAGGAAGCCGGGCCGGCCCCGGCGGTCCCCACCATCCATGTTGTCATTGGAAGGGCCTTTGGTCCGGCCACCAGCAGGGCCTGCCCTCGGGAGGGACCTGCTGCTGCTGCCTGGCCAGCCTCAGGCCCCTGTCTTCCCCAGCACTCACGACCCCCGGGCTGTGACCCTGGACTTCCGGAACACGGGGATCCCAGCCCCGCCTCCACCCCCACCTCCTCAGCCACCCCCACCCCCACCACCCCCGCCCATTGAGCCCACCAAGTTGCCCTTCAAAGAGCTGGACAACCAGTGGCCTTCTGAGGCTATTCCCCCGGGCCCGCGTGGGCGTGATGAGGTCCCCGAAGACTACATGGATCTGATTAAGGCGCGGGGGCAGTGGCGCCGGCCCCTCAAGAAACGCCATGAAGATCTGGTTGCTGCCTCTGCCTCGCCTGAGCTCTCACCACCCCAGCCCCTCTTCCGGCCCCGCACCGAGTTCGAGGAAATGACCATCCTGTATGACATCTGGAATGGTGGCATTGACGAAGAGGACATCCACTTCCTGTGTGTCACATATGAGCGGCTGCTGCAGCAGGACAATGGCATGGACTGGCTCAACGACACACTCTGGGTCTACCATCCCTATATCCTGCTGACCGTGGGGGTCGGTGCCACGAGCATGGGGGACCCAGCCCTCTGGGCTGTTGCAACAGAAGCAGTAGCATGAGTTAGGTGCCACCTGCCAAGATTTATTTATTTTTATTGGAAAAGCAGATTTACAGAGAGAAGGAGAGACAGATCTTTCATCTGCTGGTTCGCTCCCCCAAGTGGCCGCAACAGCTGGAGTTGAGCTGATCTGAAGCAAGGAGTCAGGAGTTTCTTCCAGGTCTCGCACATGGGTGCAGGGTCTCTAAGGCCTTGGGCCATCCTCAACTGCTTTCCCAGTCCACAAGCAGGAAGCTGGAAGGGAAGTAAAGCAGCTGGAATACAAATTGGCACCCATATGGGATCCCAGCACATGCAGGGCAAGGAATTTAGCTACTAGGCTACTGTGCCAGGCTGCAGCTAAGCCACTTTTAACTGCTCGCTCCAGGCCAAACCTTTCTCCAGGGGTGGCAGGTTCCTGACTGGGTCCTGTGAGCTAACACAGGTAGGCTGAACACTCGCATGCCCTGACCCCGCATCACCTGATTTCTTTAAAAAAAAAAGCTTTATTTGTTTATTTCTCTGAAAGTCAGAATGACAGACAGGAGAAGGAAAGATAAAGGAAGAGATGAGCCCTCTGGCTCACTCTTGAAAACGGCCACGAGGCCAGGGCTGGACCCGGCTGCAGCCAGGGGCCTAGAGCTCCGGCTGTCTCCCATGTGGATGAAGGACACCTTCCAGTGCCTTCCCAAGCCTGTTGCAAAGCTGGACAGAGAGCAGTGCTGCAGGAGAGGGTGCCAGCATTGCAGGGAGCAGTTTAATTTACTGTCCTACAACGCCTGCCCCTTTGTTTTATTAAAAGGCACAGAGAAGAAACAGACAAAAACCTCCCATCTTGTGGTTCACTCCCTAAAGCAGAAGCCAGGAGCAAGGAACTCAGCCATTTCTTTCATGTGGGTGTTAGGGATCCAACCACTCATACCTCCAGTCAGAAACTAGAATCAGGAGGAGCCAGGGCTTGAACCAGGCTCCCTGAACCCTGACCAAAGGTCCACCCCTCATCACCCAGCTTAATTCCCCTATCTTTTGAAGAGGCAGGGCTGCCATTTCTTTGTTTTGCATAAGAAGAAACAGGCTCAGAAAGGGCAAGCTGCCTGCCTGAGGCCACATAGCTGCCACTCAGGCCTCACTGTCACCCCAATTCTGAGATGGGAAACTGAGGCAGGAAGTGGCAAAGGAATGTGACCCCCAAAGCTACGCCATTGGGTCCTGACTCTGCTTGGCTATAGTAGTGACAGCGTTGGTCCTGCCTCCCTGGACCCTGTTGTGGGGCTGGGGAGGCCAGGCACAACGGGCAGGTGTCTTGAGGTCCAAGGAGGGCTTTGCTGAGAATGATCACATGGCCCTTGACCCACACCCACCCACCAGCCTCTCTTCAGCTAAGAAGAAGAAGCGGGATGACGGTATCCGCGAGCACGTGACGGGCTGTGCCCGGAGTGAGGGCTTCTACACCATCGACAAGAAGGACAAGCTCAGATACCTCAACAGCAGCCGCGCCAGCACTGACGAGCCCCCTGCCGACACCCAGGTACTGCCCCTGCGGGACTGGGGGTCAGCTGAGAGCACAGCCAAGGGGTGGTCTCTGTCCTACCAGTGGCAGGAAGCCCACAGGGGGTTCTGGGCTGTGGGCTGAGTGGATCTACAACCTCGACAAATTCAGTTGCATCTCCCTGCTCAGCTTGAGCTCCTGTGTGAGGCTGCAGTGAGCCAACTAGTGGGGGAGGGAGGACCTATGAGCAAGCAGGGGGAGTGCTGTGGGGAGACCCAGAGACAGGTGTGGAAGGCTGTACTGTGGTACCAGCCAAGGAAGGTGCTCCTGTGATAGAAGTAGACGATGCTTGGCTTATTGGGAACTTATCAGATCCCACTGGCCACACGCACAGAGCAGTGTGTGAGCAGGTCACAGAGCCTGGACAAGAGAGAGGCCTGGGCTCCAGGATCCTGGGAGCCGGAGGGGGGCAGGCGAGGGCAAGCATCAACCAGGGAACTACAGACGATGGAGACAGCAAAGCCCCCGAGCTGTGATTGGGTTGTCCAGGGCTTGGGGCCAGGGATGTGGCCTGGCTGCATGCCTAGGACTCAGATCCAAGCCTGACTGGTACTGGCTGCATACTCAGGGCATGAGCATCCCTGCGCAGCCCCACGCTTCCACACGGGCTGGCTCAGAGCGGCGGTCGGAGCAGCGTCGCCTGCTGTCCTCCTTTACCGGCAGCTGTGACAGTGACCTGCTCAAGTTCAACCAGCTCAAGGTGAGCCAGGGACCTACCCAGGGCAGCCATGGTGGGGACAGCACGGAGACCTGGGGGCAGGGCTGACTTCCCTGCCTTCCCTCCTCAGTTCCGGAAGAAGAAGCTCAAATTCTGCAAGAGCCACATTCATGACTGGGGCCTATTTGCCATGGAGCCCATTGCTGCGGATGAGATGGTCATCGAGTACGTGGGTCAAAACATCCGCCAGGTAGGTGCAGTGTGGTGCGGTGGGCAGTGGGGCGGGCACAGGCCGTGCAGCACCATCTGACAGCCTTCCCCACCAGGTGATCGCGGACATGCGCGAGAAACGCTACGAGGACGAGGGCATTGGGAGCAGCTACATGTTCCGGGTGGACCATGACACCATCATTGATGCCACCAAGTGTGGCAACTTCGCACGCTTCATCAACCACAGTTGCAACGTGAGTGCCTGCAGGGGCCTCCGCTGCCCCTGCCTCTGCTAGTAGGACCCCTTGCAAGTCCCCCGCCTGGGAGCTGGTCGTGTGCCTGGGGCCGGGGGGAGGCAGGGATGTGAGACCCTGAATGATGAGCCCTGCTCAGCCTTGAGCGTCAGGTCTCTGTGAAGTGGGCATGCAGGAGGCTGCGGGAAGCACTAACAGCTTCAGAAATACTCGGTTCAATCGTGGGCTCCCTCAGCGCCTCCCTGGGCTGGGCTTGGAGAGACTCCCTCGCCCACTGCAATGGGAATGCTGTGCCTTTGTGTATTATACACTAAAGAAGAGGCTGCTTGCTCACATATGGGTGCGTGTGGTCTGGTGTCACATGTGGGGGGCCTGAGGTGGTTGTATGTGGTGTGGCATGCCTGCCTGTGGTGATGTACTCAGTGTTCCTGCTGAAGTGCAGCGTATAGGCCCTGGACTAGAGCTCAGAAGCAGGCCCGGGCTGGACACTCTTACATCAGGGTCAGCTGCCGGAGGAATGGCAGTGGGAGCCTTGGGCCGGAAGAGCCCAGGCATGCATGGGTTGGTGAGACTGGGACCCACGCTTCCCCTCTCCTGCCACAGCCCAACTGCTACGCCAAGGTGATCACAGTGGAGTCGCAGAAGAAGATTGTCATTTACTCGAAGCAGCATATCAGTGTCAACGAGGAGATCACCTACGACTACAAGTTCCCCATCGAGGACGTCAAGATCCCCTGCCTCTGTGGCTCTGAGAACTGCAGGGGGACCCTCAACTAGCCCCGCCCCATTTCAGGTGCTGTTCCCTCCCCAGGGGCCACGCCAGGGCCTGGACCCCAACACTACCCCAGGACACCCCCTGCAGCTCCGGCCTCTTGGCGGGAAAGGGCTTCTCTGTCCGTCAGCCCGCGTCTCTGTTTTAGAACTGCTCCTTGCAGGGGCATCGCTGACCATGAACTTGTGTCTCTGTGTCCCTGTCTCCCTCTGGCTTCTCTCTCTCTCTCTGTCCTCAGCCTCTTCTCATGAATGCTGCTACATGGTTTGGTCTTCTCTGCATTTTTGTCCTCGTCATAAGGAAAGACATTTTAACCGTTGAAATGTGAAGACAGAATCAGAACGGGCCTCAGCTGGCGCCCGATGTGCGGCCAGGTGCTGTGGGAGCAGGGGCCGCCCCGACCACGACCTCAGAACACTACGGAGCTGACAGGCCCTTCTGCCCGCGCAGCAGTGCGGAGCCCGGAGCCTCCCAACCCACTCCCCGGCTTTCTCCCTGACGGGCTGGGGCAGACCCTGGAGGAGCTCGCCATGTGGCCCCCTGCCCACCCCCCACCTTGGGTTCAATGTTTACTTTTTCATTTGGATGCCAGCAGCGGGAGGGAGCCCCCTGGGGTCCCGGAGTGGGTGTGGAAGCCTGGAGGACAAGGGGTCTCTCCCGCCCCGCCCACCCCCAGAGGCAGTGTCACCACGCAGTGTGGCCCATGGCAGGGCTTTTGTCCATGAGCTTCACATTACCAGCCCAAGCAAGCAGCTGAGTCCTTCCAGAGGAGGAAAGTGTTGGGAAAACATGTTAAAGTCAGACGATCCGAGTTCTGGACAGCTTTTTCCTTTTAACCCTTTTCACCCCTCCCATCCCCATCCAGGTTTATGTCCATGAATTATTTTTTTTCCTTGTGTGTATATAAAACCTGAGCACAGGGGAAGACTGTGGGTGTTGGCAATTCAGAGGCAGCCCCTGTGCTTAGACCTGCAAAGGACTCCTGGGCAGTGTGGTTTCCTGGCTCCGGGCTTGTCTCCTACTGTGGGAAAGCAGTGCACCCGTCGTTGGCCGGCGAGCCGAGCAGGCGTGTACATAGGCTCCGGAGCACGGCTGCCGTACCTGGGAGCCAGTGCTGCAATGAGAGGCTCCCAGGGGATGGACCCAGACCCGGTGCCTCTGGTATCTCAGCTTGTGTCAAGCTTATTATCATGTAAATTCTGTACAAAGAATTGTTATTTTTCTTTTCTTTTTTTTTTTTTTTTGTCGGTGGTTTTGTTTTTCTCAGTCCACCTAGACCCTCTCGGTTTGAGACCGTACCCACCAGTTTCCAAGCCAAGAGTTGGAGGCTTACAATGTGGTGGGGGTGGGGGGTCCCTAGGCACCGTGGCAACCTTCTCTTCCATTTGTGTTTCTTTGCCTAATTGTGCAACCAGGGACATATTTATTTTTCACCCGAGGAAAGATAGCTGGTAGAGATGACTGATTTGAGTTCCCCATCCCTCCCCTTCCCCGTGAGAGAAAGGAAGGGGGTAATGAGGGTGCCAGGGAGGGGCTGGCCTCGCCCTACCATGCTGGGGCCTCAGGCTTCTCCCAGGGCCAGGGTTTGGGCCCCCTCTGGAACCCCACCCCATGGCTGGAAATCACCTAAAAAAATGTTGCCTCATATTTCTTTCAACTCCTTCATTTTCATTGAAAAAAACCTCTGCTTTTGAAGAGTTGGGGTTTTCTGCCTCTCCCCTCCTCCCCATGCAAAGAAGAGATCAATTCTAGGGACGTTTGTGCGTGTAGACTCTGTCACCCTTATGTACCTTGTTCTGAAGAGAAGTGTCTCCGTGGTGGGTATCTTGCTGTAAATACTTGTTGATATTTTTGTGAATTCAATACTATATACCATTGTATTATAGTAACTTTTATAAAGCAAACCATAAATACACTGACTTTTCTTACAGATCCGCCATCTCTCTTGCTCTCCTCTCCTGTCCTGCATCTCTCTCTCTCTCTCTCTCTCTCTCTCTCTCTCTGCCAGGGGTGTGCTGCACTCACGCCATCCGTGTGCAGCACTGAGGAGGGTTCTGACAGCGCTCCCCACAGCTTTTCTGATCTCCTTCTGGGTTGGTGGTTTGGGGCTTGGTTTTATCCCCCAGTTTCTAGCTTCTTAAAACTGGGGGTGTCTCATGCTGATGGTATTTGCCATCATTTGGAAAGAAGGTGTCCTCAGGACACCTGACAGCTAAAGAGCCCATGTGACAGTCACAGGTAGCGAATTCACACGTCTGGAGCTTTGACATTCTGGGGGTGGGGCGGGGACATTGGCGGGAGCCAGGGAGAGCGTGACTATGAAGGCACTGTGACTCCCTCCCCACAGCTGGACAGCGACCTTTGGCCCCCAGAGCTCTCGGGGCACTGGATGCCAAATGCTGCCTCCCCACATGGGGGTAACCACATGTGCCAGGGGATACTTGCAGCCTCTGTGGTCGGCTATGGGACCAGGTGGCTCTGGGGAGGAAGGTGGAGTTCCTTTCGTACACTCGTCCTAGTACCTACTGAGCTCAAACCATAAGCAGGCCCTGGGACTTCCAAGGTGAACAAAGCTCAGGGAAGGGGTGTCCACTGGGTTAGGGAGCACAGGTTCAGGCAGCGGTGCAGAACCGGCAGTGCCCTGGGTGGAGGGAGGTGAAGGAGATGCTGGCAGGGCAGCACCAAGTGCCCATCTGCTCAGAAGTGTGCAGCATCTGTGGTGGCTCTTGTGTTCACACCTCTTCCCTTCACTGCCCAAGGAGGACAGTCCTGCCTTGCTCCTCCACATCCCACCCACGTCTCATGGCTCCTTGTTCCTGGGTTCCCTCCCTCTCCTTTGCTCCCCTCAGTGCCCTGAGCTGTAAACATTTCCTTAGCTCTGCTCAGGGATGGGGGTGGACACATACCCGCAGCCCCCTTGTGCCAGCCACTATAAAACCTCTGACATCCGATGAAGACGGCCCAAGTCCACATGGTGGGGTCTGACCATGGGGGTTGTGAACCTGGGCAGTATGGCTGGCTCCCTCCTCCCCTACAAGATGCTTTCTGCTCAACTTCTGGGTGTCCTGGCCTTATTGTCCCAGAATGCTGTAATGTGTTATGAAAACCTGCAGATGGTGGAGTAGCCTAGCAGCTGAAGTCCTTGCCTAGAACACATTGTGATCCCATATGGGAGCTGGTTCTAATCCAGGCATCCCTACTTCCCATCCGGCTCTCTACTTGTGGCCTGGGAAAGCAGTCAAATACTGCCCAAAGCCATGGAACCCTGCACCCAGAGGCTCAGCTCTATTCATTGCGGCCACTTGGGGAGTGAATCATTGGATGGAAGTTCTTACTCTGTTCTCTCTGTATATCTGACTTCACACACACAAAAAGCCTGCAGGCAAATGAAACAGGACTGGAGCCAGACCTGGCCAGCATCCACCAGAAGCAACCTTGTGCGGGACAGCATGAGCCCTGCTGAAACCTGGGTTGGGGTGGAGTCTCCTGGCCAGAGCCCGAGGCCCTGGCCCCCGGGGTCTTTCAGGTTGAATTTTGATGTTTCTGATCCCTGATGCTCCCTTCATTTCTCCCATCCCCTGAACATGTATATGTTCCCCAGGCCACCCCCACAGACAGGACCCTGGGAGCACAGGGAAGGGACCCAGTTCCCATTCCCTATATCCCTCTCCGCCCCTTCCTTTCCAAGGTTGTGGGGCACACCCCTCTCTGGAAGCGGGCTGGAGGGCTGAGGGATGCTCTCTGAGGCCCAGGTATGGTTTCCCCGTCCGGAACACGCGGCCTGTCTCCCAGGCCTCGAGGCCGAGCTCCGCCTGTCTGTCGCTAAGACCAGCCCTCCGGGTTTCTCGGGGCTGGCTCCTCAGCGTCCCCGCCTCAGAGCAGCGTCCCTTCGGCGCGGACGCCTCCCTGGCAGCGATGGGGCGTCAGCGAGCCGCGGCGGGAAGACGCACAGACACACGGACACGGCGGCGGAACCCAGCCCAGCTTTACTCGGGAGGCCACGTGGTCAGGAGGCGGGCGTGGCCAGTGGGGACGCATGCGCGGGGCCGGACTGGGCGTGACCTCGGCGGGCGGGCGGGGCCTACATGCCGCGCGTCACCCCGTTGGTCTCCATGTCGGTGAGGTTTCCTCTCAGGTTCTGCTCCTCCTCGAAGGCCTTGAACAGGGAGTTGAAGTTGCCGGCTCCGAATCCCTGCGGCGGCAGACGGGGTCGTGAGCCGAGAAGCCCAGCCGGGGCGTGCCGGGGTGGGGAGGGAGGCCAGCAGGGGCCCCTTCGGGCGCGAGGGGGACACGTCGTACCTGGTGGTTGTGGCGCTGGATGACTTCCAGGAAGAGCGTGGGCCGGTCTTGCATGGGCTTGGTGAAGATCTGCAGGAGGTAGCCTTTCTCGTCGTAGTCCACCAGGATCTTCAGCTCCTGAGGGGGTGGGCGGGAGACACCGGGCTCCGCTGGAGGCTGGGAGGAGCCCGGAGGACCCGTCCTCCTAGCCTGACTGGAAAATCCAGCTCCAGACACGTCCGCCTGAGTCCTCAGGTCGACCCCGCTCCTCCCACCCCAGCCCGGTGGCTCCCCCACCTGCTGGCAGTAGGCCGGGCTGGGCCTCACCTCCAGGACATCGATGCTCTCCTGGACACGGATCTTGGCCGACTTGAGGTTCTCCCGCAGCTGCTTGTAGTAAGTGGCCGGCACGGCCAGGAATTCCATGCCCCTGGCTCTCAGGTGCCGGATCTGCCTCGGGGAGGGGCAGGGACCAGGTCTCCGTCTGCTGAACACCCCTAGCCGGCTGGCAAGAGGGGTCCCGCTCCCCATGCGACCTTATCCTCTTCCCCCTGTGCTGGGAGCCCCCTTGGAGGAGAAGCAGGTGGCTTTCCCCGTGCAGGGCTAACTGAGGACCTGCTGGAGGATGTCTGCGCAGCAGTCTTAACTGTTCTCCCCATTTCCCAGCTGGAAAATGGAGGCATCATGTTTCCTCCTTATAGAAAGCAACTCAGGTCATATGGAGTATGGACCATGAGTCTGGCCACAGCCCCCCTCACTTATATCCCCACTCCTACTTGCATCTTCCAGCTGTCCCAGGCTCCTTGCTTAGCTATGGCCTGGCCAGTGCACATTTTACTTATTCTGTATACTATTGCAGAATTCTGTATTCTCTGTGTAGAGGCAGAGGCCAAGGCCTGGGCCTAGGACAGTGCCTGACACCTGTGGAGTGAATGAGTGAGTGGAGTTGCCAAGGCTGGGATTGAGTGGGGTGGTCTGGGCTCTGGCCCGACCTTGAGGCACACCGGGAGCCCCGTTCCCTGAAGGTGGGCCCCCAGACACACCTAACGTTGATTTAATCCAGCTGAAGGAAGGTGACCACTCTCCTGGTCTGATATCGTTGTTCTTGAGTGTGCTGAGTCCCTTAGAGGCACCCATTAAGGCTTGCTGATACCCAGGGCTGGGCTGGGCTGGGAGTCACCTACTGGCCAGTGGCAGGCTTATTCTCAGAGGGGGCAGGGATGAGCAGGCCAGCAGAACCGGAAAGCCTGCCAGGCCTCCAGGCCATGAATGTGGGCCCAGGACTCCCCTGCCTGCCTGTCCCTGGAGCTGCTGGACAGAGGGAAGGGCCGGAAGCCGCTCTCACCGCGGTGATGATGTCCGCCGTCTTGAGAGCAATGTGCTGAACGCCGGCGCCCCCATTGTAGTCCACGTATTCCTGGGGACCCAGAGAGGACGTGTCACCGTCCGCTGCCCCCATGCCTGCCCCAGCAGGAGCCCGCACCTCATCCTCCCTGCTCTCTTCTCCCGGCCAGGGAAGGCCGCACCTGAATCTGCGACTTCTTCCGGCCAGGCGCTGGCTCGTTGATGGGCATTTTGATGGACTCCTCATAGTTGGCCACCACGATGGAACGCAGAGAGCTGTACTCCGTGTGCACCTGTGTGTCGTCCACAGACCAGAAGCGGTGGAACTGCAGGTTCTTGAGGTACCTGCACGGTGGCCAGCAGGATGTGCCTGCTTCGAGTGCCAGCCAGGGTCCGGCTCACCCCAACCCCGCTTCTACCTTCGTGGGGCCGGTTTGACTTAGGTGCAAGGGAGGGGTTTTGTGGCATGGCACGATTGATGGCCGTGCTGGGACAGGTGGCAACTAGGTGCTCAGAGAGAGCAGCCCTCGCTGCTCCTCTAGGTCAGGGTACTCTTAGGAGGGTGCAGTGCAGGTGGCTGGATTGTGAGCTGTGCCCTGGGCAGCGGGCCATTGTCCCTCTTCTGGGAGTTTGTCTTGTCCCTCCATCCCCCAGGTTTTTCGGTGTTATAGGTGAATTGGTAGACTCAGGCTCCCCCCGATCCTGTGCCCCATGCGAAAGTGGGAGTGGGCCTGTCCCCCGCTGGGGGCTCACCAGTCGGAGGCCGACTCCATCTCATGTTCTGGCTGGTTTCCTACAATGTGGTCGATGATCTCCAGGCTGCAGTGGGGCCTGGAAGGGCAAGGCTGAGGGTAAGAGCAACTCCCCCCACCAGTGCCCCTTCCTACTGGCCTCTCAGTGACACTTTGCTGAAACTCTGTGTTGCTTTGAATGTTTAATTACTTGCTTCCATCTACTTGAAAGGCAGAGTGACAGAAAGAGAGAGATCTTTCATTCTCCTTGTTCACTTCCCATGTACCCAGCATGGCCAGGGCTGAGCCCAGAACTCCTTTCGGGTCTCCCAGGTAGATAAAAGGCCCAATACGTGGGGCCATCTGCTGCTGCTTCCCAGGGCACATTAGTAGGAAGCTGGATCCAAGACTAGGTAGCCGGGACTCCAAACAGGTGGTTGGTGGACTTGGTCTTGATAACTCACATGCTATGGACTATCCCCACTCTGTGCATGAAGAAACCAAGGTAGAGAGAGATGGAGTGAGTGGCCGAGAAGCATGGGGACTTGAACTTGTGGCATCTGGTGGCAGAGCCTGTTCTTTCAGCCTTTGGGCCCCTTCTTCAGTGAATTGTCCCCATGGCCAGCACTTTGCTATCCATCCACGCATGCCCCAGGGGCACTCACAGCTTGGAAAGGAGTGGGTCCTTGGACAGCGGGGCCTCAAATCCAGGCAGGAAGCGGCCAGTGTAGTTCATCTTTTCCACCAGAGTGTGAGTGGTGTCCCCGTACTAGAGGTGGAAAACAGCCTGGCTTGGCCTCTGGGCATCCAGGACACTCTTCACTTAGCCAGCACAGCCCCGGGGGCCACCCTGGGTCCACCTTGGGTCCGCCCAGGCTCAGGGTGCGATAGCAGAGGAGTCACTTCCCTTTCCAAAATGAACCCTGACCTGCCATTCCTTTGGAACTACCTTGGACGGTCTGTCTGGGACTAGAGGCTGTGTGGGGGTGGGGACTCTGCTCAGTCATCATGGGCTGCTTTGCAGGGGGATGCCTGGCACATAGTAGGTGCTCAGTAACCAGGGGAGGGCCCAGGGAAAGCTATGTGAGTATGGAACAGGGCTTGAGGGGCTTTTTGGCACAGCCTGGGGTCATACCCCGGCCTTGGAGAGGTTGTATCTCAGCCACATGGGTGCTAACAGAACCGGCTCCCTGTGGGCATGTGTACTTTGCCCAGCCCTATCGGACACCGATGACCCCCTTGAGAGCTGGACAATCACAGAGCAGAAAGGTCTTCCCCGGCTATCCAGCCCCACTGCTTGCATCTTGACAGAACCCCAGGCATGGGTGCGACTCGCCCAAGCCCCACAGCTCTCCAGGCTGCGAGTTTGCCCTCTGTCTCCTTTTGCTGAGGTCCCTCGGTGAAGGGGTGGCTGTTCTCTGCCCCATCACCCTGGGGTCAGGCTTGAGGGAGGTTGGGGGGCTGTTAGCATAGGGCCAATGACAGTTGGGGGATATAGTGGTGGTGGTAATTCTGGCATCTCAGTGGGTGCTAACAGGAGGGGCAGAGACACTCACCGTCTGTAACACGGCAAACTTCACCTTCCCAAACTTGTCTTGCTCCACCCAAGGTTCCCGGAGGATTTTGGCACCCTGTTCCCGGGCTTTCTGCAAAAGATTGGAAGGGAGGCCTTTGCCTACTGCCAGCAGATACCACCAGCTTCAGTGAGGCCCCGAGACCCAGGCTCAGAGGTTAGGGCTGCACGTTGGCCCAGGGGTGACCTTCTCAGGCCCCACTGCCCTTCCTACTCGGGTATGCTCTCACCTGCACAATGTAGTCACAGTCTTCCACCTCGAAAGCGATGTCCTTCACCCCGTCACCGTGTGTCACCAGGTGCTCGCCCATCTCTGTGGCCGGCAGGAAGGGCTGGCACCGGCTCTCATGTGCCCCTCCCTGGCCCCTGGCCCCACTCCCACAGCCCTGCCCCTCATCCCTCACCTCGGTTCCCAGGGTTGAGTGCCGAGGACAGGACAAACACGATCTAAGATGCAGAGAAGGGGCTGTGATTGTGGTCCAGCAGATACCTCCCCCTGCCCTCCCTCCCCTCTCTGGCCACCCCTGTTAGTGTAAAGGGACCCAGGCTGGCACAGCCCCTGACTAAGATTCCCAGCTTCTCTGTTGAGCCTTGCCCACTGGCCTGGGGGTGGGAGGTATTTCCTCCCTTAACAGCTACACTGGCTAGGTCCTCCAGGGGACGATGCCAGAGGCTCTGCTCTGATGGGTCTGGTTTCCTGAGCATCTAAAGGGCCAACAGTGGACCAACCTGAGAAGGACATGAGACTAGAAGTGCCCTGTGCTGTGTTGTACCCAAGGTGGACTGAGCTTGGTGTCCTGAAACCTGCCAAGCTATACATCCAGGCTCACATGTGTGAAAGATGCTGGAGAAAGTGTGGATGGGCCAGAACCCTCGAGGGGACCCACAGACTAGCTGGGATAAGCAGGGCTGGGACATCCTGGGGCCTGGACTCACCTGCCCCTGCTTGATCACATGGCTGACCACCTGTCGGGACCCAGTCTCCAGACCCCTGTAGGCCAGCGGCTCGAAGCCCATCTTGGTGCAGTAGAAGGAGGCAGCCTGAATAACAGGGTGATGGAGGCTTCATGAGGGTGGTCCTCCCTGCTCCTGGGGCAGGGTGGGGGGTATTCCCAGCCGCCTTCATCCTGCCTGCCCTCTGGCCCCATGAGCAGAGACCCTCCTGGGACATAGGGCAGTGTCCAGGCACATTCTGTCTTCAGAGGGGTAATCGATGAGTCCCAGCCACGGAGAGAGACCCGCCCCTTTCAGGAGCCAATCCCACGCGGGGCGGGGCCGGCGCACCCCTCAATGCCTTGCCCTGCACCAACCTGCTTGGCGTTGCCGACCCAGAAGGTCACAGAGTGGAAGTGGAGGAATCGGCCTCTCTCAGGCTGTGTGGGGACAGAAGCAGCAGGTGGAGTCCCCAGAGGGAGGTGGGAGGGGGAATGAAGGTGAGTACATTAGAGGGGTCTCCTCCAGTCACCTGCCTTCTCCTGCTCTCAGCCCCAGACTCGGAGTGAGGCAGACCCCATGTAGCTTGGCCAGACCTCCTTAGATATCCTCAATGGGAAATTGAGCTCTTGGTATATTGAGGCTGGGAAGGCACCCCCACCCCAACCCCTCCCCAGGAGGCCTTACCCACCCAGGTTTTACCAAGGGGAAGTGACAATGTGGCAGTGACATGGATTGAATTAGACCTTCGTATGGGGTAAAGAGAGTGGCAAGCATTTAGAGGAAGGTTCTGCTCCGCCTGGGGGGGTTGGGGATGACCGTGTGTGTGTGTGTGTGTGTGTGTGTATAAGGGTACCATTACCCCTGCACCCCCACTTCCCTTCTTGCTTACCTTGGCACCCTTGTCACTGTAAGTCGTCTGAGGAGAAAGAAAGAGAAGGTGAGGCTCGAGGCTCCAAGTCCAGCTACTGGAGGTCTCCCGCCCAGGAGACACACACTTACCATGGTGGATCTCTGTCAGACACCCGGCTGGGAAGGGATACAGGAGACCTGAGCAGTGCTGCTCACGCGTATTTAACACTGAGCAAGGCCCACCCCTGACCTCCTGGCTTTCCTAGGAGACAGCGGGGGTGGGAGCAGGGAGCAACCAAGCCTGACCCTGAAAAACCCTGGGTCCCGGGAGACTCTGATCAGGGACAGAACAAGGGCAGAAAGTCCAGGGTGCGTCCTGGACAGCGGGATGTGACTGTGATCCTTGCGTCCTAGATCCAAAGCATGTTCCTGTTTGCATAGCCCTGTTTGTACAGCAGACACGTCCTCTCAGGACACATGGGGTGTATCCCTCAGTGGTGAGAGGCATGGTTTCTGGGGCGTTGTGTCCTGGCTCTGCTCCCTGTTGTGTGACTGCCAAAAAACAGCATACCCTTCCAGCCTCACTGTCCCCATCGAGAGTTGGGAACAATGGCAGGGTGGCAGGGACTCGAGGACAAAGCCAGATGCCTTAGGTCTCTGCTGATGCTGCTGATGGCGCGTTCACCGGGTTTCTTTGGGATGTGGGGGCCGAAGGGAACGAGGATCCTTGGCTTGGGGGACAGCTGGGCACTGGGAGAGGGGTTATGGCCCTGTCCCCACCCTTTGCTTGAGCCAGGCGAGAAGGGAAGAGCTGGGCTCTCCCTCGCACCTGTCCCCAGAGCAGTCCTTGAGTCTTGCTCTCCTGGCAGATGGGGTGGTGCCCGATGCCCCCTGGGCCATTTACCTGAGGGCACTGGGACTGTCCCCTGGCTCTGGATGTACCCTGGTCCCTGCTGTTGAGACGGTATAAACCCCAACCCACAGCATTGGGAATATTCCCAGTCTGTGAGCCAGGTTTTCTAGGAGTGGACGCCACGCTGAACTGCTGAGTTGCCCTCTGTGTGGATGGGAAGTAGTGCTTTCCCCACCAGGTGGATGGGGGAGTCGAGGCCTGGCGAGCTGGGCTCGTGCTCCCCGAGACCACAGAGCTGCTGAGAGTACAGCCCAGACTTCAGTCTCTTTGATTCTGAACTCGGATCTTGCCGTCCCCTCCAGCCACCTTCTCCATCCTTCTCTCGCTTTTTGAGGGCCATCCCAGGGGCAGGGAGGTACTCCCCTCTGTCTCTCCTAGACGGCTTTCTGCCTTGTCCCCGGTGTTCACTCCTGCCTCTTGGGTCTGTTTCCCACGGAGAAGCCAGCAGCAGGTGCCTCTGGGTGAGGTACGGGAGAAGGGCTTGGTGTGCTCTCCCTCCTGCAGCAAGTGGGAATGCCCTGTGTCCCCGCTGGCTGTGGCCAGTCCAGACCCCAACTCGGGCGCTGGACTGGTCTAACTCCGGAGGTCAATGTTTGCCAAAGGGAATAGAACATGAGCAGCCTCGGGGCCACGCCGGCTGGGCTGGCAGGTGGCTCTGTGCTGGGCGGAGTGCTGACTTTGGCCTTCCTCCTCTCTGGACTTTGCTTACCAGAGCATTGAATCTCGGTCACATTCTGGCTGCATCCCTACACAAGCCATGTACATCGAGCTGGGAGGGAGGCCATGGGGGCTGAGCTCTGCTGCCCTCTTTTCTTTGCCAGCTGCTGTCTGCCTGTTTGGGCTGGGCTCTGCTGTAGGGCAAATTAGCAGCAGATGGGTGTGGCTCTTGGGGCTCAATCCATTGCTGCCAGGTACTTAGGGAGGTCTCACTCAATGAGCCCAGAGTTCAGATGGACTCCCAGGACAGGCGGCCTGAAGTTGCTGGCAGGACCTGCTGGCCAGGTGTGCCGTGGTTGGTGCTGGGGAACCTCGTCTTCCAGCACTGATAGCCATGGTCCCCTGTGCCTCCAAGGTTGGTGCAGATGGTAAGGCCTGTGCTTTCTGGCAGCCTGGGCATACCCTACAGTGTGCCTGCCTGATCCATCGTCCCCAGGCTCAGGCAAGCACAGTGGTGCACAATGGCTCCCTGCTCACAGAACTTGTTGTGTCCTACGTGCCCCATGGAGAGGCCTTGAAGCTTACACCAGGTTTCCTCTGGCTTTTACCCACGCACCTCTTCCCTCACTGGCCTTACTCTTTGTCCTTGTGTGGTCTTGTGTCTTAGCCACGAGTGTGACTGTGTTGGGCTCTGGGAGTCCGTCCTTGGGGTGGCCTTGGGATCCCTTGAAGTGCAGAGTGACAGCCACAGGCTTTGGTGAAGCAACGTGACATGTTGGAATGTGGCAAAAACATTGTGTTTGGAAATGGATTGGTGACAGGGGCACAAAGTGACTTCCGAGCTGTGCTTACAGGAATCCCTGTTACATGGACACTGCTGCAGCCAGCCCTGGCCCATGGGGCCCTGCTGAGCTGTGCACCGGTGAAACCACTGGACTTGCTGGACAGGGCTCCTGCTCCAGGGCCTGGTGGCATCTGAGGGGACCCTGCCACCATGAAGGGGTCACTTGCAGACTTTTGTTTTACTATTTAGACTTTTTAAAAATGTATTAACTTGAAAGAGTTATAGAGAGAAAGGGAGAGAGAGATCTTCCATCTCCTGGGTCACTCCCTCAAATGGCTGCAATGGCCGGAGCTGAAATGATTTGAAAGCAGGAACCAGGAAGTTTTTTCAGGTCTCTCATAGGTGTAAGGGCCTAAGGCTTTGGGCCACCCGCCACTGCTTTCCCAGGGCATAACCAGGAAGTGGAGCATCTGAGATTTACTGGTGCCCATATAGGATGCTGGCACCGCAGGGCAGAGGGTGGCATGTTAAATACCGCACCCCATGGCCTGTTCCAAAGCAGTCCTGGGAACATTCTCTTCCTGAAGGGGAACCGCCATGTTGCCTTCCCAGGCTTCTGTGAGCTTTGAAATCAGAGCTCAGTTCACAGAGGGCTGGCGCCATGGCATAGCTGGTTGAGCATCCTGGCTCCCCTGCTTCCCACCCAGCTCCCTGCTAATGTACCTGGGAGAGCAATGGAAGATGGCCCACGTGCAGCCATGTGGGAGACCTGGAAGAAGCTCCTGGCTCTATGGCAGCCATCTGGGGAGTGAACAGTCTACACAGGCTGGGGACTGGCAGGATGCCTCAAGTGGTCTGTCTGCTGCTAAGGTAGAAGCCGAACTACTCGTGCTGTAGTCAGAACCCTGGGGTGGGTCCCTCAATGGAGGCCTTGAGCCCAGACTGTCTGCCATGTGGTGCCCAGGCTGTTCTGACATCATTGGCCCCGTTTCCCGAGGGGACACCATGGTGAATCCTATGGGGGGTGTTCTTGTGTGTGAATCCAGAACACCAAGGCATCGTGTTCATCATGGCAGGCATGCAGATCAGCCCCAGCCCCTGTGACCAGTGCTACACCAGGCCTCTACTGATGTGTCCTGCCAGGTTCTATTACCAGAGAAGGCACCTCCCTTCCCAAGATAAACCTTTGTGATTAATGGAGCTCATCTTAACTGGATGAGTTCAGGACAGCTCAAGGGCAGCGTGGAGATCGATGCTAGGCCTTGGCCTCACCTGGCTGCACAGGGCTCTGCTGATAACTGCTGCAAAGCCGCCTCAGCCAAGGGCAGACGCATGCTAGGAAAACTGTGCAGAAGACAGAGCATTGTGACAAAGGCCTGCCTACGAGGTGGGTGGTCAGAACGTGGGCTGGGGAGGGTCCCCACGTTCCTACCCAATGTGTCTGGCTGCTAAGCTGTACGCCATAGTGTTCACCAAGCACCTGCTCGCTCCCAGTGTCTCCAGACTCCATGCATGCCAGCCACAGGCTTCACCATTTTCTGGGGTTGTCCATGGTGTGCACAAACACAGTGCATGAGTTGCTGCTGTGAACAAGGCCCATAGCAGAAAGCTGGGTGGTTGTCTTGGTCCATTGCATCTGGCCATGTTGTTGTAAGTAGCCAATCTGAAGCCAGGAACCAGGAGCTTCTTGGAGATCTTCCACACGGGTGCAGGGTCCCAAGGCTTTGGGCCATCCTCAACTGCTTTCCCAGGCCACAAGCAGGGAGCTGGATGGGAAGGGGATCAGCCAGTGTACAAACCAGCGCTCATATGGGATCCTAGTGCATGCAAGGCGGGGACTTCAGCCACTACGCTACTACGCCAAGCCCTATTTGTTTATTTTTAAAGATTTATTGTATGTCTTTGAAAGGCAGAAACAGAGAGGAAGAGAGAGGTATTTCATATGCTGGTTCACTCCCCAAATGGCTGAATTGGCAAGGGCTAAGTTAAGCCAAAGCTGGGAGCCAGACACTTCTGGGTCTTGCACAGGGATTGTAGGGATCCAAGCACTGTGGACATCAGCTGCTTTCTCAGATCGTTAGCAGGGAGCTGGGTCCGAAGTGGAGCAGCCAGGACTGGAACTGTGCCCCTATGGGATGCAGCAACACGGGTGGTGGCTTGACTTGCCATACCACAAGCTGCCCTTGCCTCCTTTACTTTTTAAAGTCTAGCTTTATGTATTTGAAAGGCAGGGTGACAGAGGAAGAGTGAGAGAGAGAGAGAATTTTCCATCAGCCTCTTTAATCCATGAGTGCCTCCAACAGCCAGGGCCAGACCAGGCTGAGACCCAGGACCCTGGAACTGCCACAGGGTCTCCACTGAGGGTAACCGGATCTCACACCCTTGGACCACCACTTGCTCCCTCCCGGGTTTAACAGTTGCAGGAAACAGGATGGGGTGGAAGAGTCAGGACTCAACCCAGGTACTCAGACATGGGATGTGAGCAAGCTGAGCGGTGGTGTGGCCTGCTGTGCTACTGGGGCCACCCTGACTTTCCCATCCCCTTTTTCTACAAAGCTCCAGGAATCTCCTTACATCTAAAAAGCTATCATTGGTGTGAAAAAAAAAAAAAAAACAAACCCAGTTTCCAGATGGTTTTAATTTTCTTCTTGCAGTTTGTTGGGATGTGTTGCAGTGGAAAACATGGCAACTGGATTGTCAGCTGCTCCGTGTTTCATCATTCCATGGTTTGCACCATGATTTGTAATTTTGTAAATGAGGCTTCTTGCGGTGTGGGGGCGTCTAGTTATCTAGGTATAATTTGCATAGAGTGAAATGCACTCTCCGCTCTGTGTTGGCTGATGAATGTTGAAAACATACAAAGCTGTGTAAATATTGCCATTCTCACAATAAAGAACAGTTATGTCACTTGTTCCTCTCAGGTGTGTAACTTCACGCTCCATCCCAACCCCTGGCAGCCATGACTTTATTTTCTTTCTCTGTACTTGCTCTTTCCATAATGTTCTATAAGCGAATCAGCATGTAGCCTTTTGAGCTTCATCTATTGCCCAGGTCCTTGAGCGCACTTCAAAAAGTTGGTGGAAAATGGAATGAAAAGAAATTTGGGGTCAGCATGATAGCCCAGTGGCGAAAGTCCTTGCCTTGAATGCTGCAGGATCCCATATGGGTACCAGTTCGTGTCCTGGTGGCCCTGCTTCCCTTCCACCTCCCTGCTTGTGGCTTGGGAAAGCAGTCGAGGACGGCCCAAAGCCTTGGGACCCTGCACCCGCGTGGGAGACCCGGAAGAACTCCTGGATGCTGGCTTCAGATTGGCGCAGTACCGGCCGTTGCAGTCACTTGGGGAGTGAATCATTGGACAAAAGATCTTCCTCTCTGTCTCTCCTTCTCTCTGTATATCTGACTTTGCAATAAAAATAAGTAAATCTTTAAAAAAAATAAGGCAGATTAGATTTACAGAGGAGAGAGAAAGAAAAAGCTCTTCCATTCTGTGGTGGCCACAAGGCCAGAACTGAGCCAATCCAAAGCCTGGAGCCAGAAACTTCTAGGTCTCCCACATGGGTGCAGGGGCCCAAGGCTTTAGATCATCCTCAGCTGCTTTCCTAGCTCACAGCAGGGAGCTGGATGGGAAGTGGAGTAGTCTGGACACAGACTGGTGCCCATGTGGGATCCTGGCAGATGCCAAGGTAAGGATTTAGCCACTAGGCCATGGTGCCAGGCCCAGTATTTTTCTAATAGCTGATGATACTGGGTATTTTTAGGTGCTTAGTGTCCATTTGTGTGTCCTCTTTGGAGAAACAGCCACCCCAGAATCCCTGCTTTATAATATATCATATCTCAGTAAAGCTACCCTAATTCGGAAATCTTGTAGGTCAAGAACAGTTAGCACAGCTGCCTTGCTGAGCTCCGTAACTTCGCCCAGCTGCCTTACATGAGCCTGCTGGTGGGCGAGGGCACCTGACACAGCCTGTCCCTAAGAGTTTCTGGGTGGTGACGAGCTCGGATGATTCCCCGAGTGCTGAGCTGGGTTGAATCCCAAAGGAGAGAAGCAGCGTGGTCATGTGGGTCCATTCCCACGCCGCTGGGAAGTGGAAACAATCAAACCACGGTAATGGGGGACTACGTAAAGTTACATCCTTGGCTGCTCTCAGCTCGATCCTGTGTCTTCTTGAGTTTTAAGTGCTCTCCACACATTCTGGGAATAAATCTGTTGTCAGACACACGATTTGCAAATAGTTTTTTTTTCCCCCTCCATTCTCTGTGTTTTTTTTTTTTTTTTTAACTTTCTCAGCATCATTATTTGCAGTTTTTGGGGAACTGCAACTTCCTTGACTTTATTTTTGCCACCAGTGCTTTTGGTGACCTACTTGAGACGTGAGCTGAACTTTTAGCATCAAAGCAAAGCTCTATGGAATGAGTGCAGCCCACCCAGGGGTCACCTCTGGAGGCAGGGATGTTTGCTGAAGTGAAGACAGGATTGCTGAGCAGCTCCCGCCTCCTGTCAGGTCGTTGTACACGCCGGCACCTGTTGAGCCTCCCTCTCCATCTGTGGATGCCATTCACATTCCTAGTTGATGGATGAGGAGGTGACAGCTCAAAGAGAAGCCCAGCGACACACAGCTCAGGTGGGACAGACCTGGAACTGAACCCAGGCTGTCTCTCTGGGGTCCTCTGCTTCACATGGCTTCCGGCCATGCCTTCATGGCTCAGATGTGGGAGGCTCTGCTGGGAGCAGCCTCCATGCCCACGTCCAGGTACAGGGAGAGTTAGCCTCCCAGCTTTCCTCACGAAGACCCTGGAGAGGGGCTCGTGTGATGACTCACTTGACTTATCCTCCTCTGCAAGTGCTGGGATCCTAGATGGATGCTGGTTCATGTCCCAGCTGCTCCACTTCCCAACTAGCTTTTTGTTTATGACCTGGGAAGGCAGTAGAGAATGGCCCAAAGCCTTGGGACCCTGCATTCACAGGGGAGACCCAAAAGAAGCTCTGGGCTGGCTTCGGATCAGCTCAACTCCGACAGTAGTGATCATTTGGGGAGTGAACCAGAAGATGAAAGAGCTTTTCTCTGTCTCTCCTTCTCTCTGTAAACCTGCCTTTCCAATAAAAACAAATAAATCTTACAAACAAATGAAAAAGATGTCAGCCTTGTGAAGATTCCTCACCCTTTGGCCCGTGGCTGAGTGGGAAGGTCAGATGAGGGGGGGGGTGTATAGAGAGGGGAGCCCTGACATACACGGGGGGGAGCGCTCCAGACCAGTGAACAGGGAACACAGCCCCGACCCAAGCAGAAACCTGAGCTCTTACTGGCTGAGCATCCCAGAGCAAATCGTCCTACCTCCTTGAGCCTCGGTTCACATGTCTATAAAATGGGGGTGCTCCTCCATGCCCTCCCAGGAGCACTGTGCTCCTCAATGAGCCCATGGGGAATCATCAGTTGGATCCCCGATGCAGAGAAGCCCAGAGGGGGCTCTGGTGGTACTGGGAGGTGGGGAGACGTCTGGGTTATACCTAAGTCAGCAGTGCTGTACCAGGACTTTGCTGCTCAGGTGACGCCCAGCTGGCTGCTTGGACCAGAGTGGCCCACATCCCATTGGCGAGTCTGTTCTGCTTAGAGAATGCGCCTTAATCCCTTCCCGTCAGTCACACAGCCCTGTGTTCTGCCCCAAGAAGCTGTAGCTTTGGGCTGCTGGACACCAGAGTGACAGGACTCTAGGTCTAAGTTCCTCCCTCACCCCTCTTCCCTCTACCGCTGTGTCCTCCAGGTCACAAGGACCAACCAGAAGGACTGCCGGCATGCTGCGTTACCCCTGTTATCAGGGCTGGTGCGGCTGGGCAGGACCATCAGGGTGGGGCTGCTCCTATCACTTGAGGGCAGCACCGATGCCCAAACCTGGCAGGGCTGGGCCTCACCGAGGGCCTGGAGGGTCCAGAATGGCTGTTGTGGGCTCATTACTGTGATGCTGGGTGCTCCCTTGTCCCTTAGTGAGTCCGTGTCTCAGACTGTGCAGGTGACTGGGCTCTGGCATGGCCTGAAGATGTCCTCTGTGCTTGACACTGGGGGCATGGAAGGGAATCCTGTCCATGTTCTTACCTCTCCAATGCTCGCTCTCCTCAGCTGGCACTTGCATCTCACTTCTCCTTTGGAGATCTGATCCTTCTCCCTCTTGGGGCATGTAAGCCAGAACTGGCCAATGAGAATCCCTGTGAGGGGCTCAGGAGTGGCCATGTGACCAGAATTGGCCAATGCATGTCTGCCCTGCAATGCTTGTTACAGAAAGAGGCCGTGTGGAGGTTCCAGGTTTGTTCAGCTGGTCAGTGGTTTCTAAATCTTCAGAGGGAAACGTGCCCAGGGGTGAAGGACGTGGAGGAAGGATGCGAGCCAACTCCTCCTGTCTTGGCAACTTGCTCCTGGCTTGCCCTCGGATGATTCTCCACAATTCCCATTTCTTTACGCTAGTGTGAGTTAAGCTTCTGGCATTTAAAACCTCCAGGACACACACACAGAGAATAACAACGGTCCTTGAGGGCTCTCAGCACCAGGGGTTAGGGTGTGGGGGATACCGGAAGTTGTCTATTCCGTGGCGGGGAGAGGGGGTGTGATATATTAGTGATATTGCTTACATTCACTGTCACAAAGTAGCAAAATAGAGTGGACAGATTTAGACATTTTCTTTATTACAATTTTTAAAATAACATTTATTTGGAGAAAGAGAAATCTTCTATCAGCTGATTTGCTCTCTAAATAAATGCATCGGCCAGGGCTGGACCAGCCTGAAGCCCGGAGCCTGGAACTGCATGCGCATCTCCTGCATGGGTGGCAGGGGACAAGCACCTGAGCCATCTTCCCGTGCTTTCCCAGGCACACTGGCAGGAGGCCGGGTCAGGAGCTGAGTAGCTGGGGCTTAGAGCGGTGCCCTGATGGTGGGTGCTGGTGTAGAGGAAGATCTGCCCAGGGAGCTCCTTGCTGTGTGACCGGGCTTCGTACCCAGAACCCGCCAGCATTGCTGCTGCGTGTGCTGCCTCTCTCAGGAGTTCAACTCCCAGAAAACAGGGATGTGAACATTGTGGCCTGAACAGAGCTAATAGGGAACACGGTCAGGCTTTGTGGGCCAGAAGCAGGCTGGGTAATGAGTATGTAAATGAATGGGTATGGCCATGTGCCCCTAACATTTTACAAAAATAGGTGGTTGGTGCTGGTATTTTGGCTGAGCGGGCTAAGCCACGGCTTGCAATGCCCGCATCCTATATCACTCTCCTGGTTCAAGTCCTGGTTGGTCAGTCTCTGAGCCAGCTCCCTGTCAGTGGGCCTGGGAAAGCAGCACAAGATGGTTCAAGAGCTTGGGCCCCTGGCACCCACAGGGGAGACCCTGCTGGAGCCCCAGGTTCCTGGCTTCAGTTAGCTCAGCCCTGGCTGTTGTTGCTAATTGAGGTGTGCCTTTCAAATAAAAATAAGTAAATCCTTAAAAACAACACAGAAAAGCAGGTGGTGAGGGAAATGCCAAGGATTCAAGCCAAGAATCATGGCCTGTTCCCCTTTGCCCCTGACAATCAATGGAACAATAAAACAAGTCTTGGTCTGTGGCATTTGCAGAATTCTCTGGTGTCAATATCCCCCAAGGTCAATGTTGAGTTCCCAACCTGAGGCCAGTGACCTTGGTACTCAGGAGGACGCATGTGGCAACACTGTAGAGGTGGAGTGGTTGTAAATAACCCTGTAGACACTGTTAACATCGGGATGCGGTAAGGCTCCTCTCTGCAACTCTGACCTTCAAATAGATCTTCAATATATGACATGGAGGTTGAGCATGTTATCTTTGTTTTTTATGCAGTTCATTTAGTTGTAAGTTTATATTTCTGTAGCTTAGAAGAAAAGATTTGTTTGAAAGGCAGATTTAGAGAGAGAATGAGAGAGCTCTTCTGTCTGTTGGTTCACTTCCCCAAATGGCCACAACGGCCAGAGCTGAGCTAATGAGGAGCCAGGAGCTTCTTCCAGGTCTCTCACGCGGGTGCAGGGTCCCAAGGCTTTGGGCCGTCCTCCACTGCTTTCCCAGGCCTCAAGCAGGGAGCTGGATGGGAAGTGGAGCAGCTGGGACATGAACTACTGCCCTTCTGGGATGCTGGTGCTTACAGGTGAGGGATTAGCCTGTTGCATGGCACCAGCCCCTTTGTAGTTTTTTAAAAAGGTTTATTTATTTGAAAGTCAGAGTTCCAGAGAGATCAATGTTCCATCTGCTGGTTCACTGCCCAGATGGCCACAACAGTGAGGGCAAGGCCAGGCCACGGTCAGTTGCCCGGAGCTTCATTCAGATCTTCCATGCAGGGGCCAAAACAGCGGGACCATCCTTTGCTGCCCTCCCAGGAGCATTAGCTGGGAGCTGCATAGAAAGTGGAGCAGCTGGGACTCAAATTGGTACCCATATGGGATGCTGGTGTTCCAGGCCGCGGTTAAACTCCTAACACCAAGGTGCAGGGCTTCCTTTTTTTTTTTTTAAGTCACTTCCTTTTTTTTTTTTTTTCTTTTTAAGCTTTATTTATTTATTTTTATTGCAAAGTCAGATATACAGAGAGGAGGAGAGACAGAGAAAGATCTTTCGTTTGATGATTCACTCCCCAAGTGACTGCAGTGGCCAGTGCTACGCCGATCTGAAGCCAGGAGCCAGGGACTTCTTCCAGGTCTCCCATGCAGGTGCAGGATCTCAAGGCTTTGGGCCGTCCTCGACTGTTTTCCCAGGCCACAAGCAAGGAGGTGGATGGGAAGCAGGGCTGCAGGATTAGAATCATGGGAACGTGGGATCCTGGCATGTTCAAGGCAAGGACTTTAGCTGTGAGGCCACTGCACTGGGCCCTCATTTCCTTTTTAACCAGCTACGCAGGCCTTAGCACGCATCTCACAGCTCCTAGGACCATGTAGGACATGTGGGCATCCACAAAGAGGCAGGGCTGCTGGCAGAGACAGCTCTGTGTCATGAATTACACCATTTCACAGATGAGCAAACTGAGACTCCGAGACATGGACTGCAGTAAGTGGTGAAAACTGGAACTGGATGTAGCCCAGCAGTTTAGAAGTGGTAAAATGTGGGTTAAAGACGCAAACTCATTTGTAAACCCTCGAGGCTTTTGAAGAAGGGAAGAATTGAGCGCCTTGGGGGTGCTGCCAGGGTGACATCAGTCTGTAACATTTGAGGGACCAGAACTCACACTTCTGCTTATCCAGGCCGCCCCGGGATCACAGGGCCCGGCAGGGTGTGGCTTCCCGTGGCCTCACCCCTCGTCCCTCCCCGCGCTCGCGCACGGCCGAGGTGTTTTGGTCCACAGGCGGAGCCGTAGCCCGTGCCTTCCGGCGTCCCGTAGCCCGGCAGCGGGGCGGCCCGCGTCGCAGGATCCCGCGGCGAGGGCCAAGATGTCGGACAAGGAGGCGACGTCGAGCGGCCAGGCCCCTCAGGCCCGCGCCGACACCATCAGCGACATCCAGGAGCTGATGCGGCGCAAGGAGGAGCTCGAGGCGCAGATCAAGGCCTACTACGACGTGCTGGAGGGCGTGAGTGCGGGCTCGGGGCGCCCGGGCGGGCGTGGGGCGCCTCCAGGCCCGCTGCCCGGGCCAGCTCCCCCGGCCCGCGGCCGTCTGTGGGCCCGCGAGGCCTCCGTGGGCGGGCAGAGCGGTGTAAATGAGGACGCTGGAGCGTCCCCTTGTGCAGATGGGCGATGTCGTGTGTCCCCCGCGTCTTCGACAGGAGCAAGCGGAGGCGTCCTCAGACTCAATAAAACTCGCCGGTGTCTGGATCCTGATGCAAGGTTGCCGGCTGTTTTCCTGACGGCCTGGCGTGGGAGGTTCGGAACCCTGGGTGTGCTCGCGTCCCCTTTGAGGGGCTGTGGGGGGTCGAGGCGGCAGACGCCGCTTTTCCAGCAGACCCTGAAATGAATGCAACAGGCAGACTGCCGGGGGTTGCCAATGCGTAGGTCCCCACCGGGGTCTGCTGAAGCGCTGGCGGTGCCCCAGCGAGCCATCTACTGCCATCGCAGGCGCACTAGGAGGCAGAGCAGGCAGGATTCGAACTGGTACTCTTGTGAGATGCTGGCGTTGCCGCCGGAAGCTCAACACAGCTTGGCACTGTTCCCTCCCCAGGAAGAAATTTGTCAGATGGAAGGTGAGGCGGTGCCTTGTGTATGAGCCACCAGTGGTCCTCCACAGCTTTCCCAGGCCACAGGCAGAGAGCTGGATGGGAAGCGGGGCCTTTGGGATTAGAACTGGCGCCAATGTGGGATCCTGATGTGTTCCAGGCCAGGACCTTAGCTGCTTGGCCACCGCACTGGGCCCTCCTCAAAGAATCTTAAAGAAAAAGAAAGAAAAAAGAAAAATAGGACCTGGTGTGGTAGCCTGGTAGCTAAAATCCTCGCTTTGCATTCACTGGGATCCCATATGAGCACAGGTTTGTATCCTGGCTGCTCCACTTCCCTTCCAGCTCCCACTTGTGGCCTGAGAAAGCAGTGGAGGACAGCCCAAAGCCTTGGGACCCTGAACCTGCTTGGGAGACCTGGAAGAAATTCCTGGCTCCTGGTTTCGGATCGGCACAGCACCGGCCGTTGCGGTCACTTGGGGAGTGAATCAGCGGACAGAAGATCTTCCTCTCTGTGTCTCCTCCTCTCTGTATACATCTATACACCCCTGGTGCTCATCCCCTGGCTCAGCTGAGCTCAGTGTGGACATACGTGAGATGGTTGCTCACATCCTCAACACATACTTTTTTTCTTGTCATTGTTTCCAAAGCAACATAATAAGGCAGCTGCTTCTGGCATTAGTGTGGCAGTCGGGTTCTAGGTATAGAGTGATGCGTGCAGGCTCTGTGCAAATCCTGTGCTGTTCTACATAAGGGACTCGAGCATCTGAGCATCTGGGGTGCAGGGGGCATCCTGGGCCAGTCCCCGGGGAAGGCCAGGGGACAGAGCAGCTCCCTTCCGAGCCTCCCTCTTCACTCACGTGTCCACGTCTCCTCTCTCAGCTCTCCCTCTGGCTTGCCCTCATAAGGACCTGAGTCCCCGCCCTTAGGGTCACTCTGAAGGTCCTTCGTAACACCTGCAAGAAGATGTGTTTCCCAAATGAGTTCCCCTCCCAGGCTCTGGGGTCGGGATGTGGACGCAGGGCGTGTAGGGCCCCGTTGAGTATGCTGCACCTCATGTGAGCCTGGCCTCATCAGGACAGCCCATTAGTTCTCCCAGCAAGTAGTCAGAGAGGTGAGTGTCTTTAGTCTCATTTTACTTTATTTAAAAATTTTTGTTCATTTATTTATGAGGCAGAAAGACAGCTCATATCTGCTGATTCACTTCCCCAATGTTTGCGCTGGCCCCAGGCCAGGCTACGCCAAGGCCAGCAGCCAAAACCCCAATCTAGGCTTCCCACCTGGATGGAAGGAACCCCGCCACAGAACCCACGGAGCCAGAGATCGGCCGAGGCACCAACAGGAAGTAGAGTCAGGAGCTGAGACTGGACTTCATACCACAGCACTTTGTAGTGTGGGATGCAGGGTTTTTTTAAAAAAAAAAAGTAGTTTTATTTCAAAGGTAGAATGACAGACAGAGCATGGGAGTCCACTGGCTTGTGCCCAAGATGACTGCAAGAACAAGAGCTGAGCCAGGCTGAAGCCAGGAGCCAGGAACTCCATGAGGGTTCCCCGTGTGTGTGATAGGGATCCAGATACTGTATTGGGAGACTGGATTGGACGTACAGGAGCTGGGACTCAGGCTGTAGCTTGCTGCAGCTCATGATGCAAGTGTCTCAGCTCCTGGGCTAATGCTTGCTCCGATTCCAGTCTCATTGATGGGGAAGGTGAGACTTAAAACAGGCAAAGGTTTAAGCTGAGGAGTTCCGCTTGATTGTGGAAGGACTGATCAGGACCGATCAGATCAGTCCGATGGAAGGCAGGGCTGGTGCTCTGTGCTTAGCTAGGAAGAGACTGTAAAATATTGAAACAATTGTATTGTAGAAAAGCATCCTTGAGGTCACAGTTCAACACTTAGAGCACGAAGTGCCTCCAGGCCGCCGTTCGGCCAGCGTTGACATCGTCCTGGGGTGAGATCACCTGCTCTGGCTGTAGCCGTGAGCGGTCTGGGTAGAGCTCCCCACTTCAGTCTTGACCCAGTGCTGGCCACGGCGGATGTTTGGGCAGTGAACCAGCGAGTGGCAGTGTCCTTCGCTGCTCAGGGCCAGCCAGCCCCACTCCCTGGAGATGACCGGTGACATGGGTGTGTGCTTCAGGGGCCCGAAGCCTCTGCGCTTTTTTATTTTTAGCAGGATCAAAGCCCGGCCACAGCTGGGGGTCTCTGGCGCTCTCCCTCCCCTGCAGCTGCGAGGCCGGCAGCCAGGTGTCAGCTGCCTGTGGGAGGGAGGGTGGAGGAGGCAGGGAAGGCATGTTTGGGTTTTTTTTTTTTAATTTTTAATTTTTTGTTGGGGCATGTTTGGTTTTATCTGCACTGTTCCTCAGGAACTTCTGTTTTAAAAGTACATAGTCGAGATAGTGTGTACCCACCTGTGACCTGTGCTGAGCCATCAGGGAGTGGCAGCTGTCATCGCAGTCCTTGTGGCCGTGGCTCTGAAGGAAGTGGCCTGGAAGGAGGTCTGGAAGATGTTTCTGTCATGAAATCTTTTTTTATCCCATTTTTTCTTTCAGCAAAAAGGAGTTGGAATGGACGAGCCGCTGGTGGACTGTGAGGGCTACCCCCGGGCCGACGTGGACCTGTACCAAGTCCGCACCGCTAGGCACAACATCATCTGTGAGTGGCCCTGGTGGGGCTTCCTGCCGTGTGGCACAAACAAGCTCACTAATCCTGGGTACCCTGCTGTCGTTAGTCATGATGGAGGTGTTTTGGCCTGGTTTACCCCTGGCTGTTTCGCCCATCTTCTATAACTCTTAGCTTTTAAACAAATAAGTAAATCATACAGAAACACACACACACACACACACACACACACACACACACACACACATTATGCAAATATTTTGTCTAGGAGGAGAAAAACATCTGAATTCTGAGTGGAATTCTAGCCTACAGTAACACTGCTCATTGCGTTACCTCAGGGGTCCTGGTGGACTTTGTCACGTGGGGGGCACTTTCACATTTTGAGTGAGCCACCAGAACTGCAAATCCAGAGAGCTTTACCCCAAAGCCCTCAGTTGCCAGCTTTTCTAGAAATAAAGAAAAAAAGAAAGCAAACAAACTTTAGAGACCCTGGCTCTGCCTCCAGCTGTAAGTGCTTGCCCAGAGCCCCGAGCAGGGAGGCCTTTGGGCGCCTCCTGTTGCCTCTCTTTACTGAGGGTCCCCAGCCACATGGTAGTAGGTTTTTCTTCTAGAAGATTTAAGCACCATTCAATCACTTAAAATTATTCATTTACTTGAAAAAGAAAGTGTTATTAAGAGAGAGAGATGGCAAAATCTATTTTTCATCTTCTAGAAAATGTCCTGAATGCCTTTGGGCCAGGGCAAAAGCGTGAGCCTGGAGCTCCATCTGGGCTCCCACCTGGGTGGCAGGAGCTCAAGCACTTGGGCCATCTTCCTCTGCTTTCCCAGGCGCATTAGCAGGGAGCGGGATCAGAAGTGGAATAGCTGGATTTGAACCGGTTCTCCAACATGGGGTGCTGGTGTTGCAATGGCCAATTAACCCACTGTACCACATTGCACTTCCTCCCCCTGTCCCACCCACTAATTCACCCATTTGCATGACCGCAGTACACCTGCAAGTTCCTGGTCGTGGGACAGCATCTGCTTTGCCCAGCTCTTCATTTCAGTGAGCACTTTGCCTTTGGGAGGACTTCCTGAGGTGCTTGTCCAGCAGGTCAGGCTCCCAGCCGTCCCTGGATGTCACTGTGAGGACTTGTGCCATAGCTTCTTTCCTTACTGGCATGCGGTCCTCAGGAGGGCAGGTCTCTGGTCCTGTGTCTGGCTCTTAGCTAGAGACTATTTAAATGTCCAGGGACCAAACGCGGTACTCTGGTGTCCTCTGCTGTCTTCCTTGGCCCCTGATGTGGTGGTTTCCATCCCAGGCTTGCAGAATGATCACAAGGCGGTGATGAAGCAGGTGGAGGAGGCCTTGCACCAGCTGCACGCTCACGACAAGGAGAAGCAGGCTCGGGACATGGCTGAGGCCCAGCAAGAGGCCATGAGCCACAAGCTGGGCCACCCCGAGAGCCACAGTCCACCTGAGGCCTTTGCCAGAGTGAACAGCGTCAGCCCCGGCTCCCCAGCCAGCATTGCGGTAATCCTGGACTCGGGGGTGCTGTGGGTCAGGGAGCTGGGGTTCTTGGAGAGACCAGCCCCTGCTGTCCATGAACTTGGTAGAAGAGAGAGCTTTTCCTGATGATGGCTGGGACAGACGTCCCAAGAGAGAGGCTGTCAGGCAGAATCCTTGGGGCTCCTCCTTGCTGGGCTCAGCATGGCTGCTGGCGGCTGTCAGTGTCCCGTGGGGGCTGTGTCCCTGCCCTGGTGGATTTGTGCAGTATTCAACTGCGGTGTTGAGATGTGGATCTCCTAACAGGAAGTACCCCTGTTGGATTGCACTTCTCAGTAGCTTTTAGTCCGTTTGCAGGGCCATGCAGTCATTGCCAGTCAGTGTCAGAACCCTGACCCGGGCAGCCATCACCCCAAACCTTGCTAGCGCCAGTCTGCCATGGGACTGTTGGTCCATGTAGAGGGAGTCAGCGACACACACCCTCTGCAAATGTTTTCGTTTGTGGATGTTTCTGAGGTCTGCCCACGTGGTGGCCTGTGCAGGCTGCAGCCCTTTCTGGGGCTGTCTTTTCTCCCTTGTGCCACTTCGTGTTTAGCTGTTAGTTGGTGAACATTGGGGTTGTTTTGACTTTGTGACGGTCAGGAATAACATGGCTAGGATATCTGTGTACAAGTTGACCTGTGGACACAGTTTAACCTTCATCCCATAGTCCCCTCTGGGATAGGACCAGTCTCAACTGCGTTACCCCAAGGAGGGGACCTGAAGGCACTTGTGCCAAGCCACATGACTCCTAAGGTGGCACCGCGTGCTGCCCCTGGGCAGTCCTAGGACTCTGCGGCAGCTCTGTGCTGTGTCCTGCTGTGTCCACGGCCCCTGGTGCATGGAGAGTGTCTGAAGGGTAAACACGTGCCATCAGTGTTTTTAGGGCCCAAGCAAAGGATCTTTCTGGTCCTGGGTTCGCCTTGGGCCTGTGACTCCTTGTTTGGAGGTTTCTAGAGCCGGTGTTTGTCTTGTTCACATTTTGGCTCCTGAACAGAATGGGCCCAGACTGGCCTGTCCCCTCCTGCCCTGTTCACTGGATCAGGACCCTGGAGAGCCACAGTTGGTTTTTGAGTGATGGGAAGACCAGCTGCCTTTAGTTAGATCAACCCTGGAAGGAGCCCCCAGCGGGGGCGGGGAGCAACCTGCCTCTGCCTCTCTCTTCATTAGGGCACCAATGCCTGACCTCTGTACGTTGGGCCATTCTGCCTCGTAGAAACGAGAGCTCTGCATTAATGCTGAGTTGGGTGCTGGAGGGTGTGAAGGACTTCCAAAGCACGTGTAACCTCCAGCTCAGCCTGCTGCTTCCTCTTCTCCAGGGTCTGCAGGTGGGTGATGAGATTCTGGAGTTTGGCTCTGTGAACACCCAGAACTTCCAGTCACTGCATCACATCAGCACTGTGGTGCAGCATAGTGAGATGGTGAGTGGGGCTCCTGGCCGCCGTGACGCCATGACGCCGTGACGCCATGACGCCATGCCGGTGCCGAAATTCCTTTCTCGTAGTCTTTTACCTTTTCTAGGAGGGTTTCTGTCTGGGAGTGACCACTCTTTGTGGTTTGTTTGTTTGCTTTTAATATGTTCTTCCCAAAAACTTTATTATTATTATTATTATTAGTTAGAGAGTTACTAATTTCTTGAAAGGAATAGAGGGAAAGACAAAAGTTTTTTTTTTTAACATTTATTTATTTGCTTGAAAGGCAGAATTTCAGAGAGAAAGAGCGAGAGAGTGAGCGAGTTTCATCTGCTGATTCACTCCCCAAGTGGCTACACAGCCTGGGAAGGCCAGGCTGAAGCCAGGAGCCGGAGCTTCTTCCGGGTCTCCCATGTAGATGCAGGGGCCCAAGGCCTAGGGTCATCGTCTGCTGCTCTCCCAAACACGGCAGCCGGGACCTGAGCCGGCACCCGTATGTGATGTTGGCATTGTAGACAGGGCTTAACTGGCTGCACCTGGTGCTGGCCCCTCTGTGTGGTATTGTAGCCATACTTTATTGACGGAGGTTTTGGATGTTTTGAGTGTTTTTAACTTTTGAATAGTTCTAGGCTATGGCATCTTGCAACTTTGTAAAATGAACCCTTCCAGTGCCTAGAAAGGCTTGTTCTGGTAAACAGCTGTGTTTCCAGGACCGTGGTACCAGTCTGCAGCCCCACTGTGGTACCAGTCTGCAGCCCCACTGGCCGCTCACCAGGCTTGGGCTGGAAGAACAAACCTTCCCAGGCTGGCGGCTGTGAACAGCTCCTCGGCCCCTGCAGCCTCAGCAAGGTGGACATGAGGTGGGCTTATTTTCCTTGCAGAAGCCCCTGTCTGTGACAGTGCTGCGCCAAGGACAGAAACACCAGCTCAGACTCGTGCCGAAGCGCTGGACTGGGAAAGGACTGCTGGGGTAACTCTGCTCCTATCCCTTCCCATGGTGCTGTGGGCACCCACTAGCCCTTGGACCCAGGGGTGGGGGTGCTGAGTGACGGGAACGCCTGCATGCACAGGAAGTGATGCTCCACCCAGGTGCCAAAAGAGTGGAGGTGCAGAACCGGCGGGAGTCCTGGCTCATGAGTGCCTCTCTGCTCCTTCCTTCACCTGGACTCCTGCTCTGCCTGAGTGTCGTCCCCTTCCTTTCCTCTTCCAGCTGCAACATTGTCCTTCTGCAGAGATGACCGTTCCTGGCGCAGCAGGATAGCCACTTCCATGCCCTGGAGTTGGGTCCAATGTGGATGTCTTCATCTTCTCTCGGCGAGTGACGAACTGGAAGGGGCTGGAAGCCTGCTTGTGGAGGCGAGGCCTCCCTGGAGGATCTTTCTGGATGAAGGCATCTTTCACGGCTTAAGTCGTGCTTGGCATCTTTGGCCAATGAGGCTGCGGCCCTGAATGGGAATTCTCTAGATTGTGGGAGTTATCCTGGCAGATGCTGATACGACTTGATTCTGTTAGGAATCTTTTTTTCCCAAATAAACAACAGTTTTGCGGTGCTGCTACGGCCATGTTGTTGCCAGCTGCGTCTCTTGAGGTCCTAGCAAACCAAAGCTTGGATGGGTTGGGGTATTCTCACTGACAGCCAGGCTGAACAGATGAGCCCTGCCCTGAGCTGGCACTGGACCACACCTCCCTTTGCGTTGTGGCTGGGCTGCTTTAGAGCTCTGGGCCAGTCCTGTGCATGCATCCATCCCGCTGGGCCCTTGGGCCATCCGGCTCCCAGTGGGGGCCCCCGGGGCACCACAGCGCAGCATGCTGGCGGCTTCCTCTGATAGCCACCAGAGGGCAGCAAACCCCAAACTGCTTCTAGCCTGACCCAGAACCCAGCCTGCAGTCACTGCTGGCCGACACTGGGTCCCTCTTCGCTCTTCTTTTCTCTTTTCAGAGCATTTTTATGTTTCTTTTTTGTTTGTTTTTAAGATTTAATTACTTTCATGGAAAAAGCAGATCAGATTTTGGAGAGAAGGAGGGACAGAGAAAGATCTTCCACCTACTGGTTCATTCCCCAAGTGGCTACAGTGGCTTGAGCTGAGCTGATCTGAAGCCAGGAGCCCAGAGCCTCTTCCAGATCTCCCATGTGGGTACAGGGTCCCAAGGCTTTGGGCCGTCCTCCACTGCTTTCCCAGGCCACAAGCAGGGAGCTGGATGGAAGTGGAGCAGCTGGGACAGGAACTGACGTCCATATGAGATCCCGGCACTTAGAAGCTCAAAATTTAGCCATTGAGCCGTTGCACTGAGCTCGCAGAGGGTTTCAGAACGGGCCTGGGGAACCACTGGTGACTATTTCTCAGCCATGGCTGAGATGTTTGCCACTGCTTGCCGCTCACTTTGTGTGTCCGTCCTTACTGCCAACTTCTTTCTAAAGTTTAGACCATAATAAATGGCTTGCAACATCCAACTGACTCATTCCTGATTTTTAAAAATATATATGTGCATGTTAATCAGCTGAGCGCGGTGGACGTGGGGTGGGCGTGTGGGACCCCTGTCTCCTGGTGTGACCACAACTGCAGTGGTGGAGCCTCGGGGGCCGTCACATGGCTCTTGCCACCTGAGTTCCCTGCCGACCATCTCTCTTGGATGTGAGCAAGCGGAATGACCGGAGGGGCCCTGCGAGAGCAGCGAGGTCACGCAGATGACCGCCGTGTTGCTCAGTCCCACGGGAAGACTTGGTGCCCGAGATGGGCGGCTGTTCCAGGTGAGAGGAACTGCAGCTAGCCATCCACCCTTTTGCCTTCATCCTTTCAGAGCCGAAACTTTGCAGATGGCGGTGGTTTCCCGGGATGGCGGGGAGGGACCCTAGGCGGCACAACCTCACCCCATGCTACCGGCCCCTCGCCCTCCAGGCCTGGGCACGTGACCACCCAGCTCCGCTTCTCGCTTTACGGCAAACCTGCTGGTTGCCATGGGGACAAAGCTTGGGTGGCAACCGTTACCAAGGAGCGCGTGGAGGAGGAGGCGGGAGCTACCGACCGAAGCTGGCCAGGCAGCGGGACAGCTTTGGTCCGTTGCGAACTGAAATCAACGTTTTCTGTAAGTTTGGCGGGGTGTTTATGGGGAAGGCCAGGGGCTGGGACGAGACTCCTTAGCCTCGTGGCGGGGCAGGGTGCTTCGTGGGTGGTGCTCACACCGTGGGGCCGGGTCTGAGGTGAGCCGGGTCTGAGGGGGCCCCGGTCTGAGGGGGCCCCGGTCTGAGGTGAGCCCCGGTCTGAGGGGGCCCCGGTCTGAGGTGAGCCGGGTCTGAGGTGAGCTGGGTCTGAGGGGGCCCCGGTCTGAGGTGAGCCTGAGTCCCGGTTGAGCCCCAGTCTGAGGTGGGCCCCGTTCTGAGGTGAGCCGGGTCAGAGGTGGTCTGGGTCCCGGGTGAGCCTACATCTGACTGAGGTGGCTGGGTCTGAGGTGGCCCTGGGAACCCTGAAATCTGAAGGGGTGGGGTGGGGAACGCCCGTGCTTTCTGCCCCGCGGAGCCCCCTGCACCCCGCGGAGCCCCCTGCACCCGGCGGAGCCCCCTGCACCCCGCGGAGCCACCTGTACCCCTGCAGAGCCCCCTGTACCCCGCGGAGCCCCCTGCACCCCGCGGAGCCACCTGTACCTCTGCAGAGCCCCCTGCACCCCGCGGAGTCCCCTGCACCCCGCGGAGCCCCCTGCACCCCGCGGAGCCCCCCGTACCCCCGGGCCATCCCTCTTCAGTGCACCGGCTCTGCTCACCTCTTGGCACGGCCCACTCTGCCTTGTGAGGTAGTCGGAGGCCTGGCCGATGGTCGGCTCTCAGTTAACAGGTTGGGATTGAGGAGTTTTGTGCTGGGAAAGGCGGTGAGTGTTTTTCCTCCCGCAGGTACATTTAGGGTGTGAGTTCATAGAGCGAGCAGGTGATACTGGGATGGGATCCAGTGCCAAAAGGCTGGCTGCAAATTCCACTTCTAACCTGCTTTAAAATCCTTATTTATTTGAAAGGGGAAGGGGAGATCTAAATGTCCGGTTCACTTTCCAAATGACCACAGTTGCCAGGCTAGACCAGGCTGAAACCAAGGGCCGAGGACTCAGTCGTATCTCTGGGGGGCCACAGGGACCCACATTCTTGTGCCATCCCCCCTGAGGGTGTGTATTTTCAGGAAGGTGGAATGGGCAGCAGAGCTGGGACTTGAACCCAGGTACCTGGTCCTGGGTGTGTCCACACCCACCCCAGAGTACATTTAATTTTTTTTTTTTTAATTTTTTTGGAAAGCCAGATAGAGAGAAGGAGAGACAGAAAGATCTGTCTGCTGATTACACTCCCCAAGTGGCCGCAATGGTCAGAGCTGGGCTGGTCCAAAGCCAGGAGCTTCTTCCGGGTCTCCCACGTGGGTACAGGGTCCCAAGGCTTTGAGCTGTGCTCCTGCCACCCACTTAGGAGATCCAAATGGAGCTGCTGGCTTTGGTCTGGCCCAGCCCAGGCCATTGTGGTCATTTAGGGGAGTGAACCAGCAGTTGGAAGATCCTCTTCCCCCTTCCCCCCTCCCAATTCTCTCACATTAATAAATGTTTAAAGAAAAGAGTCTAATCCCACAGAAAGAGAGGCCCTGTTGTAGCTTGTTGAGGTGTGGGCCCGGCGTTCCCGAGAGCAGGAACAGGACCATGTAGAGGGCTGGCGCCGGTGTGGCACGTCCTGGCAGTAGGCTGGGGCGGCGGGCCCTGCAGATCATCCTGGCCGGCATTTCTCCCAAGGAGACTCCACAGAGAAGGATGTCAGATGCCGAAGGAAACCCTCCCGGAGAAAGAGCAGAGCCGACAGAAGCCCAAGCGGAGGAAGATGAAGCGGATGACGAAGTAGGAGACAGGCCCCAGGGGTCGGAAGAAGAGCGCCCAGCAGTGCGGAAGTGGTCGCAGGAAGAGGAGGACGGAGAAGGGAAGGGTGGGCAGGGAGAGGAGAGAGAGGAAGAGGAGGAGGCCAGGGAGACGAAGGAGGAAGGGGAGAGGGACCGAGAAGGGAAGGGTGGGCAGGGAGAGGGGGAGGAGAGAGAGGAAGAGGAGGAGGAGACAAGAGAAGAGGGGAGAGGGGAAGGGGAAGAGGAGGAGGGGGGAGAGGAAGAGGAGGTCGGGGAGACGAAGGAGGAAGGGGAGAGGGACCGAGAAGGGAAGGGTGGGCAGGGAGAGGGGGAGGAGGAAGAAGAGAAGAGAGAGGAAGAAGAGGAGGTGGGGGAGACAGAGGAGGAGGAGGAAGGTCTAGAAGCAAAGAGTGGGCAGGGAGAGGGGGAGCGAAAGGACATTACAGAGGAAGAGGAGGAGGAAGAGGAGGAGGAAGAGGAGGGGGAGAGTGAAGAGGAGAATGAAGAGGAGAGTGAAGAGGAGGCCGAAGAAATACAGAGAACGACCACAGTGAAGGGCCGCCGCCACCGAGCCCGGTTGGAAAAAGTGACTTCTGACTCTCAGTTGGCCATAGTGGGCACTTCCTGGGTAAGCAGTAGCTCTGAGCCACTCACCCTCCATTCAGAACCATCAGCTTGGTGTTGAGCGGTGTCTGGGCTGGGATGGTGGGGGGAACACAAGACCACCCACCGTCTAGTGCCCTAGGGTGTGCAGGGGGGCAGGTGCAGAGCTGAGCCCCACGAGGGGCTGCCTGGCCTAGTTCAGGACAAGGAGGCTGCCTGGAGGAGGTGTGCTCGTGGCTGACCTCCAGAGTCGTGTGCCTGTCCCAGCATCAGTGTGGTGAGCTAACTAGTGATTTCTCAGCGACTTCTCCTGGTCTAAGGACCTGCGAGGGTCCTTGGCAGAGGGAGAGTCCTGTCACGGGTCCCCCAGGACCTGGACTGATAAGCTGTGACTTCTTAACCACAGAAGGTCTCGATCTCCTTTGAAAAGCGTTTTGTAGTTGCCACACAGGGCTGGTCTGAGCAGGCTGGTTGGGGAACTGACGGACAGGGAGCTAGAGGTGCACAGCATACTGGAATCAGCATCTCCCCATGTTTTTCTTTCTTTCTTTTTTTTAAAGAAAAGCCACAAAGCTAGCAAGGCAAAGAAGCGTTCAGTTGAGTCAGAGGACTCTGGCCCGTATGAGCTTCAGGGACACCCGGGCTCTCAGTATGAGTATCTGGATTTGGAGTCGAGCAGTTCGGAGGAGGAGCAAGAGGTTGGTGAATATGAGAAGCTTCCCTCCGGCCGGCTGGAGGGACCGACCAAGCAGGTGCCCCAAGATGAAGAGGAAGAGGGGTCCAGGGCAGGAGCCGAAGAAGCCACACCCAGAAAGGAGAAGAGACAGAGCAAGCGCGTGTCCTACTCCCTGTACGAAGATGTCAGGGGGCACCCGGGCCAGTTGGCAGCCTCCAGGCAGTCCCAGGTGTACACCTCCACGGAGGATGCGCTGTTCCAGAAGAGCGCCAGCCTGGAGGCTCACCCCTTGGTGAGTGAGACGTGGGCTTGGGCTTCCCCTGGGTCCCTTGCCCCACTCCGGGGCCGGGAGCCTGGTGCAGTTGGTGCCTTTGTGGTGGGGTGAGGAGAGATCACCAGAAGGCTTGAGTTTCTCAATTCAGTCGGATGTGCATGTGTGATGGAACATGAACTTGAATAGTGCTGCTGGGCAGGGAGGGAATTCCAGACAGAGTTGGTCTGTTGCTTAGGAGGCTAACCAGCCTGCTGCCTGAACTGCCGGCTCTCTTCCTGGACACCACTGCCCCCTTCCCTCTTTGCCCTCTTTCCCTTCTGTTCCTCTCGTTCTCTTCTCCTCCCACCTTCTTTCTGTCACATTGCTAAACTCCTCCCCTTTGCCACCTGGACAGATGCCTCTCCAAGCCCCTCAAGCCCCACTTGGCAGAGGGAAAGCTGTGGGAGGGGGGAGGACCGGCAGAAGCATCAAGTGGCTTGCGGAGACTGCCTGCCTTTGCCAAAGTGTGCCTGAGACCCACAGCCTGGAGGGAATCAAAATAGGGTGGTTTAGCACGAGAGGGGTGGGGAGGACTCTCCTTCCTCCTCTGCGCCTCCCTGAAGGCCGTGTGGTAGAAGCCATCCCCTTTCTTGCTCTTCTCTTTCCCGGCAGATTCTTGCTTTTGACGCTCAGTGACACACTCCAGGTCACGCAGGTCCTCGTGCACTAGGGGGCGTTTGAGGACTGGGCTGGGGCCAGGTCCGAGGGGCACCGGCAGGCTGCTAAATGCCTGCTTCCTGGGGGTTTGGCCCAAAGTTCTGTCCTGCGGCTTCCAGTGCCGCAGGACCTGGGCAGGCTCTGGCCTTGTTCAGCCAGCAGTCTGTCCTGTCCCTTCCAAGGTGAAGCAGCTATCAGCCTGACCCCTCACAGAACCACACCCTTTGTGAGTTGATTTCACTTCTGGAGTTTGTACTTTCATTTTATTTGACTTTCTTCATCATCTCTTCTTTTGTGAAAACCCATCGTGTATGGGGGCACTGCAGCATTTGTGGGAAGTGGAATTAGAAGGTGAGTTTGGGTACAAACGTGTGTCCTGAATGCACACGTGGCTCCCTGTGCCGTGTGTTTGCTCTCGGCCTCTGGCAGACTGCTGGAGCGGGTCTGAGGAAGGCAGAAGTTCTTTGCTCACTCCTGCCCCGCTCCCGCTTCCCTGGGGGACTGGGTGAGAGTCTGTTCCACCTGTGTCTCTTTTGGCCTTCCTTCATGCACTCACCCATGTGTGACCTGCAGGCTGATGTGTACACGTGCGCGCGCGCACACACACACACACACACACACACACACACAGCTTATGTTTAACTTTCATTGTCCCAAGTCAGTGAAATATGGTGGATTTCTGTGAAATGTCTTTTTCATTTTATCTGTTTTGGAAGATTTCTATCGTTGGTGCCTGTAGTTCATCTACCTCTTTTTAAATTGATCATTTCTCTTTCTGAACATACTCCCACCTCTCCCTTCTCCTCTGACATCCCTGCCTCAGGCCGCAGGCCTACAGGAGCTCAGAGCAGATGGACATGACTGTGGGATCAGCACCCAGGCAGGGAGCAGAGCAGCCCTGTGCTCAGGGCTGGAAGTCAGAGAAACATCACGGAACAGTGAGGCTGATTCAGTGAAGTGTTGACTTGCAGGTCACCAGTGGTTTAGAAAAAGTCGGACGAGCCAGGCAGTCCCGTGAGTGTGTGCGTGACCGTGAGAACCGCGCAGTGGTCTGCTGCGACCTTGACTGCCAAAGGACACAAGCCAGGCTTCTAGCCTTCAGGGATCTTTGGTGTGGAGAACCAGTTTGTTAAATGGTGACGTGATCTCCCGGATGAAAGCACTTGGTGACGTGATGCCATGAGGATTAGCACATTTCCCAAAAGAATAATTTTTTTTTAAAAAACTTTGGCTTTGAAGAACCAACCGAATATTAAAAAATCTTGTTCCTAGAGGTTGCAGCTTGAGACGATTTTGATTCCATAATTCTATCACTCACACCCACATGGGACGAGACCTAAATAGAAACCCACATGACAAGGAGCGAGCAGATGGGACTGGCAAGGCAGGGAAGGAAGGAGGGGGAGGGCAGTCTGCTCTGTCCTCACGGGGAGAGAGCCGTGTGCAACTCGGTGTTCCAGCCTGGCTGAGGTCACGTTCAAAGACACGGAGCTGCCCAGAAATTGTTTCTGTCTTCCAGGGGAGCTCACCAAGTGCTTTCAGTACTACCACATTCAAATAACTGGGTAATCGACTCAATTCTAGCTTTTACAATATTTATTGATATGAAAGGCAAAAAGAAGGCAAAACACAGAGAGGCAACAGAGAGCTTCTGCCTGCTGGTTCACTCCCCAGATGGCCTCCGTGGCCAGGACGGGGCTGAGGCCAGGGACTGTCATGTGTCGCCTTCCCACGCATGTCAGCAGGGAGTTGGAATATAAGGGGAGCAACTGGGACTCAAACTGGCGCTCGGAAATGGGCTGCCAGCGGAAGAGGTGACTTAACAGGCCACACACGGTGCCAACCCCACTAGTTAATTTTTCTAAAAGATATTTTTTTAGACTTAAAGAGAATTGAATATTATACCATGTACATGTAGCGAAATATCACATGCTGATATTGATTTGAAAGGCAGAGAGAATCAGAGATCTTCCTTTTGTCTGTTCAACCCCCAGCCAGAGGTGTGTGCCAGCCAGGCCTGGGCCAGGCTGAAGCTCTGAGCCCGGCACGCAGTCCTCTTCTCCCTCATGGGTGCCAGGGAGCCAGGCACTTGAGCCTGCCTGCTACCTCCCTGGGCCTGAACCCCAGTGCTCCAGTTTGAGAGGCAGGCACCCCAAGCAACAGCTTAACTGCTGTGTCCAACTCCCGCCCAATATGTATACAGTTGTTATATGATCACAGAAGAGGTTTTATTTTTTAAAAATCAGAAAAACACAGACACATACTGGGTCTCCCGTATGGACTTGGGCCATCCACCATGCTTTTCCCGGGTCATTAGCACGGAAGGAGCAGCCAGGACATGAACTGGCACCTGTAGGGATGCCGGGTTTGTGGGTGGTGGCTTCACCTAGTTGCTAAGATTTGCTTTTTTTTTTTTTTTTAAAGATTTATTTCATTTTTATTGCAAAGTCAGATATACAGAGAGAAGGAGAGACAGAGAAGATCTTCTGTCCGATCATTCACTCCCCAAGTGAGCACAACGGCCAATGCTGCGCCGATCTGGGGCTAGGAGCCTGGAACTTCCTCTAGGTCTCCCACATGGGTGCAGAGTCCCGAGGCTTTGGGCCGTCCTCAACTGCTTTCCCAGGCCACAAGCAGGGAGCTGGATGGGAAGTGGAACTGCCGGGATTAGAACTGGCGCCTACGTGGGATCCCGGTGTGTTCAAGGCGAGGACTTTAACTGCTAGGCCACTGCGCCAGGCCCAAAATTTGCTTTTTAAATGCAGATAATATTTCACATGCTGTTTTAAGCTGACTCTTTACATTTTTTTTTTCACATTGTGGTAAAATAATCACAGCATTGGCTGACTGGACACGTGTGGGGTGCAGGTCTGGAGCATGAGTGCATCTGCCTGCTCAGACAGACAGTATCCCCCACCTGCTCCCTCTCTAGAACCCTTCCCTCCTGCTCCCCTCGTCTCTCCCTGCTTCCTGTCTCTGACCCTCACGGGCAGAGCCACAAGGGGATGTGACCTCCTGCTCCCCATGGTGGCTGTGCGTTGGATGTACTCATGCTTTCTTCATATCCTCATGAAGCTCACCCCGTGACTGGCTCATGGCGCATCTCAGGGCCGTGCAGCCTGATTCTAGAATGCTTCCCCATTGCTGTGCCTCTGTCGCCGCCCTGTTTTCTGTCTCGTGGATTTGCCCATGGCAGGCGTGTCTTGCATACTGAGTCATGGCAGCTGCCTGCCCCACGATGAGGCTCTTCTGATGCCAGATGTAAACTCATCCCTGCATCCCACACCGCCATGGGCGCTCTGCCCAGGAGCCCTGCAACTGCCGTCACACTCAGCACCCTTGCGGGCCTTACCAGGTGTTCCCCCATCTTCCAGACCATGACCTGGACGTACGGGTGGAACAGCTCGCTCCCTGTCTTCTACATCCGCGAGGAGCGCCACAGGGTCCTTCTATACGTATGTGCACACACCGTGGTCATCTACAACACCTTCCGGAACAAGCAGTACCACCTCCAGGTGGGTACCCTGTCTTCCCCCAGGGAGGAGGCTTACACTTGCACAAGGTCCAGGACCCATCTTGCCCTGGCCCAGCCTGCTTTGGAGGGAGTTCTTGTAGGCAGCAGCATGAGGAACTGGCCCCCTGTCTCTGTCTGCAATATGTAGTGATGGACCGGGCCATATCAGGAGCCTGGAACCCCATTCAGGTATCCCACACGTGTGCCAGGGACACATGGACTTGAACTCCAGGGTCCACATTAGTAGGAAACTTGAAGCACAGGCAGAGCCAGGCACCAAATACCTGTTCCCATCTCAGAATTTTGTTTTGTTTTAAAAATTGATCGATTTGAATGTCAGAGTTAGAGAGACAGGGAGATCTTCCATTCACTGGTTTGTTTTGTAGAAGGCTGTAATGGGCAGGGCTGGGCCGGGTGCTTCATCTGGGTCTCCCACATAGGTGACAGGATCCAAAACTCTTAGGCCATCTTTCACTGCTTTTCCCAAGTGCGTTAGCATAGCATTGGATCAAAGTGAAACATCTGGGACTTGAACCAGCGCCCATAGGGGATGCAGGTGGTGACTTAACCTAGTACGCTACAGTGCCAGCCCTCATTACAGAGTGCTCCCCTAGGCCCCAACCAGTACTCAGCACCATGCCTGGGAGCCAGCATACTTTATGGAAGGCCAGAAGCAGGAGGGCAGTCAGCCAGCAGGAGGTGGTCAACTGCATCACTGAGTATGGCAGCAGCAGTGGGAGCGGGGCAGGTGTGGAGCAGATGTGCGCAGATGTGGGGAGCCCTAGAGGGTCAGGTGGTTGGGAGCAGCCTTGGCCATGCACTCATCAGCTCATTCTTTCAGGTTCTGGTGTTTGTCAGATCAAGAGCAAAATGTAGATCTAGTCCATGCCCGTGGGGGCCTCCAGCAGAGCAGGGAGGTTGATGTTCAGTCAAACAAGTGACTGTGCAAACGAGGGATCCGAAACAGCCAGAAATGCTGGGGGAGCAGAGACCTCTGCCTAGGCTGAGTGGGTGGGGTGAAGACAGGAGGCCGGGCATGGGAGAATGCTGGGGAGCTGGAGTCAGCCTCACCCCGTGGAGACATGTGTTTGTACACCTGCCTCCCAGGAGATGGAGAGACCCCTGGGTCAGGGCCGTGGGACAGGAAGGGGCCAGTAGCATTCATTGCCTTCTCAGCCCCAGGACCTTGAGAGGTACTGCAGGCTCCTTGGGGAATGGGAGCGGGGAGCCCAGCTTCTGGCTGTGCCCGAGGCAGGGGGCACTGAAAGCTGTTCCCTGCCCATACAGGGCCACCCGAACGTCATCTCCTGCCTGTGTGTCAGCGAGGACAGGCGCTGGATTGCCACGGCGGACAGGGGGCCAGGGGGCCTCATCATCATCTGGGACTCCTTCACAGGGTAGGCCGGGCACCATCCTCCTCTCTCTCTCTTTCCCTCTCTTTTTTTTCTCTTCCCAGTTCGGGCAGCAATGCCGGCACTTAGTCCTTCTGTTGGTGTTGCAGGGTCAGCCGCACGAGGCTGACTTGCGTTGACCCAGCTCCCACGAGCTCTAAGCATAAACCCGATGGCAAGTCTCCCACTCACCATGGCGGGCATCCCTGTCCAGTCTGTAGGCCAGTCCTTCTTTGGTGGTCATGCCAAGTGCCTCCACCTGCACTTGAAGCTGCCCCCACACTGTGGTTGATGCGCCTCTCCTTGGCTGTGTTCCGTTTACAGGATGTGTCAGGATTGGCCCGGAGCTGGCCCTGCAGCTTCCCTGCCCCCTCTCTCTGCTCCCTACGATGCTTCCCCTCTGTCCCTGCGTCTGATTCAGAGATGGTTTCTAGAGGTGTCTTGGGTTTACAGAAAAGCTGAGATCAAGGTGGCTGTGTCCCCAACCCCAGCTTTCCCTTCATTCCCTCTGTGCCCTGTCTCCATCCCCACCCGTTTCTGAGGACCTCGAAGGCTTTGAGGGCTGCGGGGTGTGTGTAGGAGGGGGAGTTGGAAGGCTGACTGTCAGCAGCTACAGGATGAGACCCCCCAGTGCAGGCAGTGCCTTCACATGGGTCAGTGCCTCTTGCTCAGACGTGGCAGGGGCCAGCCAGGGAGGTGCTGGGGGTCTCTGGCTGGAGATGACTGCTGGAGTTCGTGCTCAGGTATGCGTCCTGCTCCCTGCACCTGCACCTGCGTGGCTCCTTCCTGCATGCAGTGCCTGACTCCGTGGAGGCTGCCGTCTCACTCCTTTGGCTAGAATCCTGGCATCTAGCGCTGTGGCGTAATTCCAGCCAGGGTGTGCCAGGCAGAGTGGAGCAGGATGCACAGCTCAAGGTGTCTGACTCTGTTACACACACATGCAGTGTCACACATACTGTCACACAGCATCATGTAGACAGTCTTACTGTTTCTATAGTTCTGAGCTGATGTTGATTTTGTTGCTCCGTGGTTAAAGAAATCCTTCCAAGGTCCATTGGCTGACATAGCCCACCTTAGGGTATCTGCTTGCCCAGGTACTTGCTGTCAAAGCTTGGCTGGGGGAGTTGTCAAATTTGTTCTGCCCATCTGGGCTTGCTGTCCCCTCGTGGTCTTCAGCAACTGAAGAGGCCCAGTTCTGACTCATGCACTCCATGGTCAGACCACAGATCCTGTGAGTTTTCCCGTGGTTGGAGTTTGAGACCAGTGGTCCAGTTGGAGGGGTTCCCCAAAGAAACCTTGCCAGTGGACACACACTCACCCTTACACACACATTCAAATGTCTTCTTTTTTTTCTTGTGTTTGTGGTTGCACAATATATTTTCTCACCCAAGCTTGGCCACTTCCCCACATTTCACTAATTGTTGTAAAAACATTTTTATTCATTTACTTGAGAGACAAAAAAAAGAGCAAGCCCCCGTGCACTGAGTCATTCCCCAGACGCCCTCCGCAGCCGGGGCTGGGCCAGGGCTGATGGTCTCTTCCAGGTCTCTTGCAAGAGCGACAGGTACACATATGCGTGAGACGTTGCGGCTGCTGTGCAGGGTCTACACAAGCGGGAGCCTGCGGGGCGTAGTCAAGTCTGGGGACCTGGACCCAGTTCCTTGAGGGTGGACCACTTGGGCCTTAACCACACTGCTGGGATAACTACTCGTTTTCTACTCTTCGTTTTGCGTTTGCAAAGTACCTGGCATGGGGCCACAGCCCAGTAGAGGGGAACACTCAGGACAGAGGCCACCAGTTCGCCCCTAGCCCCCAGGTGGGCTTCCACTGAGCGAGGTAGAATTCCATCTTTGAAGTGTGCAGGCCAGCGGTACAGTGTGTGGAGTATCACCTCTGCCCGGTTCAGAAACATTCTCGTGACCCCAGGAGGCTCCATGCCACCGAGCAGTCACCTGCCATCCGCATGTTCCCAACCCTAATGCCTGCTCCTCTGTGTGTCTCCATGGAGTTTCCCATGCTGGACAAGTCCTGTCAATGGAATCCCAGTGTGAATGTCACCATGCACCCAGCTTCATGTTCCTGGGGCTCCCCAGTGCCAGAGCAGGCATAATTGCTTTGTTCCTCTGTGTGGCTGTGTTATAGTCCACAGGGCTCCCGTGCTGTGGTGTCTGGGGAGGTGTGAGCTGAGCTCAGCCCCGCTGGACCCCCTTGAGCCAGCGGCCTCCTTCCCCTCCCTGTCCTGCAGCATCCCCGTACACACCATCTTCGACAGCTGCCCAGACGGGAATGGCATCAGGGCCATTGCCATGACCCGTGACGCCAAGTACCTGGCCACCATCTCTGATGCCGAAGCCCAGGTAAGGGGGTCCTCCACCCCAGGATGGTCTTGGCAGCTGGCTGAGCTGTCGGAAGTGTCCCAGTGAGTGACAGACTTCAGAGGCGACCAGATTTCACCCCACAGGGTCAGGGCTTCTAGCTGGGCATCTAGAGCGACAACATCACAGCAGGAGACATCTCCAAAGCCCATCTCACGCTCCCTCTGCTGCCCTCTGCAGAAGGTGTGCATCTGGAAGTGGACGTTAGCAGTGGAAACGCCAGCCTGTACGCTGGAGCTCCCCACAGACTACGGCCTCCAGGTGAGCGCAGCCCCAAGTCACGCCAAGGCCAGAGTCCAGCTCAGTTTGTGTTTGAGTGCAGTAGAGCTATTTATTTATTTTTAAGATATGTATTTATGTATTTTAGAGGCAGAGTAGCACAGAGGGACACACACACGCACAGAGAAATCTTCCATTTACCTGTTCGCTCCCCAGATGGCTGCAATGGCCTGGCGGGGCCAGGACAAAGCCAGGAGCCTGGAGCTTGCCCTGGGTCTCCTATCTGGATGGGTGGCATTCAGGCACTGGGGCCGTCCTGCACTGCTCTCCCAGGTGCCTCAGCAGGGAGCTGGATAGGGAGTGGAGCAGCCGGAACTCAAGCCAGCGCCCCTGTGGGATGCAGACACTGAAAAAGGCAGCTTTACCTGCGACCCCACAGTGCGACCCCCTCTCCAAGGTCTCTTGAACTGGAGACACATTACTCAATTTTGGAAAATTCTCAGTCGTGTTTCTTCTTTAAACATCCTTTCTAACACATTCTTTCCTCTCCTTCTGAGACTAATTACATGTAAGCTAGACTGTTTATTTTGAAGATTTATGTATTCATCTGAAAGGCTGAGCTACAGAGAGAGAAGGACAGACTTCCACCCACTGGTTCACTCCCCAGATGGCAGTAAGCACTAGGGCTGGCCCAAAGCCAGGAGCCAGGAGTTTCGTCTGAGTCTCCGTCTCGGGTGTGGGGACCCAAGCTGTTGGGCCATCCTCTGATGCTTTCCCAGGTGGATCAGCAGGGAGCTGGATCAGAAACAGCGTCTGGGGCTCCAGTAGCACCCATAGATGCTGGCACCACAGGTGGCACCCGATCTGTTACACCACAGTACCAGCCCTCTGCCTGCTGCGCCACGTGCCAGCTCCCTTGACGTTACCTTTTTTATTGTGACCCATTGACCTTATGTTCTTTCTTCTGTATTGTTCTTTCTTTTTTAAAAAGATTTATTATTGGGCCCAGCACAGTAGCCTAGCAGCTAAGGTCCTCGCCTTAGGCCCAAAACCTTGGGACCCTGCGCCCATGCGGGAGACCCGGAAAGAAGTTCCTAGCTCCTGGCTTTGGATCGGTGCAGCACCAGCTGTTGCGGCCACTGGGGAGTGAATCAACGGACAAAAGATCTTCCTCTCTGTCTCTCCTCCTCTCTGTATCTCTGACTTTCCAATAAATAAATAAATCTTAAAAAAAAAAAGACATACATTTATTTTTATGGAAGGAATATTTACAGAGAGGAGAGACAGAAAGAGCTTCCATCTGCTGATTCACTTCTCACATGGCCACAACTTCCTGAGCTGAGCCGATGTGAAGCCAGGAGCCTCCTCAGGGTCACCTATAGTTTCAGGGTCCCAAGGCTTTGGGCCATCCTCGACTGCTTTCCCAGGCCACAAGCAGGGAGCTGGATGGGAAGTGGAGCTGCCAGGATTAGAACTGTTGCCCATTTGGGATCCTGGCACCTTCATGGTGAGGACTTTAGCTGCTAGGTCACTGCGCTGGGCCCAAAAATAAATATATTTTAAATGTATATAAACATCTCTGTCCAAAAGGGCACAGAGTAATGGCCATTGGCAAATTCTGTCTTACTGTTGCTAATTCCAATCTACAGACAATGAATCAAATCAGACTAGAAAGGAAACATATTTGGCCCTGGTTATTGTCCCAACCAATATTTAATGCAGCTCTCACTGCTTACCAAATGCTGTGCCTTTTCCATTTTATAAGCCTGCTCAGTTGTTTCATTAAATTATTTTAATGCTCAGTTTAACCAAGGCATGTCAGAAATTGTATTCTAACAAAAAACAAAATTTCCGTGCTGCATATGTTTCAGAACTATGTTACCTTTAACCCTGCAAACAACAAGGAGTTGGTGAGCAATAGTAAAACACAAGTGATCTATTATTCCTGGGTAAGTAGAGCCCGCTCGACTTGTTCTAAACGTGGAGACAAGTGTTTCCTCACTCTTTGAGTTGTTTTAACACTGTCACTCTATATAGTGTCTACTTAGGGAGGCAATGATTAAATATTAAAATGTTTCCATTTGATTGTAGTACTAATTTTACTCCCGTTGGGAATTAATAAATCTAATCAAGAGCAGATGATTATATTTGTTTAAATTTTTAAGAAGTAAATATTTATTTGAGCATGTATCTATTCAGATATTTATTTATTGAGTGGGAAGAGATCCAGAGAGACGGGGAGAGAGAGGGAGGGAGATCTTCCTTGCACTGATTCACTCCCCACTGGCCGGAAGGAGCATCAGCTGGGTCTCCCACGTGCATGTGGGTTACTGTTTACTTCTTCCTGGGAGCATCACAGGAGATGAAACGGGAGACAGTAGCCGGGACTCGATCCTAGACACTGCAGGATGGGATCTGGGCATCCCAAGCAGCAGCTCCACTTACTGCCCCTGGTGGGTGACAGGGACCAGGAGCTTGGACTGTCCTCTGTCACCTTACCGGCTACAGGAAGATGGATCAGAGGCAGAGCAGCTGGGACTGGAGCTGACATGCAATGCCAACCTCACGGGCGGCAGCACAGTGCTGCCCGAGTAGCTGGCCCCCGGTTTCCATGGGTGATGAGGATGTCCTAGAGCCGGCCAGGGCTGGCAGGGGCACGCCTTGGCACGGCCAGCACTTCATGTCGCAGCCAGAACCAGGCCACGTGATCACGCTCCTGACTTCAGGTGTCCATCACAGTTTCGAAGCCCTGTGAATGTCCTGCTCGGATTTGCACTGACCACCGCTGGGCAGTCAGCCTCGCTCGGGGCACTTGGCTCATGCCTGCTTTTCTCTCAGGGCTCATTTAAAGTGTCTCCTGTGGGCAACAAGTTCTCTTACCTGTAGAAATTGCCAATTTCTGGCTGTGTGTGGGTGTCTTAGTTTGGTTTTTCACGCAGTTCCTCTTCTGGAAACCGAGTCTGGTCTTAATAGTGATTTTTTTTTTTTCTGTCTTACCAGGATGAAGAGAAAGACACACTTGTGCACAGCGCTCCACTTCTAACAGAAAAAGTGAGTGTGCCTGTCAGCCCTTGGCATGTCAGAGCTTGTGGAGAAAAAAATGTGTGTATAAGGAATAACCCCGGTGGCTATTCCTTATGTCTCTTAAAACTGAAGCCACTGGGGGTCCAGCGTGCTAACCTAGTGGCTAAAGTCTTCGCCTTGCATGTGCCAGGATCCCATGTGGGCGTCAGTTTGTGTCCAGCTTCTCCACTTCCCATTCAGCTCCCTGCCTGTGTCCTGGGAAAGCAGTCGAGGACAACCCAAAGCCTTGGGGCCCTGCATCTGCATGGGAGACCCAGAAAGAAGCTCCTGGCTCCTGGCTCTGGATTGATTCAGCTCTGGCCCTTGTGGACACTTGGGGAGTGAATTAGTGGGTGGAAGATCTTCTCTGTCTCTTCGTCTCTTTGTATATCTGCCTTAACAATAAAAATAAATAAATCTTTAAAAAAAAAAAACTCTGAAGCCATTGGGAAACAGTTTAAATATGTTACTTGGGTCCATGTGGTGTGGCAGGTTAACAGGCCACCTGTGGGGCCAGCATCCCCGGCAGGCTGCAGTTGGCATCCTAACTGCTCTAATTCCTGCCCTGCTCCCTGCTGAAGCACCTGGGAAAGCAGTGGAGGATGGCCCAAGTACTTGGGTCCCTGCACCCACATAGTTCAGCCGGAAGGAACTCCTGCCTTTTAGTTTTGAGCTGGCATAGCTCCAGCCATTGCATTCATTTGGGAAATGAACCAGCAGATGGAAGATCTCTCTATCTGTTCCTTCCTCTGTAACTCTGCCTTTCAAATAAATATAAAAAAAAAAGATATTTTGCTCACATTTTTAGGGGAATAGGTTGGGTGTTGTGTTTTTTTTTTGAAAGCTTGAATGATGGCTTAAAGTGGTGATAAGTGGTGTAGGGGTGTTGTGGGTAATAGATTGGGTTTGGGAGGGGGGTAAATGGTGAGTTGTGTGTTTTGTTTGTTTGGGGTTTATTGTGGTATGGGGTGTTGTTTGTTATGAAGGGGGTTTGGATAGGGTTTAAAGCATTAACTGAAAATTGAGAAATGAAAAAAAATATGGGGGGGGTGGAAGAATAAGGGGGGAGGTTAATATTGGATTTGGAGGGGGTGTTTGAGGTATGGGATTGATGATAAGTATTTGATGTGGTGAAGTTGAAGTAGGAATGGGTTGGGTATTAGGGGGAGGGGTGGTTGTGGTGGGTGATATGATGGTAGAGGAATGGGGTTGGGGGGGGGGTGGGTTGGATGTGAGGTGGGGGGGGGGGGGGGTGTTTTGGGGGGCGGTGGGGTTGATGGAAGAGAGAGAGAGAGAGAGATGTATATGTATTATATATGAGGAATGAGGATGGGGGGGGGAAAATTGGTAGGGGGGGGGGGTTTATTGAAGTTGAAATAAGGTGAGAGTTAAAAATGAAAGGAAGGGGAAGAAGAATAGGAGAGAAAATTGAGATGTAATGGGGTGAGGGGTGATTTGGGGGGGGATGAGGGGGTAGAAATGGTTAATATTTAGGTGGGATGGTGGTGGGGGGGATGATGAGGTTAATAAAGTTAAAAGGGTGTTGAGAGGGGGGGATTGTGTAGTGTGGTGGTGGGGGGTTTGAATGTGATGGAGGGGGAGAGTATTTTAGGGGATAGTAATTGAGTTTGGGGTGTTGGGGGATGTTGGGGGGGGGGGTGAGGAGGGTGGAGGGGGGGGGGGGTGGGTGGGGGTTAGTAGAGGGTAAGAGATGGTAATGATAGGGTTTATGTTAAGGGGATGGGAGTTTATTGTATGGATTATTAGAGGGGGGGTTTTGGAATAATGGAGGGTGGAATAAGGATGGGGTAAATTTTAATGGAGGAGTAATTGTTGGTATAGGGGTATGGGTTATTAATTTAATGCGAGAGGGTGGATAATCCTCAATCTAGCCGTGGGCTTTATGGTGATTAAGGATAGGGATGGCATCACCGTGCTCACCACTGTCGACAGGTACCCAGCCCAGCGTGCAGCACGCACACGCAAGTGCTGCCCAAGTCGGGCATCCTCCCGGGGAGTGCCAGTTGCTGTGGAGGAAAGAAACGAGAGCCAGGATTGTGGGTGGGGGTGGATTTCCTTCTGGTTTGGGTTTTTAAAACCACAGGTGTGCTTTATGTTTATAAGTTCTTTTGTGTTGGTGATACAAAGTGTTTTTTTTTTTTCTTTCTTCAGTGCTAGACTTACTTTACATCCCCAGTTTGTTTTTTAAGATTTTTTTTTTTATTGGAAAGTCAGATATACAGAGAGGACAGAGAGGAAGATCTTCCTTCTGCTAATTCATTCCCCAAGTGGCCTCAACGGCCAGAGCTAAGCCAGTCTGAACCCAGGAGCAAGACGCTTGTTTCAGGTCTCCCATGCAGGTGCAGGGTCCCAAGGCTTTGGGCCATCTTCGACTGCTTTCCCAGGCCACAAGCAGGGAGCTGGATGGGAAGTGGAGCAGCTGGGACACGAATTGGTGCCCATATGGGATCCTGGCACAAGCACTTAGGCACTAGACTACCATACTCCACCCCGCAATTAAAAAAAAAAAAAGATTTATTTATTTTCATTGGAAAGAAAGAAAGATTTACAGAGAGAAGGAGAGACAGAAAGATCTGCCTGCTGTTTCACTTCACAAGTGGCCGCAAAGTCGAAGCTGAACCAATCCAAAGCCAGAGCCAGGACATTCTTCCTGGTCTCCCACGCGGGAGCAGGGTCCCAAGGCTCTGGGCCATCCTCAACTGCTTTCCCACAGGCAACAAACGTGTGCCCATCTGGGATCCCGGCACTTGGAAGGTGAGGATTTCACCATTAGGGTATCACGTCAGACCCCGTACCCCTCAATTCTACATACCCTGTATTTGAGAGAATATTCTTGAGAGATACTGTTCCCCAATGGTCCCTGTGTTACAGAAGTTTCCAGAAGGCACCTGACATGCCTGCAGACAAGGCCCTGCCCCTGTGGTCAGAGCCTCCCATTTCAGCTGCTTATCTTTCAGCACGGAGGATCCCTGAGGTCTGGCAGGGTTTCACACAGTGAAAGCGGATTGCCAACCTCACTGGGCGACCCTTGACCTCCGAGGCCTACAGTGGGGCCTCCATGGTCAGCCCTTGATGAGTCAAGGCTTAGGACCCAGTACGGACCAAGCCTGGGATCTCTACTCTCCAGGGTCAGTAAAAACCAGCTGTGTGGCATCTGGGACACCTTCAGAGGGCTCTCAAGGTGCTCAGCCGGTCACGCTGCTTCTAGCCAGCAGGGGGCAGTGAAAGGTGCACTTGCCAATTACCGTACCCACCTGCCTGGCTTATTAATCAGAAAGCTCATTTAATCCTTATGCTATGTAAGAGAAAATACACACCCACACCCTCTCCCACTGACGAGAATAACGTCAGTCTCAGGAAAACAGACCTGTGGAGGGTGGACATAGGGGCTACACGAAAGGTGCTTTGCCAGGCGACAGGGCCTCTGGCCGCAGTGACTGGAATAGCTCTCTCAGCCATGTCTTTCTGTGAAGCATTTTGTGTTCCCCTGCTACATGAGGTCAGGGAGTGGGCAATGGAGAGCTCTCCCTGTCCGCATCTGGGCTGGCTATGCTTAAGGAACCCTGATGGGGTGACCAGGTATAAGGATATTCTTACACTGAGGGGTGGTGCCTTGTATGCCCAGCGTCCTGTGGTGGTATTTGCTAGATCTGGCACACCATGGGTCTTGAGAAAATGTGCTGACTTCTCTGGTTGGACAGATGGGAAGCAGGACGACAGGGAAACCCTGGGCAGTGTCCAGTGGCGTTTGCACGCAGTCCAGAGCCCAGAGCCTGGCACTTGACCAGGTGCTCGGCCCTCGCGGACAGCCCTGGCCGGTGACTGCCGTCGTGTGAACACTGCCGTTCTCCCTTGCAGCTATATCGTCACGGGCGACATCAGAGGCAACATTAAGTTCTACGACCGCAGCCTGTCCATCGTTAACTGGTACAGTCACTTCAAATTGAGCTCCATCAGGACCCTGTCCTTCTCCAAGACCCCGGCAGCGCCTCCGACAGAGAAATCCAACTTCCCTCCGGACTGCACCCTGAAAGGGGACCTCTTTGTGGTGAGGTGAGCTGCCGATGGATGTTCAGGTCCTCGTTAGCGAGGGTGTGGGTGCAGTAGTTCAGGTTCCACCTGCTTACACTGCAGGGGGTGAGTCCGGCACCAGTCCCGGCACCAGCTGCTGCAGCCTGCCGCTCAGCCCGGGAGGCAGCCGGGGACGGCTCACGTGCCTGGGTCCCTGACAGTTCCGGAACACCAGGACTGAGTTCCTGTCTCCTGGCTTTGCTCTGACGCAGCTCCTGCTGTTGAAGATACTTAAGTGAAGCAGTGACGGGCACCAACTCACTCTTCCTTTCCTTTTTCTCTGTTTCTCAAGTGAAACAAGTAAATAACAGTTTTTAAAAAAGATTTGTTTTATTTTTATTTGAATGATGGATCCATAGAAGAAGAGACACAGAGAAAGATCTTCCATCTACTGGTTCACTTCCCAAATGGCTGCAGTGGCCGGAGCTGAGCTGATCCGAAGCCAGGATCCAGGAGCTTCTTCTAGATCTCCCACATGAATATAGGATCCCATGGACTTGAGTCATCCTCCACTGCTTTCCCTGGCCACAAGCAGGGAGCTGGATGGGAAATGGAGCAGCTGCAACAGTAACCAACACCTTCCCGGGGTGAGCCGATGCTTGCAAAGAGAGATTTAGCCTATTGAGCCATCATGCTGGCCCCAAGAAGTAGATAGATTTTAAAAGTGGTGATGCCTGCCTTTTATTTGCATGCAGATGGATGAATGTTCACCTTGTGCCTAGGATAGGGACAGAGGGGTGTGGCCTTACAGGACATGCTTCTCCTGGCCTGTGGGTAGCTTGTAGTTTCAGAAAGTCAGCCATAGCGCTGGGGGTGTAGTTCAACAGGCTACAACCCTGTGGCACCAATGTCAGATTTGGGTACTGGTTTGAGTCCCAGCTGCTTCACTTGCCATCCAGTTCCCTGCTTGTGGCCTGGGAAAGTGGCAGAGGAAAACCCAAAGCCTTGGGACCCTACACCCACATGGGAGACCCAGAAGAAGCTCCTGCCTCCTGGCTTTAGCTCTGGCTGCTTTGGCCATTTGAGGAGTGAGCCAACAAATGGAAGAGCTTTCTTTCTGTTTCTCCTTCTCTCTGTAAATCTGCCTTGCTAATAAAAATAAATAAATCTTAAAAATAAGTCATCCGTGTCTTAAAACTAAGAACCTCAGTAACAGAGCGGTGCCATCTTCATCCCTCGGCTCTCATCTCTACTGGGCCTCGAGTCCCGCGGATTGGTCTCTGTCGCTGGGCAGAGCTGGTTCCCAGCCACTGCTGTTAGAGGCACCGGACAGTTCCTAGGCAGCACATCTCCTGACCGAGATTGTCCAGGAGGCTGCTCCAGTACCCTGGCAGCCGTCACAGGCACATCTGTATGGGCACACCAACTCTGTTTGCATACACAAATGAATACTTGTGTCTACAGATTAGCTAATCCTACAACTGACTGTCCATCTGCATCTTTAATGACTCAGTATCCGTGTGGAAAAGTGAGTTTTTTTTTTTTTTAACTTGCAAATAGAGGCTATTGGGTGTTGGTGTGTTTGTGGAGATGTCGGGTTAACAATGTCCCTGAATTACAGACGACGGAGGCATCTCCTGTGCCGTTAGCAGCGGGGTGGCTGGCAGCTGCTCTGTGCCGTGCTCACGCCACCCGGGGTCCCTGGCCCCACAGGAACTTCATCATCGGCACCTCCGACGCCACCGTGTACCACTTAACCACAGACGGCACCAAGCTGGAGAAGCTGTTCATGGAGCCCAAGGACGCCATCTGTGCCATCTCCTGCCACCCCTACCAGCCCCTCATCGCCATCGGGAGTGTGTGTGGGATGATCAAAGTGTGGGACTATGAAAAGAAAAAATACCTCTTCAGCAGGGTCTTTGAGAAGGGCCTGGGAGTGCAGAGCCTCACCCACAACCCAGAGGGTATGCTGTTCTTCCGGGCATCTGCGACGGGTCCAAACCCAGTGTCCAGGGATGGGCCAGGAACCCAGCCCGGATCACCCGCACGGAGCCCGGTTCCCTGAGCCTGCCCCACCCAGGTCTTCATGAGCAAGGGGCAGGAGTCGGATGCTGCAGCCAAGGCTGCATCCCAAATGCCGTGCCATGGGATCTGGGTACCACCCAAGCTCCTGCCCCACTGTGATCCCTGGCTTGTCGCCGCAGGAGCCCTGCTGGGGGCCGGCTTCACCGAGGGCACGGTGTACATCCTGGATGCCATGTCCTTGGAAAATGAGAGCCGGAAGCCTTTCAAATACTCAAGAGGCAGTGTCACTCACATCAGCTTCTCCCACGACTCCCAGTACATGGCAACTGCCGTGAGTACCCTCCCACACCGCTGGCCAGGGTCGCAGCCCCCGTGGGCAGGGTGGTGTGGGAGGGTGGGCTCTGTCTTTGGCGGTAATGAAAAGTCCCTGAGATCGGGAGGGATAGAGGCACGACGCGCACAGCCAAGAGCAGTCTGTTGCACGCTGTACGGGATGTGGTGCAGTGCAAGCCCCTGGTGGGAGGTCCCCAGAGCCCTAGCTCACTGGTCTCTGCCGCTGCCACTGTGTCCCCTTGTTTTATTTATTGGGGAGGAGAGAGACGCATAAAGAACCCTCCCATCTTCTGGGTCACCCCCCTTTGCATAGCCTCCACTGGCTGGGGGTTGGGAACTCCATCCAGGTCACCCGTGGGTGTGGCGGGGACCCCAGTACGCGGGCCATTGCTCACCTTCTCCCAAGTTCAGCATCTGCAGGGAGCTGGAGCCAGAGGTGAACCGAGGCTCTAGGAAGTGGAATGTGGGGGTGTTAACTGCTAGGCTGAAGGACCGTCCCCCCACCCTGTTTCATATATGTTGTTGTTGTTTTTAATCCTTATGTGGCTGAATCGAGAGCAGCAAATGCAGGCATCAGGAATCAGGCTCTCAGGTTTGCCTAGAGGCCGGGTAGGAGTAAGGTCACAGAGAACTGCCTTCTCCTCCCACCACCTTGAGAGCACTTTGATCTTCTCATCTGTGAAGTGGGTATCCTGTTAGTCCGACACGACGTCACTCACACCAGCAGGTGTAGAAGGGCATGACCTGGGCCCCTCTGCGTTTTCTAGGATGTGAACTGCACTGTGGCCGTGTACATGATCGTGGTCAGAAACGGACAGAGGGTCTGGGAATACTTAGCCAGGCTCCGTTCTCACCGCAAGAGCATCCGTAGTCTGCTCTTCGGGGTTCACCTGGACAGCAACGACCCCCGGCTCCTGAGCCTCGGCAAAGACAGGCTTTTGGTGAGCTGCCTGCTGTGATCGCACTGCCCACTACTCCCTTGGCGCCTGCTCACCTTGGCCCTGCTGTCTCGTACTAAGCAGCATGGTTTCAACACCAGTGTCCCCCGGGTCAGCCTCACCTCCATGGGGCTGTGTGCTGCCCACTGGAGTATGGGCTAGACCCAGGTCCTGAGTGGGAGCTCCCGGGCAGCACTGCTAGCACTGCTACCGAGTCAGACTAGGAGGCCCAGTCGGTCATGGTGTTTGTTCGCTGTCTTCCCTTCATGTTGTGGCTCACACCACTTTGCCCAGGAGATCACACCGGCTCTGATGGGTCCAGCCAGTGCTGAGATGCACCTGTGCCCTCAGTCCCCTTCTCAGAGGTGTCAAAACGGGCAGGTGGCCAGGACACTTGAGGCCGTGGAGGCTAACGCTGTTATAGGAGACAGACCCAATTGGTGTGGCCTCAAGTGATCTGCACCCACCGGTGTCTCCTTGTCTGGCAGCAAGCACAGTGACAGCAGTGTGGGACCTTCGTGGGCCAACAGTGTGATGCTCAACCATTGTCCACCTCGTATCCTGTCCCCCTGCTCTCCACGTCCTCAGGTGACACTAACCTGATGGAGCAGGTGGGGCAAACCTCGCAGGCCTGCAGGCTGGTGTCTGCCGCAAGCTTGCAGCTCTTGGGAGAAACTCAGGGCCGGGCGGGGTGGTCATGAGTGTGTCCGTGAGCAGAGCTGTGGTCCTGGCGTGGTGGTCGCATGTGTGTCCATGGACAGAGCTGTGGGCTTGGTGTGGTGGTCACACGTGTGTCCATCTGGCCTGCAGATAGAGTACAATCTCCGCAGGAGCTGCCGCGACCACCTGGAAGTCATGGACATCCACCGTACCGACCAGGGCGACTATCCCACCTGCATGGTGTGGTACCCGCCCCTCACCAAGGAGCTCTTCCTGCTCATTTGCAACAGCGGCTACAAAGTGAAGCTCTTCAACTCCACCACTAAGATGTGCAGGTGAGTGAGGGCCTTTCAGGGAGCTGTGTGCACTGGGTCCTTGGCTGCCACCCATGAGCCGCATGTGCCAGGTCTTTGGCTCTGGCCCACCATAGAGCGCAGTCCGTGGCCCCTGCCCGCAAGCCACATACCCAACGTTCTCCTCGTGCTGCGGAGAGCTAGCGGGAGTGGTTCTCTCTGGAGCAGCCGCTTGTTCCCCCACCCACATGAGCTGAGTGGCATTCTGGGGGCTGAGGGTGGCAGAACAAGGAGGTTCATCTTGTTGTGGAGCGTCACTTTGGTGAGCGAGGGTGATGCTATGAACTGCACAGGAAGCCAGGTGGCTGGTGCATGGCCTGAGGAAGCAGGACATAGAGATGGGGTGTCCTGTCCTGAGGTGGGGGGCTGTGGTGTCCACAGCGTGCCTGGGAGTAAATCACAGCTGAGCAGAGACTTGAGGAGGACAAAGGGAGGAACCCCTGTTCTGAAGGTGTGGGGGGGTTGGTTCGACGAGGTGCTGTGAGTAGGGTGTGTGTAGTGAGTAAGGAACGCGAGGTATCTTACCGTAAGAACCCGCTCTTATGGGCCACGCACAAGTCAACGGAGGGCTCTGAGCAGGGGTGACGTGCAGTGGTTTGTCTGACTTCCTTGTGGGGAGTGGGAGACTAAGAAGAAGCCCCTGGCTTTGGTCTGGGTCAGCCCTGGTTGTTTTAGAAAATGAGTACATTTTTACAAAATTAAAGATATTTCAGAGGTTCTAACACTCGTGTGCTGGAATGGGCTCTCTTCCTGCACGATATCTCTGCGTCTAGGGGAGGCCTAGGAGTGACAGGCACGGGGTGTCATGTGCCACGCTGATGGTCCGCGACCATCCCGCGTCACACTGCCCAGAGCTGTCGTGCTGACGTGGGGAGGGGCAGGGCAGGACCCCGAGCAGAGCTCTGACCATCCTCCACCTGACGCCACGTGTCCCTCATCCGGTCCTGCCCGTCCCCTCTCCACGTCGGGGCCTGTGGTCTGCAGTCTCCTGAGCGTGGCTGGAGAGGAGCTGGAGTGGCAGGAGGTGAGCCCACAGCAGGGTCCTGTGTGCCCGTCCAGGACGCTGTGAGCTGGCAGCAGGGGCAGCAGGGGCAGCAGGGGCAGCAGGGGCCCTAGCGTGAAGAACACTGTTATGTTGAAACTTCCCCTACAGGCCAGGACCGCCCTGCGTTTGCGGCTGTTTTCCTTAAATCGCACCTTCCCAGAAGGCACAGGGAAGAATGGTGAACAATTGTCAGATCACATGGTAGGAGAGAAAACAGCACAATGCTTTTTCTTTTTTTCTTTTTTTAAGATTTTGTTTATTTTTCTTGGAAAGTCAGATATAAAGAGAGGAAGAGAAACAGAGAAAGATATTCTGCCCACTGATTCACTCCGCAAGTGACCACAATGGCTGGTGCTGAGCTGATCCGAAGCCAGGAACCTGGAGCTTCTTCCAGGTCTCCCACTTGGGTGCAGGGTCCCAAGGCTTTGGGCTGTCCTCAACTGCTTTCCCAGAGCACAGGCAGGGAGCTGGATGGAAAGCGGGGCCTCTGAGATTAGAACCAGCACCCATATGGGATCCCAGCGCATTCAAGGTGAGGACTTTAGCCACTAGGCCACGCCGCTGAGCCCTGATCTGACCCTTAAAATTTTATCACAAGGGCCTAGTGTGGTAGCCTAGTGGAGGAAGCTCCTGGCCAGCCATTTTAGTCCTTGGGGGAATGAAGCAGTGGAGAGAAGACACACACTCTCTCTCTTTCAAATAAAGAAAACAGGATTGGACTCCTGGGACTCCTCTGGCAGCATGCTTTCTCTCCTGCTGTGTCTTGTTGGGATGCCTCGGGGCAGGGGCAGTCTCCTTTCTAGCAGCACCGTCACGTTCCTGTGTGCCAGGAAACCACCATTTAACACCAGTTAATGGACATCTGGACCGAGTCCATTTTTTAACGTATTTTCGAACAAGAGCTCCTTTTACTTATGTCTTGGCTTGACTACTTTTATGGCCTGCATTCCTAGAAGTCAGCAGCTTACAGCCAGATTTCCTAGAGGGGACAAGTGGCTTTCCCAAAAGCTTGCACCGATGCACGCCCCCATGGCAGCGGGGGCAGAGTGCCCGTTTCCTCACCCCCTGGCCAGCACCTGGTACTATCAGTCACCGTTATCTGTGTCGATCGGATGTGGTGACAAATGGAGCTGGGTTGTCACGTGCGCCTCTGACAGACTGGAGAGCATCTGCTCCTACATTTATCGGCCTTTTCTGCGAGAAGCCTTTGCCATTTATAAACTCCCTGCACCCCAGTAGGAAAGGATGTTTTCCTGCAGGTTCCGCTTCCCTGCTGGCTTCCATGCCCGGACCTCAGCACTCACTCTTCCTCCTCCTCGCCCCCTGTGCTCCCACTCACCATCCAAATGCTGCTCTCTCTTGCGTCTAGCCGAGGGGCCAGCTGGGAGATGCAGAATGAGCAGCGTGGCAGGGCGTCCTGACCAAAAGGCCTCCAGGCTCTCGGCCTTTAGAAAAAGAAGGGTCCTTTCTCCTCTCGCAGAAAGACACTGCTGGGGCCGACGTTCGGTTCACCGATTGAGCAGACCCAGGTGCTGCCAGCGAGAACAGCCAAGGAGCTGCAGAAGCGCTACCTGGTGTTCATCAACAAGGACAAGGTACAGCCCGCACTCACCCTGCCCGCCATGTGCACATGAACTGTGCTCGGCCCTGGAGGGGGACACTCCAGATGCCCTGCGCAGACAGAGGCCGGCCTGTAGCAGGTGCAAGAACGCTGGCCGCCAGCAGGCGCTGCTGAGGGGTGAGGTTTCCTGCAGCCTGTGGAGGACACACAGGACACCGGAGGGCCTTTTATTCTGGTGTATTTGCATGAAATAATTTTAGGATTATTTCAGATTACGGACACTCGGCTGTGTACCCAACAGTCAGTCAAGAGAAGTCTATGTCACAAGATGTATTAGTTTGGACAATCCTGGGCATTGACCAGGAGACTTCACAGGAAAGTTGCCCTGCTGAATTGCCACTGCAGCCCAGTGTGCAGCTCCCATACCCTGACATGACTCTGGACACACAGGTCCGTCAAGCATGTGGGTCTAGAGGTAGTCACGCAACTGCTGGGCCTGACGTGGGGCCCAGTGCCCTGCAACTGAGTGACCACTGCACATCTCTTTCCAGGTTGGGCTACAGATCTTGCCAGTAGACGGCAACCCCCACAAGACATGGGCCATTGTTTGCCACCCAAGCGGGGTGGCCGGCATGGCCCTGTCCTATGATGGCTCGTACGCCTTCACTGCGGGAGGGCATGACCGCTCGGTCGTGCAGTGGAAAATCAACCTCAGGTATGTATCAGGTCGGCCGTCTGGCCCTGTGAGGTAGGGATCGGGCTGCTGGTTCCCCTTCCTGGCCTGCGGCAGCACACAGGGCCTTGGGCAGGCCTCTCATGAGCGTCTGGCTGGTGAATTCAGTTCATCTGGAGCCGAGAGCTCAGTCAGTCCTGTGCTTTCCACGCTTCCTCACACAGGCCTGCGTCACGAGCTCAGGTCTGTCCCGCTAAGAGGGGGGCAAGCACAGAAGCGATGCCCAACCTGCCCATTTCGGGGAGCAGTCAAGCCGAGTGGGAGCTCCATTCCTGACCATCCCCATGGCCCTGGGCCCTGTCTGGTAGAGAGGGGGTTCACCCCAGCAGTGTGGCATCGAGAGACTGGGACAGCAGCTTTGGGCACTTGGAACGGGCCTGACCCCAGCTCCCAGCCAGGTACACAGGTACACATCTTTCTTGGTGTGACCAACATGGAAGTTTCTTCCCTGCCCCCGCGTGCGCGCCAAGTAGCCAATTCCACCCTGGACCCCTGTCACCTGAGCATGCCGGTTTGGGAGACCTGGGGGCTCTGAGGTGGAGGTGAGCTCGTCCTGAGGGAGTCCTCAGCCCACCTTCCCCTCCCCCCGCCTTTTGCCTGGCACCTGGGGGAGGGTGCACAGCAGGCCTGAATCTTCCCCTTTCCATTTTTGTCTACTAGAAATGATAGATTTTTTTTTAAAAAAAAAAAGTTGACAAAAGCCGGTGCTTGCTTTCCAGAGCTTTCCTGTGCCTGGTCAGAATCCAGGCTGCTGGGAATTTCCATTTAATCTGTTGTAGGGACAAAGGATCATTATAAACTAATTAGCACTTCAGCACTGCTTCTAGCAACTTAATCTGTTCAGTGCAAACACCCTGACCAAGGGGACAGAGCTCCTGCTGGCACTGCTGCTGGCACCTTGTAGGGTGCCCGGTCCCTCCTGTCCTGTCCTCAGCTGTGCCCTTGCCCTGTGGGATCTTCCTTGGCACACTTTTCTCACCCTATCTTTCACCACAGGTACACCTCACATCCTGCCTCCCCTTTTCTCTCCTTGTCTGGCATGTTTTTAAATCCCATTACTTTTATTATTAAGATTTATTTTTATTTGAAAGATAAAGACACACAGAGAGAAAGAGAGACACAGAGAGATCTTCCATCCACTGGATCACTTCCCAAATGGCCAGAGTTGCTGGAGCTAGGCTAATGCAAAGCCAGGAGCCAGGAGCTTCTTCCCGGTCTCCCACTTGGGTGCAGGGTCCCAAGGCTTTGGACCGTTTTCCACTGCTTTCCCAAGTTACAAGCAGGGAGCTGGATGGGAAGCGGGGCAGCCAGGATTCCAACAGATATTCTTTCAGGTGGAGGATTAGCCTGCTGCACTGTGTGCAAGCCCCACGTCCCATCATCTCTGCTCACTTGCTCACTTGCTTGGCCTCCCCACCTCCTCTTCTGCCGTCTTGCTCAGGCAAGGGCAGAGACCTGCATCAAATCCTGGCTCCTCCAGCACCTTGCCAGATGTCCTCTGGCAAGTCTCCCTCCTCCCTCTGTGGAAGGGGACTCTGCCATGCCTGAGTCTGCAGCTGTCTTGAGGTTAGGAGAATGGTGTGGGTGCCCACACGGGGCCAGGTTTTCTTTCATTTTGTAGTTGACCATGAGCATAGAGCTGTTTCTGTCCGACCCAAGTGGCCTGGGCAAAGGCAGGTCCTGCTGGTGCCTCAGCCATACGCACACAGTTCCTGGTCCTGCCAGGGAGGCTTGCTGCCACAGGCCCTGGAGCCCTTCTCCCTTCCTTGCTGTATCACCATGGTGAGGGCCCTGCGACCTCTGGTGTCCACCATGGGGGCATTAGGCCTCTTGGCTTTCAGGGCACTGAGGACTGTGTGACACTGGGCCCTCTGTTCCCTTCCAGCACCCTGGAGGCTGCGGTATCTCTTGGGGGTGACGACCTGACCCCGTTCTACGGCCTGGTGCCTGGCGGCAGGGAAGGCAGGTTCTACACGGTAATGGCCTGGCAGCATCCCCAGCCAGCCCTGCACGCTGGTGTGACCCCAGCTGACGCAGGGCCCCCATGTCCATTCCCGGCAGGAGCTGGAGGACTACTTCTACTACTCACAGCTCCGCAGCCAGGGCATCGACACCATGGAGGACAGGCAGGTGTCAGATCACATCTCCCTGTCGGAGCTGCCCTACGTCATGAGGGCCATCGGCTTCTACCCGTCGGAAGAGAAGGTAGGGGGTGGGGCGTGACGTGTGAACCCCCGCTGCAGGGTCATGTCGGGAATCCATGCATCTCTGAATGTCAGCGGACCAGAGAAGGTTCTGGGCCCATCCAGCATGCTCATGTCTGGGACGAGTGGTGTAGGGACCTGAGGGTGGCTCCTTGTAGGAAAGTTTGCTGTTCTGTTTGAAATGGACCAGAGGAAATGTTCTGAGCCTGTTGCCTGGGGTAGAGGAGGGTACGTGGCCTGACAGTGGCTCCTTACAGGGAAGCTGACCATTCTGCTCAAGCCTGGGGTGATAGGGCATGGACCCAGCTACACCAGGCTTTAGAAGGTTCCAGAAGGAGATGCCCAGGAGACTAGGCACAGCCCAGTCACTCTGGTTACTGGTGGTGCTCATCATGCAGGTGCTGTCGGCCCAGCTCGTGTCCCTGGGCTGTGGGGCTCAGGAGGGAGAAGCCAGCACAACCCTGCAGCAGACCTGTCTCCAGCTCTTGCAGGCCTGAGCAGGGTCGGGGAGTACCCAGGGTTAGTCTGTTGCGCCCCTGCCATAGAACATGCTCAGGGAGAGAGGGGGCACGGGGGGAAGGCTCTGCCCATCCCATCAACCTCAGAGACCTTCCTCATTTATCCTCATTGTCAACAAATGATAAAGCTTAGCAACCGTAAAAATCTTGGAGCGGGCATCTGGCATGGTGGTTAGACCTCCACTAAGACACTCGCATCCCATATCAGGGTACCTGGGCTGGACTCCTGGCTCCTGCTCCCAGTTCCAGCTTCCTGCTGGGGGCGGTGGAGCAGGGAGTCGGGTCCCTCCCAGCCGTGAGCACCCTGCTCCTGGCCCCACCCTGGCGGGGATCCAGGTGCTACAGGTATTTGGGGAGTGAATCAGCAGAGGAGAGCTCCCCCTCTTTGTCTTTGCTTCTCAAATAAAAACAAAAACCAAATACTTTCTGATGAATAAAAGGTATCAAGGCAAAGATGTTAATGTACAACACAAGTTACAGGGTGGCCTTGGGGAGTGTTTAAAACAGAAAACAAGAGTGGGGCTGTGTTCCCTGCCACCGGGTCCACCCTCCCAGTGGCCCCGAGCAGGGGTTGTGCTGTCCCTGTGGTGTCTCCACAGAGCCCTCAGATTCTGGGGTTTGTAATGCACTTGGAAACAATACTGGCTCTTTAAAAAAAAAAAAAAAAAGATCTGTTTATTTTTGTTGGAAAGTCAGATATACAGAGAGGAGGAGAGACAGAGAGGAAGATCTTCCATCTGATGATTCACTCCCCAAGTGGCCGCAGTGGCCTAAGCCAGGAGCCAGGAGCTTTTTCTGGGTCTCCCACGCAGGTGCAGGGTCCCAAGACTTTGGGCCGTCCTCAACTGCTTTCCCAGGCCACAAGCAGGGAGCTGGATGAGAACTGGCACCCACATGGTATCCTGGCACAGGCAAGGGGAAATTAGGTACTAGGCTACCAGGCTGGGCTCAACCCAGGCTCTTTGGAGATGTCTTATGGGGGTCTTGAGGTCCAGATGCGCCCACTGTTGGGAAGCCGGCTGAGTGAGCTGACTGGCTCCACCCCATGTGGAGCTATGCGGAGAAGCTGTGGTCCTCCATTGTCTCATCAGATTTATGATGTTTTAGGAAAAGCCTCCTTGGGCCCTGGAAAATTTTTAGTTGGGGGTTTGCTGTGGTTAATGAAACATTCGCTCCTAAGATGTGCCTGAGAAGTCGCGAGAAGGGTGTGGTCTTTGCTCAAGCAATGTTTTCACACTTGGGTATAAAAAAGACGGAGACACAGAGACTTAATCAGCCCCCAAAGAATATGCATTATTTAGATTTCCCTTACGTCAGTGTGACTGCCATGGGGATTTGAAGCCAGTCAGTGCAGTAAATTGAAGCCATGTTATACAAGAACACAGACCTCCCTCAAAGAATCCCCAGCCATTCCCTGCTACAGAAAGCTCTGCTCGGAGGTGGACTGCGGCCCCGGCCCAGGCCCAGCGGCGGGGTGGGTTGAGTTCACAGTGCTTCATTTTCTACATGAACGATCTGCTTAGTGTGTCCTGTTTCCGAGGAGCCGTCCCCTGGTGCCACACTTCCCACAGCGGATGCCACATAGAAAAACATTCCCTGTTCTTTCTTCGTAAACATGGGCGTTTCTCTAGGCACAAGGCCCGTGGATGGTGTCCACCCCGCCACACTCAGTCATCGTAGCTGTGTTTCTGTTGAAGTTTGGATGCTGTGTTGTCCTGACGTGTTTTTGTAGTGAATTAACAACACTGCAACTCCCATTAGCTCCATAAATCTAAAGGTAATCCTGACAGATGTGTGTCCAGTCAAGTAGCCATGTGGTGGACAGGCAGCACATGCTGGGTGGATAAGTGAATGACCGAGTGATGCTTGTGTAGTTATATTTCACTGAAAGATGACGAGGAAGACACCGGCCACATGAGCGAAGGTGTTCACATGAGCCGCGTGTTCCAAATAAGGAATCCTGAGTGGGAACATACCTGCGGCAAGCTCCGCTTTTCAAAGGTATAGAAGTGAACACTTGAAAAAACGATCACTTAAAAAAGGTTCTGGGTCCGGTCACAACCATCCAGTTCATACCAGGGCCAGGACATGCTGCAGCACCAGCCAGCAGGAGCTGGAATTGGGGGCAGGCTGGACCGAGCCATGCTAAAGCACCCGCTGGGCCTGGCACCCACTGCCCCCAGACTGGCTTGGCTCACCCCACCTCTCCATCAATCCCCCTGGCAGATCTTGCACACACTGGGGGCCCTTAGCCCAGGCTGACTTTGTCTACTTCTTGTTCTAGCAGGAAAAATGTCCTTGCCCAACCGGCCTATACCCAATCCGGTTCTTACTGTTGGGTGTAACAGCCCACAGGCCTATCTTTTTTTGTTGTTGTTGTTGTTGTTTACATTGTATTATGTGGTACAGTTTTATAGGCGCTGGGGATCCCCCCCACCCCTCCCATACCCCTCCCCCCTTGGTGGATTCCTCCACCTTGTTGCATAACCATAGTTCAAGTTCACAGGCCTATCTTAATTCCATTTGCTATGAGCCTTCGGAAATCCACTTGCATGTAATGCAAAGAGGAAGAAAACTGAAAGCTGAGCAGACCGTTGTGGCTATCACCAAGGGATAGGAGACATGAGGGTGTTTACTTTATCCTTCATTGCATCCCCATGATTTGCATTTTGCATGACAAACATAGGTTCATCTTTGCTGATTTACCGCCGTAACGGTAACAGTGGAAAATGTAGTGTGAAAAACATGAGCGTTCTTAGAACTGAAGCTTTGTTATTTTGTCTTGACTGTGGCTTCCACTCCATTTAGCTTTGTTTTTTGTTTTTTTTTTTAAACAGCCTTACTGTGTTGCATCCCATGCCGAGGGGTCACCTGTTCAGGGATGTGTGCACAGCCCAACTGTGTGATCCCAGAACAGGTTTACACCCCATTCCTCTTGCTGCCCCTGCCTGCTCCACACCTCCCCTCCCAGCTCCCAGCCACTGCAGTCTGCTTCGTGTCTTTAAGGGTCTGCCCATTCCAGACATCCCTTGCAGGTGCAATAGTGTGGTGCAGTGTGTGGCCTGCGTTTGGTGTGTCTGTCAGCGTTGTGTTCCTTAAGTTGATCCAGGCTGTATCACGTTGGGGTTCCTCTCCTGTTACGGCGGAATCTCATGGTGGTGGTTTGGGTGGTTTCCACAGCAGGGCTGCTGTGAGGAAAGCAGCGAGAATTCTCACGTATGGGTTTCTGTGTAACCTTTTTCTTTTTGTTTGTCTTGCTTGTGTACCCAGTCGTGGAGTCACTCTGTCAACCTGCGTCTATGGATCTTGCTATTGGAGACTTATGGCCCTGTCCCAGCAGCCCCACTTCCCACCCAGCTCCCTGCTTGTGGCCTGGGAAAGCAGGCAAAGGATGGCCCAAAGCCTTAGGACTCTGCACCTGCACGGGAGACCCGGAAGAGACTCCAGGCTCCTGGCTTTGGATTGGCTCAGCTCCGGCCATTGCAGCCACTTAGGGAGTGAACCATTGGAAGGAATGTTTTCTTCTCTGTCCCTCCTTCTGGCTGTATGTCTTACTTTCCAATAAAAGTAAATAAATCTTTTAAAAATATTCTAAAAATTTAGGTGAAAGACAGTGTTAGGGAGATCTTCCATCCACTGGTCCACTCCCCAAGTGGCTGGAATTGTGCCGATCTAAAGCCAGAAGCTTCTTCCAGGTCTCCCACAGGAGTGCAAGGGCCTAAGCTCTTGGGCCATCTGCTGGTTCCATTAGCGGGGCGTTGGATCGGAAGTGGAGCAGCCGGGATTTGAAGCAGCGCCCATATGGGATGCTTGCATCACAGGTGGAAGCCTTTGTGAGCTTTAGTAAGACAGCCTTCACCGGCCTCTGCTATACCCACGTCCCCCTCCTCCTCTCCCTACCACTTTTATTCTTTCCCTTCCGCTCGCTCGGCCCTCTCACAGCCCCTCCGGCGCGGCAGGCTCTGAGCTGGCAGGCTGCAGGCGGAGCTCCTGCATCACGGCACAGACAGATCTAGGCCTGGGGAATTAGAGCGTGCACCACAGCCGCCAGCCATCATTGCCCTTGACTGCATGCCACCAGCCTGGCGCTGACCGTTCCTGGCACAGACATCACTGGGGTGAGCCCCTGGTGGTCTGAAGACCCTGGTTGTCAGTATGGCCCCCTAGTCCTGGGGACTTACAAGATGTGCAAATATTCGCACACCCTTCCCCTCCCACCAGGCCCACTGTGTGAGATCCTGGGCTGGAATCTGGCAGTCTGAGAGCCCTTGCTTCAGAGCCATGCTGCCCCCTCTCAGCCACACATTTGAATCCTCCAGAAAGATTTTTAAAAAGAAGACAATGCTGGGCCCGGTGCAGAAGCCTAGTGGCTAAAGTCCTCAGCTTGTACATGCCGGGATCCCATAAGAGCACCAGTTCTAAACCCATCTGCTCTACCTCCCATCCTGCTCCCTGCCTGTGTCCTGGGCGAGCACGACACAGGTCGTTCGCCTGTGCCTGGGACCTGTGCTCACCAGGTAAAGGCCCCAAGTCAAAGTATGATTTCCACTGAAGGAACATTGCATCCACACCGTTCTAAAGCTGAAGATCAGGGGCCTGATTTGTGGTACAGTGGGGTGAGCTGCCACCTGCATGCAGCACTGGCATCCCATAGGGCATGGGTTTAAGTCCTGGCTGCTCCACTTCCCTTCCAGCTCCCTACTAATGTGCCTAGGAAAGCAGCAGAAGATGGCCACAGTGCTTGGACCCCTGCACACAAGTGAGAAGGCATTGCAGGCTCATGGCTTTTCCCTGGCCCAGTACTGGCCATTGTGGCTCTTCAGGGAGTGAACCAGCCGACAGAAGGTCTCTGTGTCTCTCTGTGTAACTCTGTCATTCAAAAAATAAACCATTTTTGGAACATTGTGAATGGTATCCCACATGGATGCAAGGTCCCAAGGCTCTGGGCCGTGCTCGACTGCTTTCCTAGGCCACAAACAGGGAGCTGGATGGGAAGTGGGGTGGTCGGGATTAGAACTGGTGCCCATATGGGATCCCAGCGTGTTCAAGGTGAGGATTTTAGCTGTTAGGCCACTGCACCAGGCCCTGAATACATTATTTTAAAACATAGCTGCTAAAAGAACTCGCTTGTCCCTAAGCTTTTGCCAGGCCAAACGTGTGTCCTCCGACTGCCACATGCATGACCCAGAAACCCCACTCAGAGTGGCCAGTGTCCGTAAGCAGCCATCGCTGGGCCTGTTTGTCCTCTTCCTCTGTTTGCCAGTCCCAGTGGGGTCCCACGGGGAGTCCTGTGTCAGGTGGCACCACATTTCCCCTGGAATCCACAGGCATATTTGCTTCCTTTGCTCATTTCAGAACATTTGGAAACTATTAAAAAAAATGATTTTTCAAAGTTTTTTTTTAATGGCAGAAAATAAACATCTAAAAAGTCTTGTGGGCCAGGTTGACCTGATGATGGTGTTAGACACCTGTTTAGCTGGTCATTTGTTCCTAGTGAAAAGGAAAGCCCTTGTCCGAGGGGTCCTTAGGAGCCTGGAGCCACAGCTCTTCGCTCTGCTGCCATGGCGGGTATGTGGTGGAGAAGTCAGGAACCCCCTGGGCCTGATGTTGTGGCATAGCACATTAAGCCACTGCCTGGTGATGCTGACATCCCATATGGGCATTTGTGTGATTCTCATCTGCTTCACTTCTCTTCCAGCTCCCTGCTAACACACCTGGGAAAGCAGTGGAAGATGGCCCAAGTGAGACCCCCTGCCACTCATGTGAGAGACCAGATGGGGTTCCTGGCTCCTGGGTCCTTGCTTCATCCTGTCGTCCTGTGAAAGGACCATCTGTCTAACCCAGCGTCTTCTTTTCTTCTCTCTTTCTGCTTTTTTTTTTTTTTACCTTTTTTTTTTTTTTGCTTTTAATTTAAAAATATATATATTTATTTATTTGAAAGAGTTACAGAGAGTTAGAGAGATGGAGAGGTCTTTTATTTGTTGGTTCGCTCCCAAAGTGGCTGTAATGGCAAGGACTGAAGCTTGGAGCTGGAAACTTCCTCCACAGCTCCTACATGTGCAGCAGAGGCCTGAGCCCTTGGGCCGTCTTCCACCGCTTTTTCCAGGTCATCAGCAGGAAACTGGATAGGAAGAGGAGCAGCCAGGACACAAAACGGCACCTGTGCAGGATGGCAGCATTGCAGCTGGGCTGTACGATGCTGTCCCAACTCTGCTTCTCACATGGGAAAAGCTTTTCATTGGGAAAAAAAAATGAAAAAGGAGTCAGGAGTCCAGCATAGCCTGTCTGCAGAGTGTTTTAAAGTTTTGGACTCAGGAAGCCAGCATCCAGCAGTTTGCATTTTACGCAGGTGGAGTGAAAAACCCTTGCATTCTGTCTGCTTTGAAGCTAAGTAGCCAAAGTCTGGAGGTGGACCAGTTACAGCGCAGTGAGCCGGTAGGTTGTAATTCAGCAGCTGACAACTTGAGAGCAGCTTTTCCAAATGATCTTCCAGAAGTGTCTTTAGAGTGAGGGCGTGTTAGGAGTGTACAGAGGGAAAGTGAAGTTATGTTTTAAAGAGACAAGCAACTAGTGAAAACTGGGCCGTTCAGGTGCTGGTTCTGTGGGCGAGGAACATACAGAGAGACTCGGAGGGGCACCGCACCCGAGGGACTGCCTCCCTTAGTGGGTGATGGCTGCTTCTTTAGAAAACAAGCACAAAACAGAACACAAACCTTCCATTTCACCAATCCTGGGGCAGGTGCGTGGTATAGCAGGCGAGACCCCAATCAGGATGGCCACACCCCCTACCTGAGTACCTGCATTTGAACCCCAGCCCCACTTCCCACCCTTGAGCACCTGGGAAGCAGCAGGTAGGTGATGGCTCAAGCACTTGAGAAACCCAGATGGAATTTCTGGCTACAACTTGGCCCAGCAGGAGTGTTGAGGGCGTTTGGGGAGTGAACCAGCAGATATATAAGAACTATTATTATAATAATTATATAATAATAATTATTATTATTATTATAGAGTGGAGCCAATGCTATGACATTTAGCAGGTTGAGTTTCTGTGCTGCCAGCATCCAATATAGGTCCTGATTTTTGTCCTGACTGCTCTGCTTCCAATCCAGCTCCCTGCTTATGGCTTGAGATAGCAGCAGAGAATGGCCCAAGCCCCTGGGACCCTGCGCCCATATGATGGACCCAGAGGAAGCTCCTGGCTTCAGATCAGTCCAGCTCTGTCTATTGAAACCATCTGGGGAGTGAGCCAGCAGATGCGAAATCTCTCTCTCTTTCTCCCCAAAACGCTGCCTTTCAATTAAAAATAAAATATGAATTTTAAAAATATTTATTATTTGTTTTTATTGGTAAGCAGATTTACAGAGAGGAAGAGATACAGAGAGAAAGATTTTCCATCTACTGATTCATTCCCCAAGTGGCCACAATGGCCAGAGTTAAGTCAATCCAAAGCCAGGATCCAGGAGCTTCCTCCAGGTCTCTCACACAGGTTCAGGGGCCTAAGGCTCTGGGCCATCCTCGACTGCTTTCCCAAGCCACAAGCAGGGAGCCGGATGGGTAGTGGAGCAGCCAGGACATGAACCGGCACCCATATGGGATCCTGGCGCGTTTAAGGCAAGGACTTTAGCCATTAGGCTACCATGCCAGGCCCAGATTGTGTCTTTAGAATAAAACTGAAAGGTGTTTCACAAAGCAAGAGAGTGGTGGCTACATCCTTGGTGAAGGCAGTACAATGAAACGGGCTCCAGGGCCGGCCCTGGACAAATGCTGCACTGTGTCAGGGGTGCCGTAATGAGGGGCCACCAACCCCTGGCGGCTCAGGCCACAGAGCCTGTTCTCCCAGGAATCCAGTCTGGCTCTCAGCAGGGCTGCGCTTCCTCCCCTCTAGCTGTGGACAGTGGCCGCCACTCAGAGCTGCTCAGCGGCCACTTCCTCCCTGCAGGTCCCTGTCCCCTCCTTGTAAGGACAACAGTCTTGGTGAGATGAAGGCCCATTTGGCTTGGCTGTGGCCTCATGCCAATGGCCTCTGCCCCTGTGTGCTCCAAGGTCCCGGGACTTGAACCTGTCTGTCCTGGAAGGTGTAATGACCCCCTGACAGCATGCTCTGAGCTGGGTGGGTGTGCTCCTTTGTCTTGTAACACCCTCATTTTGAGAAGCCTGTGTGTCATTTCTTTTTGAGGAGCTTTTTATTTTTAAATGTCTCCCCTAGATTGCCAATATGTTTAATGAAATCAAATTCAGCGAATACGTAAACACTGGGAAGATAATTGACAAAATCAACTTGCCAGATTTCCTCAAAGTTTACCTCAATCACAAGCCGCCTTTCGGTAACACCATGAGCGGCATCCGACAGACCTTTGAGGTTCTCGGCTTCACCAATTCCAAAGGACAAAAGGCTATTCGAAGAGAGGACTTCCTGAAACTACTTCAGACTAAAGGTAATGCATGCGCACTCCCGCAGGACACACAGGAGCATCTGCTGATGCCCCCAGCATTCCCAGGGGCAGGGCGGTTTGGGGAGACGTCCGCTCTGGTTCCCTAGAACCCCACAGGGCCGCTCGCCTGCTCCTAGACTGGAGAGTGCGTCTGAGGACTAAGTCTGCCAATCGACCATGGCCAATGTTTCTGTCTGCCCACTTTCCCCCGTTATTTTCAGGGGGCATTCTCTCTGGGGGCCATTCTCATCCATGTCCAGCTGGAGCTCTAGACCACACCTGGCTCCAAAGCACAGCGGGAGACAAGAGTCCCTCAAGACCCCAGAGGAGAGCCCCAAGCTAAGCCCCAGCACTAAGTGCCGTCTTTGTCCCTGATGGGCCCAGGTGAGCACATGACCAAGGAGGAGATGCTGGACTGCTTCGCCACACTGTTTGGCCTGAATCCTGAGGGCTGGGGATCCGAACCGGCCGCCATCTCCTTCAAAGGTACCATGTGGACATGAGTGTGTTTACAGCCCTGACAGCACCAGCCATTCTCCATGAGGCTGCTCACGCAGAGGCAGCTACTGCAAACAGTAGACCAAGACCCAAGGGCTGTTCCTCCCTTAGCTCCTGGCCTCATCTCTCCCCTCGTTTTACTGGCTAAGTGGGTGGACGTTGGCCAGCAGGAGAGAGGATCCGTCTTGGTACAGCTGTGTCCTGGCAGCTCCAGGAGAGCGGTAAGAGTGAAGCATCCGGCCACCAGGGCCTGCAAGTATTTAAACAGCACCTGGCTCCGCTTCCTGCCCTTGCCTGGCGACTGTCCCTCCCCTTCCTCCTGGAGTGCCCTGGGCTGGAAGCAAAGGCTGCCTCTGCAAGCCCCGGGGTGGGACGATCCCAGCGGTCCTCTGTGTCTACCTGAAATGCAAAATGTCCCCTGACGAGGCCACCACTAGCCTCCCTCCTCCCTCACCACTCCACGTCGGAGCAAGCCAAGTCCCTGGTCGCAGCTCACTCTGGACACCCGTGCCCAAGGGGTAGTTTTCAGCCTGTGCCCGTAGCTCCTTCGCCCTGTGTTCCCAGCATCTCAGGATGTGGCCCTGCCGGCAGTGCTCCGCTGTGATCTAGGGGTCCTGAGAAACAGCAAGATCACAGCCCTGTGGTGTGGCCAGGGCTCCGTTCGGAGAGGCGAGACAATTCTTACTGCTTGCTCCCGAGGGTTCGCAACAGATGCAAGCTACCCATTTTCGTCCAGTGTGCTGTGCTGGCACCTCTGGAAGGCACATCCGTGTTAGAGACCCAGTCATTTGCCTTTCTTTTTTTTTTTTTTTTGCTTGACTAGGTTCAGAAATTTGCCTCGAAGAGGAACTTCCAGAAGAAATCACTGCAGAAATATTCACAACTGAAATTCTTGGCTTGGCCATTTCTGAAGACTCTGAGTAAAGTGGTCAGTGAAGTTGTAAGAAATGTTGGAAACCCAGAGGCACGCACGCATGTGTGTTTATGTGTGTGTATGTGTGTGTGTGTGTGTGTGTGTTCTGCATTTTCCCACCCGATCCTACTCATCAGGACACTTGAACATTAAAAATGAGTTTTGGTTCAGCAATGGAGTTCACAAAGTTGGACATTCCGTTGTTTCTGAAGTACGGAAGTAGGGGTGGGGCATGAACAGCCAGGCATTGGGTGTCCATGGCAGCCGGAGCCCTGGACGGCCTGGAGGGGGTGTTATGCACAGGGCCTGGGGGCACCTTGCCAACAGCAGACCTTCCTCCTGAAATCCCCCAGACAGGGAGGGGTGCCCTGGGCTCCTGAGGTTCTCTGTGAGTGGAGCTTGGTGTGGCGGTTGGGAAACGCATCGCTGGTCAAGCTTCACACCACAGCAACTGCCAGAGTGAGCAGAAACCGCCAGCCAGCACGTGTTGCACCTGCGCCTTTCCTTGCGTGGCATGCCAGCCCCGGTGGTTGACTGCCTGCCGTCTCAGACTCCACTGGGCTGCAAAACGCACAGGGGGCCCATGTACCTCTTCCACGTGCGTATGTGAGAGACAGAGAGCTCCCATCAGCTGGGGCACTCCCCAAGCACCCACCATACTGGCAGCTGGGCTAGACCAAAGCCAGGATTGCAAAATCCAACCCGCATCTCCCAGAGCCATCATCTGCTGCCTTCTCAGGTGGGTGGTAGCAGGGAGCTGGGTCAGAAGCAGAGCTTGGGCCGGACCCCAACACCCAGGAGAGGCTATGAACCCAACGCTCGTATCAGGGTCTGGTATGGGAGGTGGTATTCCCCAGCAGGTCTGTCCTGAGCACTCCCACCCAAAGCAGGTCCCCTGCTACCCACCCAAAGGACCAGCGTTTGAGGGATGCTCCCCAGCCTTTCTACATCCTGCTTGACGCAGTCACAGCTGTTCACCCACACATAAGGCCTCCCTGCTGGGCAGGGTCCAGGGTGAGACGTGGTCTATTGACAGTCCCAGAACACCCAGGAACACAGCACAGACTGGCCAGGCTGTGTCGTGGGGCCCCCGGGCTGGCCAGCCTGAGCCCAGGCCCTGCTGAGCTGTGCCACCAGGGCCCTGTAAGCCCAGCTTCCATCCTGTTCTTTCTTGAAAGTACAAAGAGAAGCCGGCTTTACGAACCCAAGCTGGCAGCTGCTCCGGGCTAAGCGCCTCCATCTAAGAAGCAGGTTAAAAAGGTCCAGGGACGTCTGAGGAAATGGGAAAGTCTCAAGTGACTTGTGAATCATTTCAAAATAGAAGTTGGAGTTGGTTATGGCCTGGATGCCAGTCAGGATCTTCCACTGCCTCTGACACAGTGACTGCATCTCCTGGAAGCATGCGCTTGGGCTGTTGGGCAGCTGAGACGTCTCTCTGCTAAGCCAGCGTATATCTTGCAGATACGAACGTAACACACCTGGCCAGGTGTCTCTGTACAGGGAAGGTCATGACCTACAAGACCAAGAGACTAACAGAAAACACCAGGAAGGATATTGGTGGGAGCATCAAGTCCAGTCCAAGGGCGCTGTCCCACAGGGCAGGCCTTCGGCGTCCCTGTTAAGGTGCCGCTGGTCACCACACCTGCACTCCATCTTGCTCTGTCTCCGGGCACCAGCTTCCCACTGCCGCGGAACCTGTAGGCAGCAGGTAACAGTCCTTGCCACCCATCGGGGACATGTGGACAGAGTCTCTGGCTTTGGAAAACATGTTGAGGAAGCTCTGTGAAACTGCCTTTCCAACTCTCCTACAAATCCAAACCAACTCCAAGATAAAGGATTTTTCGCCATGAAGTCTACACCGCCCTACAAAGTCAGGCCAAGCTTGGACTGTTCCGGCAACCCACCCTTGTGCCTGCCGGATCCCCAGCAGGCGTCACTGAGGGTCAGCGCCAGGGCCCCTCCCTGCTTCTTCACCCACACTGCTGCCCCAGGCCTCTGCCACGTTACAAGAGGAAGCCAGTGAGATGAGTCCGTCTCCGCAAGCTGCAGCTACCCCAGGCGGGTTGTTCTGGGCTGGAGCGTGTTCTGTAGGGGTGTGGCCAGCAGTGCCCCTGCAGGCAGCTGTTCCCACGTCGCCTGTAATAAATAGATTGAGGGCCAGGAGTCAAGGGCAGGGCACCACCCTGCTCGTGTGTCATGAAACCACTGCTGCTAGCTTAGCTCATAGAGCGCTGAGATGGGAGAGACAAGGAGGCTGGTTGCAGAGGCCCCCTTGAGGGCTGCAGACTCCTGCCACGGGATAGTGGCCGGTCCCAAGTGCATGGGCGGCAACCCTGAGCCTTAGGCTGGTAATGAGGAGGTGGTCTTCAGTGCCTAGTAGAGGGCCCTAAGGCCTGGGCAGAGCACAGTCACGCTGGCACTGCTTCGTCCATGGGAGCCTGAAACAGCTGGCAGTGCTGTGGCGCAGAGGGGCAAAGGTCAGAGCCAGTTACCCTCCCCCCCCCCAGTACCACCACCAGGGCTGAGCCACTGTCCACCTTCCCACCTTTGGGCTCTTGCTGAACCCAGGTGGCAAAAGAGTTGGGGACTTGCTTTGGAAGGCAAGTTCAGGAGCTGCCTTCTTGAACGGGTCACACAACAGGACTGCAAAGTCATCTAGGAAGTCACCCCTAGCCAATAGCCAGTGTGTGTGCTCTGGAGCAGGCCCTCAGCAGAGAGCTGACACATGTGCTGTGAGCGATGGCCGCTGCCTCCTGGCCTCCTTTACAACAGCACCAGGATGGGCTTCGCTCACTCTGCACCCAGTGACAGTGCTGCAAGCCTGGCCCTGGTCCAGGAGCACTGTGCAGCAAGGGAAGAGTTGTAGTCCAAAGAGTTGCCGGGCCTGCCTCCCAACTCTGAGGAGCCGGTGCTTGGCTCCAGGCAACTGGAAGTGTGGAAGCTGGAGGCTGTGACCATTCTTCCGTTACACTTGGAGCCTGCTGTGGGGCAGGCCGTGCCCAGGAAGACCAGAAGCCACTGAAAGAGACAGTGGCCACAGGGTGCCACATTCCCCAGGGATTTTAAGCCCTCAAATCCACCTCTCCGATCCCTCCAGGCTTCCCAGGGATTACAACACCTTACTGGAGTCAGTCCACGTTGCCCTTCCTGTTTGCCGTAACATCTCCCCCTGTATCATGTGGCTGCAGGTGCAGGAAGCAACCGGACAGCAGGTTCAGGGGTTGCCAGAGGCAGGGAGCCGGAGGGGGAGAGTGACTCCTTGTTGGGTTCAGGATTTGTTTACCTGTCTTTCTCTCCCTCTTTTTCTTTTTCTTTCTTTCTTTCTCTCTTTCTCTCTTTCTTTCTTTCTTCCTTCCTTCCTTCCTCCCTCCCTCCCTCCCTCTCTTTCTCTCTTTCTTTCTCTCTCTCTCTCTTCTTATTTTTATTTTTATTGGAAAGTTGTCACATTTTTACAGCGAGAAAGAGAAAGATCTTCCATCTGTGGGTTCACTCCCCAAATGGCCATTGCTGAGCCAATCCAAAGCCAGGAGCTTCTTCTGGGTCTCCCCCACAGGTGCAGGGTACCAAGGCTTGGGCTGACCTCTACTGCTTTCCCAGGCCACAAGCAGGGAACTAGGTAGGAAGCAGAGCAGCCGGGACATGAACTGGTGCTCATATGGAATCCTAACACTTGTGAGGCAAGGACTTTAGCCACTAGGATATCATACCAGGCCCCAAGGGTTTATTTCCTATGTGATGAAAAATGTTCCGGGCCCAGCTCGGTGACCTAACAGCTAAAGTCCTCACTTTGAAAGCGCCAGGATCTCATATGGGCTCTGGTTCTAATCCCGGCAGCTCCGTTTCCCATCCAGCTCCCTGCTTGTGGCCTGGGAAAGCAATTGAGAATGGCCCAAAGCCTTGGGACCCTGTACCCACATGGGAGACCTGGAGGAAGTTCCTGACTTCGGATCGGTTCAGCACTGGCCGTTGTAGTCACTTGGGGAGTGAGTCATCAGACAGAAAATCTTTCTCTCTCTGTCTCCTCCTCTCTGTATGTCTGACTTTCCAATAAAAATAAATAAATCTTAAAAATAAAAGAAAGAAAATGTTTCAAAGTTGATTGTGGTGATGGTTACACGACTGAATACCCTGAAAGCCACGGCATTATAAACTTTAGAAAGGTGAGTTTTATGATGCGTGAATTATGGAAGCTTTTTTTTTTAAAAGAAATCAGCTAGCTAACCTGTCCACCCATGATCAAGGCTAGCACCGAGGGCCGGGGCCGAGCCGCCTGGCTTGAGAGAAAGAGGCCCTCTTTAACTCCTGAGTCCATCGGCTGCCTTCACCCTTGAAGCCTCCCAGAGATCAAGGCGGGGGCTCTGGGTTCCTGCCCCACCCATTGGGGCTTCTGCAGCCTCCACAGGTTGTATTATTCAATGTTGGGAGGGTGGGTGGGTTGCAAGAGCCCCCCTGTGTAGGACCTTCAGATCTCAGAGTGTCTTATGGCTCTTGCCTGCTCCTCTGCTGTGGTTCACTCCCCAGGTGCTGCATTGACCAGACTGAAGTCGCGTGGCAGGAACTCAGTCCCTTAGTGGGTGCAGGAACCTCCTGCCTCTTGAGGTGCCCTTTGGCAGGAGGCTGGAACCAGGACCCAGAACCTGCAGGAATCCCAGCCGGCATTGGAATGGGAAGGTCAAATGCCCAGCCCTAACTCAGTCTCTGTGGGGTGTGCACAGTGGTTAAGTCACTACGTGGCACGCTCACATCCCACACTGGAGTGCCTGGAGGCAGAGACAGATAGCACAGATGAGGCTGAAGCCAGGAGCCGGGAACTCGGGTCTTCCTCAGGGGTGGCAGAGACCCACTACTTGAGCCAGCACCTGCTGCCTTCAAGGAAGTGCAGTCACAGAGCGCTAGACGTGGAAGCTGAGCTGGGACCTGAGCCAGGCATTCTGGTAACAGGACATGGGGCGTCCCAAACCCTGGGGCAAACACCCACCCCTGCCTAGGGAAAAGCAGTTGGAAACACAGCAGAAGCCACTGTATGTTCACAACATGGTAAGGAATTAGCAGGTCAAGATGAAAGGGACAAGGCTGCAAGAAAGTGCAGTGAGGATAGCCTTTTGGCCCTACAGATTAGCGTCAGTCCTGGCACATTTGAACTTGACTGAGAGTCGTCGTCGTTGTAGCTCAGGAGGCTAAAACAGCCAGGGCCATCCTGAGCTCAGCGGGTAGGTATCTGTTGGTTGGTGATGGCAGCTCTGGGTGGGCTTGGGAGAGGTGGGTCCTGGTATGTGCGGCATTTGCCAATCTCCATGGGGTCAGTGCCCTCCATGGATGATGTCAAACTCACAAAGGGGAGTCTCAGAACCCAGAGTGGGGAGACGTGAACCTGCCAGCCAGCTGCTATGCATCTAGGACTCGAAGGACAATGAGTGAACCAGTTGTGCAACCCTCCCCACCCCCGGGGAGGTGGTCAGGAACTGAAGCCCTGGACTTGGGGGAGGATTGCCTTGGGTGACGGTGTTTGTGTGTGTGTGTGTGTGTGTGTGTGTGTGTGTGTGTAGAAACAGGTGCCAATCACCTCTGAGGGAAGACCATGGGTTTTCTCCTCATGGATACATTGTAAAATGCAATTTATCTAGTGAAGAGAAGGAGGCAGATACAAGGAAACATAGACACATTAAGCAAGAATGGTTTTTTTTTTCCTTTTGTATGATTTATTTATTCTAACATTATATAGAGAAAGACTCTCCCATCCACTGGTTCACTCCCTGGAGGGAGTTACAGGCTCCTGGCTCCTCTGTGACCATCTGGGAGAGAACCAGTGGGTGGAAGAGCTCTGGGTAATTCTGCCTTTCAAATAAATATTTTAAAGGAGGAAATTCTAGTTTTTCATACTGTTGCATATGTGTCTACAACCCTGAATATCCCGAGACTCAGTTTCCTCAAATGCCAAGCAACTGATGTGGGCTCCATACCGGTTTTCCTCCTGACCACTCTGGGGCCACTTGGTCTCGGCATCCACGCACGCAGACGTGACCCCACAGCTGCTGTCTCACGGACCACAGCACTGTGTTGTTCCAGCTGGAGCGCAAACGGCGCTCGAAGTCCTCCTTGGAAGGTGGGACGGGCTGGTTCCTACCTGGCTGTGGTCACCGGTGCAGCTGGCCCGGGCCTGGTCCTGACCGCTAGGAGGGCGTGGGGCTGAGTCGTGGTCCATCGTCTGGTTACACCAGGGCCACTTCTCCCCGAGGGAAAGGACGAACCTTTCCACCAAGCCTCTTTTCCAAAGGACGCAGCGCAGGGAGGCTCGAGCCGAGGCCGCGCGCTGGACCAGGCAGCGGCTCCGCAGAGATCCACGCCTCCCAACTCTCAGGCTGGAGCGCCTCGAGAACGGAGTCGCCGCCCGCAACTAGGAGAAGCCGCAAGCCCAGAAGAAATTTGCATTACCGCACCGGTGGCCATGTGCCCGGCCCGGGGCCAGCACCGAATGCACCCGGTCCACCACCACCCGGCCGCCCCTGGGGGTCCTGGCCGACACCTGCGGCCTCCCACCACGCGACCGCGCCACGCCACTCCCCACTCCCGGCGAACCGGGAGGCCTTGGCCGCCGCCCGGAGGAAGGTCCGGTGCCTCGGCCGGTGCAAGGCGGCGGCGCCCGGAGGCCCGGCTGCTGGCGGCCCCGCCACACCGCTCCCCCGCTCGGTGCAGCTGCCGCCCGGCGCGTGCGCACTGGCCCCGGCGCGGCCGCGGCGGCTTTGTGTGCGCGCGTGTGTGTGCGCGGGGGCGCGGGTGTGCGAGCGCCGTGTGTGCCGGCGGCCGCGGGCGGGCGCGAGTGGGGCCGCCGCCGAGCGCCAGCAGGACCCGGCGGGCGCGCTCCCCAGTCCCTCCGTCCCCGCCAGAACCATGTCGGGCAGGTCGGTTCGAGCCGAGACCAGGAGCCGGGCCAAAGATGATATCAAGAGGGTCATGGCGGCTATCGAGAAAGTGCGCAAATGGTAAGCCAAGGCGCCCGCTCGCCGCCGCTGCCGCCGGGAGCTCCGGGATCCCCGAGCCGGCGCGGAAAGCCTGCGGGGCCGCCCGGGCCGGCCGCGGGCCCGCGAGTTGGAGAGGGCTGGCGAGCAGGCGCGCGAGCCGGGTCACCTGCGCCCGGCGGCGGGGGCCGCGGCGGCCGCTGCCCAGGTGCGCTCACGCCTGTCGCCCACCTGGCGGCGGCAACCTGGAGACGGAGGGCACCCCGGGGCCGCCCGGGCGGGAAGCCTCCCCGCCGCCTGCGCTCGGCGCCCGGGAGGGGGGCTCGGGCCGGCCCCAGAAGCCATTTCGTTTTGTGCAAGTCACATGAAAGCGGCTTCCCGCGCGCCGGGGCCGCGATGCCGGCGGCGGCGGCGGAGAGAGCGCGAGCTCCATTGTGCAGGCTCCGAGAGGGCCGCCGCCGCCTTCCCCGCGCGCCCTGGCCCGTGCCGGGCCTCCAGCCGCGCCGCCCGCCCAGGGCCCCTGCGCCCTCGAGTCTGCCGAGTTTGCGGAGCGCCAGTCGTTTAAATTTAGCGCTTCGGGCTCCCTGGAGCGAGGGCGGCAGGATGGGGGGCGAACACCCGGCGCTCGTGGCGGCTTGGGGCCGGGGAACCGCGCGCGGGCCGCGTCCGCCGCTGCCGGCCCCGGGGCTGGCTTCTGCTCGGCCGAGGGAGCCGTTGTTTTGTTCTCTGCACGGGGCACGGCGGGCTTCGCTGCGGGCCGTGCGTGCTCCCCGGGCTCGGATTCAGTCCGGCTCAGTCTGGCCCATTTGTCACGGTCGCGATCGCTTGCTTTCCCGGCCTCGCGGGGGTTGGGGGTGTGGGGTGTCCTCCTCACGCGGCCCCAGGGCCAGGCCCCGGGCGACAGCACGCGGCGAGGCTAGGTTGGACTTGTTAGAAACTCCCAGCTCCCCGATTGCGACTTTATTATTATTATTTTCCCACGGCTTCACCAGGATCGGGGAGAGGAGCAGCTGTGCCGTGGTCCCCTAGTGTCAGTGCCACAAGTCTGGAGGCTGGGCCAGGCCCCTCCCCGGAGTGTGGGCTGCTCCTGTTTGGGGGGTGCTGCTTCTGAAGTAAGCTTGGGCTCTGCAGCCTAGAGGGGTGAGCCTGAGGGTGTCCCAAGTTCACCATCCTCTCTCTGAGCGTGACCCAACAAAAAAGCGAGAATGAAATAATAAAGCCCACGTGCTCGCAGGGAAGGGCTACCCGCAGATGGGTGGGCTTGACTGCGTGGGCGGGGGGACACAAAGGATTTTCAGAGCCGGGAGTAGAGAGAGGGTGGGTTCCAAAGTTGGGGTCCATGGGGAGCACCCCAAGAAAGGTGGGAGGAGTTGTTCTGCTCCCCTGTCGCTGTGCTTAGGCCGGGCATTAGGAAGGGGTCCTGTGGCCGGGCCTCCCTGCTCAGGGAGGCGTGGCACGGCCGCCTGCCCAGTCCCCAGTTGGGCAGTGACTCCTGTACCCTGACAGCTGCGCTCAGGCTGCCAGCTGCTCCACCCCGCCAGCTAGCCAGCTGGGCAGATGGAGAAGGGTGGGGGCTTGTCTCCCAACAGGCAGGCTTCCCTGTTGCCCAGCCCACCGCCAAGGGCCATCCTGGCCTGGGGAGGGGGCGGCTCCCTTTGGTGTTTTGGATAACAACTCCTCCCCTCCCCCAGCCGCTCCCAGACCTCTGCTGTGACCTTGAGTAAACCAGTGGGGCTTATCCAATCAACCAGCAACAAGTCTGTTGCTTCCCCTGGGGTTCTGGGGACCCATGAGACCCCCAGCCTTGCTTGCACCTGGCACCTGGCACAGGGCCCTGCAGTACTTGATAAGTGGTGTCTTAATATGAGGTGCACTAGGGAGAATTTTGGCACCCCCCTCCACCTTCTCTTTTGCTGTGATTTTTACTTATTTGAAAGGCAGCAAAACAGAAAGAGATTGACAAAGTTTTTCCAACCTGGGGTTCACTCCCTAGTGCCTGGGCCAAAGCCGGGGCCAGGTCTCCCGCAGGATTCCCAAGTAGTTGAGCCATCATCTTCTCCCCAGGATGTGTTGGCAGGAAGCAGGATGGGAAGCCGAGCCGAGCTTGAGCCCTGGCTCCGCAGTGGGGGGTGCCTGTGACCTCCCTTGGCACCCAGTGTAGACCCACTTTTTCCTCCGACAAGCCAGGCTGGACTGAGTTGGCCACGATGCCCTTGAAAGGGGCCACAGTGTGTGCCCTGTAGCCTTGAGGTTGTTTATTAATGCTCTGGCTGCTAGCCATGCCTTGCCATGGCTGGGCCCTGGAATTACCGATTTCATAGCAGATGGAAATTAAAGGCACTTGGGTAGGTGGGAATTCACCATAAATGGTACACTAGTCTTTAGAGAAAAAAGCGCCTGTGTGTGTGTGTGTGTGTGTGTATATATTAGTATGAGTGTGTCCCCTACAGTGTTTGAGACATACTTTTTTTTAAAGATTTATTTTTATTATTTTTTTTATTGGTAAGGTGGATATACAGAGAGGAGAGACAGAGAGGAAGATCTTCCGTCCGATGATTCACTCCCTAAGTGAGCGCAACGGCCAATGCTATGTCGATCCGAAGCCAGGAACCTCTTCCGGGTCTCCCATGCGGGTGCAGGGTCCCAAAGCTTTGGGCCATCCTCGACTGCTTTCCCGGGCCACAGGCAGGGAGCTGGAAGGGAAGTGGGGCTGCCGGGATAGAACCGGCGCCCATATGGGATCCCGGGGGTGCAAGGCGAGGACCTTAACCACTTGGGCCACCATGCCGGGCCCGAGACATACTTTAAAAAAAAAAAAATTGTTATTTTTATTTGAAAGGCAGAGTTTAGTTGCATAGAGATTTTCCATCCACTGGTTCACTTCCCAGATGGCCGCAATGGCCGAAGCTGAGCTAATCGGGAGCCAGGAGCTTCAGTGCCTTGAGTCCAGAAGCTCAAGGCATTGTGCCTCCCTCTGCTTTCCCAGGCGCATTAGCAGGGAGCTGAATTGGAAGTGGAGCAGCCAGGACTTAAACGGTGCCTGGTATACTAGTACCTCCAGTGGAGGCTCAGCATGCTACACCACAGCACCAGTTTCTGGGCTGTACTTGTACTGAGAAAAAGATCTGTTTATCTGAAATCTGAGTTTGAAGAAGTGTTCTGTGTCCTAATGAGGGGCATGGCAGTCCGTGGTGTAGGGGTTGTTTTTCCTTAGCCTGAGGGACACTGTCCCTATGAGAAGCCAGCCATCAGCTCTGACATCACTACCTGGAATCTTAGGCTTGGGCTGGTGGCCAGAAGGTGGCTGAGCAACAGACAGGGTGTTGAGCCCCTTGTTGGACAAGGAGACCAGGGACAGGAGGAGAGGAGGGGGCATCTCAGAAGGGAGATGAAGGCGTCAGCTGGGAAGGACGCTGGGCTGCTATCCCAGTATTCCTCAGTGACGTGTTGGGATGGAGGGAGGCCTGTCCCAGGGGTGCCTTCCTGTGAGTCCTATGCAGCTTCAATGGATGATTGGTCCTGGTTAGGAGAGAGCTGGCCTCCAGCTGCTGCTGGCCGGTGAGTGCAGGGGCCTCTGTTACTCTCTCTTTTTTTTTTTTAATTGAAAAGATTTACAGAAAGGAGAGACAGAAAATGATCTTCCGTTGGCTAATTCACTTCCGTAGTGGCCACACAGCAAGACGCGAGCCAATACGAAGCCAGGAACCTGGAGCTTCTTCCGGGTCTCCCACACAGGTGCAGGGTTCCAGGGCTTTGGGCCATCCTCGACTGCTTTCCCAGGCCACAGGCAGGGAGCCAGATGGGAAGTAAAGCATCCAGGACACAAACTGGCACCCATATGGGATTCTGATGCATGCAAGGCGAGGACTTTAGCCATGAGGCGGTCAAGCTGGGCCAGCTTCTTTTCTTGAGTGTCCATTTGTTGATCTTCATTTATGTGAAAGGTAGAGTGACAGAGAGGAACGATGAGAGCCGAGAGTTGCCTTTGATCCGCTGGTTCACTCCCCGGATGCACACCACAGCCAGGACTGGCCAGGTAGAAGCCAGAAATCGGCAAAGGCAGGCTGATGGTGCTGAAAATAAAAGGCAGTTGGGATGCTGACTCCCACCACACAGGGTACCTTCCCACTCAAGTGGGCTGTGGTGCAGTAGGATTCGGGGTCTTCCTTTGCACAGCCCCTGGGGCAAGGTGGGCCCAGCGTGTCCTTGGGGAGGCCCCTTTGGCTGTGTGGGGAGGCTACTCTGTGCTGTCCCTGAGGGTACAGGTGATCGGGCATGGGTGGCAAGGCACTAGCTCCGTGTGGATCTGACCCAAGTCCCAGGACCTTCCTCATGGCATTCTCTCCCTGCCCTAGCCGCCATCACACGTGTCCTTCCCATGGCAGCCCACAGATGCTGAACTGGGGCCTGGACACCTCCCCAAGTGCATGGGGTTAACACCAAGCTCCACACCCTCTCCTGGGTGACGCTGACACTAAGCAGCTACAGGGCCTGTGGCCTGTTCTGGCCGTGGGGTGACTAGGGGCCTGCCTTGGAAGCTCCTCCAGTATCGGGCTCTTCATCCCACAGGGAGAAGAAGTGGGTGACTGTTGGTGACACATCGCTGCGGATCTACAAGTGGGTCCCCGTGACGGAGCCGAAGGTGGATGAGGTGAGTATTTGGGGCTGGCCCTGGGGGAGGGGGTGGAGTGAGGGCCAGGTGCTGCCTCCTGCCTGGGGTCCTGCGGTCCCCTTGGGAAAGGTGGCTGGACTGTGTGTGTCTGGCCCTTGTAGAGGTGGGGCCTCCCCTTGGTGTGGCATCTACTGCCAGTGGGGGCCGGCAGTCAAAGCTCATCTCGCTGTTTCTCGTCCGCAGTGTGTGGGTTCAGACAGGGGTAGCCGCTTCCCCAGAGCTGCACAGCTTCAGGGAGACATACTGTAGTGTCAGGCGGTGCAGGTCCAGTGGGCCCATCCTGACCATGGCCACTAGAGGGCGCTGTGCTGTCCCTTGGCATAGAGGCTTGGTGCCCTCAAGCCTGCGCCCTGCGGAGACCACTGGTCAGCCCCTCTGATTGCCAGTGCAGAGCGTTTTGGGTGATTGCGGATTTCCAGGAGCGAGCAGTTAGCCCATGCATACCTTTTACACCCAGCTCACATCCTGGCTCCACCTTCCTGTAATGTAGACCTTGGGAGGCAGTGGCTTCCAGCCACGGGGAAGACTCGCGTTGGTTCCTGGTGGCAGGCGTTGAAGAAGTGAGCCAGGAGAGGAGGGCTCTTTGCCCCTTGGTCTCTCTGCTTCTCAAGTACATGAGGCTGAGCTTACAGGTCCCACCCAACTGGGGATCTTCCGAGGCCAGGCTGCAGACCTGTGCAGGTGGCACACAGGTAGCCTATTAGGTGATGTTGGCGCCATCTTTGCTTTAGAACATTTCCTTTCTTCAAGAAGGCAAATTGTGACAAAGTGCAGGTTTTCCTTTCAAAACAGTTTTTAAAAATTTCCTGATACGAAAGAGTATGTCATGTCAGAGCGAGCAAGTTCACAAGCTCTCAGAGCGGGGTGTCCACACGCTCCCTGCACACACGCGGTCAGAGCGGGCGTGTCCACACGCTCCCTGCACACACGCGGTCAGAGTGGGCATGTCCATGCGCTCCCTGCACGCATATTATCAGTGTGGTTGTGTTCACATTCGTCTCTGCCATCAGCCACCACCAGCCGCAATTCCATATCCCCCTGAGTGTCCCGTCTTATGGATCCAGGTGCTGCGCCATCCCTGTTCCTCTGTGCTCGTGTTCCTGTGGTTCTGTCTGCCTCTTGTCCACATGTAGCTGCCTCACTCTGGTCTGGAGCAGACCTGGTGCCCACTGTTGTTCGCACCCATCCAGGCATGTGCATCCTTGTCTTGCCCTCAGGCTTGCACCCGGGTGTTCTGGCCCTGCAGATCGCTCCACATGTCTGTGCAAAGTGTGCAATCCTGTGGATGGCTGAGTCCCATCTCGGTAACCAAATGGACCTGGACCGAAGGGTTTTTGTTTTTTTTTTTTTTTTAAGATTTATTTTATTTTTATCGCAAAGTCAAAAGTATAGAGAGAGAAAGAGACAGAGAGGAAGAGAGGAAGATCTTCTGTCTGATGATTCACACCCCAAATGACTGCAACAGCTGGTGCTGTGCCACTCTGAAGCCAGGAGCCAGGAGCTTCTTTTGGGTTTCCCATGTGGCTGCTGGGTCCTAAGGCTTTGGGCTGTCCTTGACTGCTTTCCCAGGCCACAGGCAGGGAGCTGGATGGGAAGTGGGGCAGCTGGGATTAGAACTGGCACCCATATGGGATCCCTGTGCGTTCAAGGAGAGGACTTTAGCCACTAGGCCACCGCACTGGGCCCGGACTGAAGCTTTTTTGACAAGCTATCTGCCCACAGTGAAGCTGTTTCAAAGGGGATTCTATGATTCCTGTCCTAGGGTATTCACCTGTACTCCTGGCTGCTCCCTGGAGCTTCTCCTTAACGCCTTTTCCATTTGGGTTCCTGAAGCCAGCTACTTACTCTTGGAAAAAGACCATCCTTCCCCTGCCCCCCAGTGTGTCGGGAGATGCTGGGCAGATGGAAATGGATGACTGCCTCTTCCATGGCTCACCCGGCATCACCTCACCCCTGCTCCAGGTGGACGGCGACCCACGCTCTCCCCAGAGGAGGAGGAGGCCGTTCCCATTGGCCAGGGCTGGCCACGGGATTCGTACACAACAGGCAGGATTATCTCCTGGGGTGCCTGAACTGGGTGGGCCCCAGGGCCCTCCCCACTGAGTAGGCATGGTCTACCATGCTCTCATGGCCAGATGTGGGCCCAGGAGAGCCCTCCGATGGCTGTTGGTAGGACAAAGCCTTCACACCCCGCTCCAGGGCCTCGTGTCCCCAGCATGCACAGGCAGCTCATTGACTCAGCTGCTGCTCCATTTTCCACTGCAGAAAAACAAGAATAAGAAAAAAGGCAAAGACGAGAAATGCGGCTCAGAGGTCACCACGCCCGAGAACAGTGCCTCGCCGGGGATGATGGACATGCACGGTGAGCTCCCTGCGGCCCAGGTCCCTGTCGCTGCAGCGGCTCCGTTCACATTCCAGGCTGGCCGCAGGAAGACCGAGCAGCACCAGGAGGCCACTGTGCCACAGGGGCAGGCGTGGGGAGGAGAGCCAGCATGCCCCAGCCGGGAAGCACCAAGAGCACAGACACGCTGAGGGTGCTGCTGCGGCCCATGTGTCCAGGGACCTGGGGGGCGATCTTCTCTCTGTCCTGCCTTGGCCCCATCCCCTGGCTCTCCTTTGGCTTTGGGGAAGCTCCCAGACGGCGGGACCCTGGGACCTGTGGCCGGTCACCCTCCCAGTGCTGTCTCACTGTAGGAGGCTGGCAGCTGCTTCCCACCGGTTGATCAGCTGGCCACTGTTTGCTGGCGCCCTAAACTTCTTCCCCTCACTTCTCATGCGGGAGCAGAAGCTCCCAGCATCCTGCATGTGGCTCCGTGGAGCCCACAGCTGCAGGCATCCAGAGTACCCAGCTCAGATCCATACAGGACAGGCCCTCCCTCCGGGACCACGCCTGTCCAGCAAAGCCGCCTCAGCAAGGCAGACCCGAGTGGGCTTCCAGGACTGCTAATGCAGGTGTCTGCCATAGGGCTGTGCCGGGACGGTTCAGGTCTGCAGCCTCTGACGGTGCTTTCCCTGGTGGGCAGCCGGACCCTCGGCCTCCCTCACTGCTCTTCTCCTTGCCTGTGTGGTCCACAGGGACAAGCACTTAATGCCCCTACCTTCTCCATCTCTCTCCCTTGAAAGATTTGAAAGGCAGAGTGTCAGAGAACATAAGAGAGCCAGGCCTTCCACGTTCAACTACCCTAATGATCACGATGACCAGAGCTAGCCAGGCTGAAACCAAAAGCCTGGAGCTTGTTCTGGGTCTCCCGTGGCAGGGAGGGGCCTAAGCACTTGGGCCACCCTTTGCTGCTTTCCCAGGAGCATTAGCGAGGAGCTGGATCAGAAGTAGAGCACCTGGGACTTGAACCAGCACTCCTGTGGGATGTAGGCCCTGCTGGTCACAGCTTAAGCTGCAGTGCCACAGTACTGGTCCCTAAAATGTTTTAATTTTTTACACCCCGGCTCTCCAGGGACTCCTACCTCCGTGTTGTACTCTTGGCCCTCAGAATGGGGATTGATGCTCCCTGCATGTGGTCGTCAGGAGACGCAACCCTGGTGATCTCCAGGGAGCCAGGATACAGGAACAGGGCCATCTGCGGGTGCCAGGCGTCATGTGTGGCCGCCAGCTTGGAATCCCCCAGGCCCCATTTCATAGAGGGAGGAGCTGAGGCCCATGGAAGTGCCCAATCGGCTGAGCTGTCACCTCCTGGCCACTACTGGTGCCAGGGAACCCGCTAGGAGAATTCAGGTCCCCAACCACTAGCTGGGACTTACAGTCAGACTGAAACCACTGCCAGTACCAGGTCGTGGGCACAAGGGCCGTGAACGTCTCCAGTCCCCAGGCAGAGGGACAGATACCCACATTTCATGGTAGAACAGGTGCGGCCAGAACCAAGCTGAGCACACGAGGGCTTGGGACTCCGGGAAAGGAGAGCAGGCCCTGTATCCAGCCTGCTGGGCTGTATGCCTTGGCAGGACCCTGTCTGAGGCTGGGGTCCCCTGGTTCCTGGTTCCCCAGAGGGCTCATTGGAGCTAGTGAACACCACTCCAGATGGAACCCGGGCTGAGCCTCCCTCACACTCCTTGTCTTGTGTAAGGGAGGAATTTAGATCTTGAGGGATTCATTAGGATTGTACACATTTTTTTTTAATGCCTTGGAATTCATAAGAGGCTGGTTTTGTATGAGCAGCACCCCCAGTGGGGTATGTAGCTCAGCTAACCTGTCCAGAGGGCATCCCAGGTGGCTTTTTGGGGTTGCTGTCGGTGCCCAACACGGAGTGGGCGTCCAGGACTGTCAGGCTGTCCAGCTCGTTTGCTCGCTCTCTTCAACACTGCCTTTCAAATACCTAAGTAAGTCTTTAGAGATGCCCTTGCCATGAGCGCCCTGTGTGCTGATCCCTAACTAACTGCCAGCACCCCGTAGGCATGCACCCTCCCAGCTGGCATACCCGGAGCAGGGACCAACGTCCCGCTGGGTTCCAGGTAGCCTGCCCTGCACCTTCCACCACCACCTCTGTCTGTTCCTGTGGGAGACCTGGAGCCATCTGTCCCGGGGACCTGGTCACACCTGCCCTTTCGGTGCCTGCTGTGGGATGGATTCAGGAGGGTCGCCACAGCCTTGCGTGTGATGTTCCCACTGTGGTGCTGTGGGGCTGCAGGACAGCCTGGCCAGACATTCCAGGTGCCCAGGAGTGTTTGAGCACCCACAGTGTCTCACTTGGCCCTGGGGCATCCCTCAGTGAGCCCCCTGGGTGGGGGGACCCAGCCAACTGCCAGGATGCATGGAGTGGGCCCTGGTGGAGTCAGTATGGGAGCCTGAGGGGAGTGTATCCTATGGGATGCCTGGCTGCTGTGTGGGGCCTCACCAGGCAGCTGTCTTCCCCTCGCGCAGACGACAACAGCAACCAGAGCTCGATCGCAGACGCCTCCCCCATCAAGCAGGAGAACAGCGGGAGCTCGAGCCCGGCCCCAGAGCCCAGCTCGGCCGCACCTGGCGACGGCAGCACCGAGGCGCAGGCGGACGAGGCACAGGTGGATGGGAAGGAGCCCCCTGGGGCTGAAGGTAGGACCGGGACCATCTGGGGGAGGTGGGGTTTGTCCAGCTCCCCACTGATGGCCCAGGAGCCTAGGTCCTGCACGTGCTTGGGAAACCCAAAAGAAGCTCCTGACTCCTGGATTCGGATCAGCTTAGCTCACTGTTGCAGCCTTTTGGGGAGTGAACCAGCAGATGGGAGATCTTTCTGTTTCTCCTGTCTCTTTAAATATCTGCCTTCCCAATAGTAATAAACATATATCTTTTTAAAAAAAGGTTTAAGCGGCAGGCGTAAAAAGGGGCCAACACTGCTGTCAGAGGGGTGTACGGCCTGGAGTCGGCACAGGGAATGTGGGGAGAGCAGACCACAGCTTGAGAGGCCTTGCTCGTCTGTGGGGTCGAGGACAGTTCTGTGGGACGGTCACCCCGGAGCCTGCCTGCCGTGGTACCTCAGTGGCTGCCAATGCCAGCTGAGTGCCCCAGTGTGCTCATAGGCGGCCCCAGGCATGGCCGTATGTCCCCACACAGAGCCTCGAGCCATACGCTCCCACAGGAGCTCTGCGTGCTCATCCAAGCGGATGGAGCTGCGACGTCAGGGCTGTGTGGGTCTGCGTGGCCGTGGCCTGGGCTGCTCCTGCAGGGTGGCTGTGGCGGAAAGCAGCTTCCTGCTTGGGTAGGGGTGTGCAGCCTCAGGCCAAAGCGTCCTTGGGGCCTGTCCTGTGTATTGTGGGCTAGTGGGCAGCGTCCGTGGTCACCACCCTCTGGGTGCCAGGGGATCCTCGACGTCCCAGTGGTGACCCCAGTTCGGTTTCTGAGGAATGCCTTCCACTTCTTCTGTACATGCATGCCATGCCCCCCACCCTGTACTGGTGGGAATTGGGGTGACTTCCAGGCCGACGTTGGCTAGCGGAGTGGCCTTCCTGTTGACCTCATTTATGAAATGAGGTGGATGGAAGTTGCATCTCCTCCCCAGATCTCGGCCAGGAAGGGCAGAGGAGGCTGTGTGGATGAAGGGCCTGGGGGCGCTGGGGGCGCTGGGCAGGCATGGGTTGCCCCCAGGTGGCCTTGTTTCTTCCAGGTTTGGGGTCTGCCGTGCTGGGTGAAGCTGGACAGTGCAGTTTTCTTTGGGGTTCCTGCTCCCCTGATTGCTGCTGCATCTTGCTAACTGCCCCGCGTTCTTCCCATGCCCTGTGTGGTCCAAGTGAGGAGCCCCCGGGGGTAGCCTGTGTCTACCTCCCCAGGTGGATGCCCATGGCCTAGCGCCCGCCTGGGACAGGGCGGCTGGGCCACCAGTTATTGACCTTGCTTTGAACTTGTTTACTGCTAAATGAGTTCAGGGAATGACATAATGCCCAAGCTCCCTGGACTAAATTTAGGCCCCAGGAAAATCATTTTCCCTGGGCGAGTTCCAGCTACGTTGCATTCAGAGACATGGCCTCTGCCGAGGCCGCTGTGGGCTTGGGACAGCTCTCCGGGGTTGCTGCTCCGTTAAACAGATTTTTAAGATTTGTTTATTTGAAATGCAGGATGCCAGAGAGATCTTCCATCTGCTGGTTCACTCTCCCCACCATGGTCACAGCAGCCGAGCCTGGGAGTGTGAGGACAGCAGGCAGGAGAGAAGGGTCCCTGCTGAGTCGCCCACATGGTCGGGGCAGGTGTCCACTTGGGTGGGCAGCAGGAAGCTGCGGTCGGCCTGGGCCGGGAGGAGAACTTCATGGCTTGCCCCGTGGGGTTTGCTCCTCCCCCAGGCTCTTGGCTCCCTGCCCTGTAAGCTTCAGGGAAGACTTTAACCGTCACCCCCTCTGACTCCAGCGGCTCCCTCCTTCTGCCCAAGAGGAGCAGGTTGGGGCAGTGGGGAAATCAGGGTCTGAGAAATGACCCAAACAAGTGGATCCGTTTGATAAGTGATTGGGCAATAGAAGGTTTTGGAGATATCTTGCAGGCTCTTGTATGTGTGGAACATTAGAAATGACCCCAAGGGGCTGACTGTGGTGGCGCAGCAGGCTAATTCTTCCTGCTGTGGTGCCAGTTCTAATCCCAGCTGCCCCACTTCCCATCGAGCTGGCTGCTTGTGCCCTGGGAAAGCAGTCAAAGATGGCCCAAAGCCTTGGGACTCTATACCCACACGGGGGAACCAGAAGAGACTCCTGGCTCCTGGCTGTGAATCGGCTGCGGCCCTTGTGGCCAATTGGGGAGTGAACCAGCAGATGGAATATTTTTGTCTCTGTCTCTCCTTTTCTCTGTAAATCTGATGTGACTTCCCATTAAAGTCTTTTAAAGAGAAAAAAATGCCCTGAATTTGCATGTGATCCTGTTTGGGGAGAGGGGCAGTGGTGGTCAGGACATTGATCCAGGGAGATGGACATGGGTTCTGTTAGTGGGGGCTGGGCCAGGAAGACAGGTGGTTTCTACTTTCTATTTTTTCCTTATTTCTATGTGCTGTTACTTTGCTATAACAATCAGAAAAGTCCGCCGGTGTTTAGCAGTGCTGTTCACAGACAAACAGCTCCCAGTCCACCAGAGGGCGCTAGCTGCACACGGCCCACCTCTGTGACTTCCATCTGGGATGTGGAGAGGGTGGGAAGACTCCTGGCTAGTGTGTAGCTTGACTACTTTTTATTCTAAAGATGTGTTTATTGAGGGTGGCACTGTGGCAGAGCAGGTTAAGCCTTTATCTGTGGTCTAGGCATCCCATATGGGTGCTGTTTCATGTCCCGGCTGTTCCACTTCCATCCAGTTCCATACTCATGTGCCTATGGAAGCAGTGCAGGATGGCCTGGGTCCTCGGGCCCCTGAAGCCCTGTGGGAGACCCATTAGGACGTCATCTGGGTCTCCCACATGGGCCGTCTCCTAAGGTCTCCCCGCAGGGAGCTGGGTGGGAAATGGAGCAGCCTATACCCTAACTGGTATTCCTATGGGATGCCAGTGTCACAGGTGGCAGCTTGACTTGCCTCGCAACGCTAGCCTTGCCTGGTTGCTGAAAGTGATGTCAATAGAATACAAGCCCCTGGGCTACAGAGCCACCCTGCTGCAGGTACTTTTTGCCCTGGGCCCACTGGCTTCAAAGCACGTGTGTCTAAAATCAGCTTCTGTTGTCTGCTTTTCCCCAGACGCCTCGGACGAGCAGAATTCCCAGTCTCCGATGGAAAGCACCTTGAGTTCAGAGAAGGCAGACCGGCAGCCCTCCGGGGACTCGGGCCTGGCTGCCGAGGCACTGGCCGCCTCTCAGGTACCTTGCGTGAGGCCTCAGCAGGCGGGCCTGGGGAGCCTCTGGGGTGGTCAGCGGTATGTGGGGTGGGGTCTCGTGGCTCTGGGTTTGTGGTTTTGTTGTTGGACACTCGGATCTCTGAAGCGGGGCCCCGGAGCGTGGTCTGTGTCCTGGCCTGGCTGCTGGGTGGGCACAGGCTCTGCCCTCGGGGGCCTCTAGTGTGGGAGGAAGAGGAGGCCCTTTGCCCCAGCTTCACTTTCTTCACCTTAAAAAAAAATCAGTTTAGGCGCAGCTGTGTTGTGGTGCATCCAGTTAGGCTGTGTGGGCACTGGTGTGTGTCACTACTGCTTTACTTCTAACCCAGCTCCCTGCTAATGTACCTGAGAAAGCAGGGGACGGCCCAAGTGCCTGGGCCCTGCTCCCACATGGGAGACCCAGAAGAAGCTCTGGGCTCCTGGCTTCAGGTTGGCTCTGCTCCAGCCCCTGAGGCCATTTGGGAGGTGAACCAGCAGATGGAAGATCTTTCTCTCTTTCTCTCCTTCTCTCTGTAAATCTGATATGCCTTTCCATTAAAAATAAGCAAGTCTTTTTTAAAAAAAGGAAAGGTTATTTTAAAGGATGGAGTTACAGCGGAGGACAGAGTGAAATACCTTCCATCAGCTGGTTCACTTCCTGAATGGCTGCAAGGAGCAGGAGGAGGCCAGGCCAAAACCAGGAGTCTGGAACTCCATCCCGTCCTCCCAGTCAGTAGCACGGGTCCCGGCACTTGGGCCACTGTCCCCTGGCCTCCCAGGTATACTAGTGGAGAGCTGGATCGGATGCAATGCAGCCAGCACCTCAATATGGGATGTTGGTATCACAGGTGGTACAACACTAGTCCCTCAGGTTTATTTAAGTTATCTGTTTGAAAAGCAGAACAAGACAGAAAGGGCAAGAGATCCTCCACCAACCGATTCCCTGCTCAGGTGGCTGCAGCAGTCAGATCAGGCCAACGCCACGAGCCCAGAGCTCCTCCTGGGTTTCCAGATGACGGGCAAGGACTCTCGTACTCGGGCCACGTCCTGGTGCCTTCCCAGGAGAGTGAGCAGGAAGCTGGAAGGAAGCCGAGCAGCTGGTGCTTGAACCTGCCCTCCATGTGGGATGCTGGTGGACTGAGGCTTAGCCCACCGCACTGTGACGCCTGCCCTAGCTTCCTCGTTTCGCTTTGACTTCACAAAAGCCTGCATTGGGTGGTCCTTGGGGATTCTTCAGCCGAGCCCCTCGGAGTGGTCCGTGCAGATGCAGGACCCCTGGAGTGAAGTAACCAGCCCAGGATCAGAGCTATTCCAGTCCTGGCCCTGAGCTGCCAGCAGCAGCCACATGGGCCTCCCAGCTCTGCAAGGTCCTCATTGAGGATGAGCTGACCCCAGAACCAGGTCTCTCCCCTTGGTCACACCCCCCCCCCTGCACATACCCCAAGAGCTGGGTTTGTGAGCAAGGTGGGTTGAACCCCAGCCCAGCAGACCCAGTGTTTGAATGACACTTTAGACCCGCCCAAGGCCTGGTGTCCCCTCCCCTGTCCCTGTCTGCTGCTGTCCCTGGTGTCCCAGGGACCATCACCTCCCTCCAGCCTTGGCGGCCTGCTCTCTAGGCCTGCCCCCTCTTCTTTCTTTTTTTGAAAGTGAACCATTCACTGGTTCAATCCCCAAGTGGTTGCAACAGCCAGAGATGAGCCAATCCAAAGCCAAGAGCCAGGAGATTCTTCTGGGTCTCCCACACGGGCGCAGGATCCCAAGGCTTTGGGCCGTCCTTGACTGCTTTCCCAGGCCCCAAGTAGGGAGCTGGATGGGAAGTGGAGCATCCAGGACTCACCCTGTCTCCCATGCAGCACCATCGGCAGCATCTTTACTGCCATCTGCTGTGTTGACCAACCCCCCCACCCGCCATCAGCACTGCTTCTGATGGGCTTCCTGCTAACAGACACGCCAGGAGGCAGCAGGGGATGGCTCAGGTACTTGGGTTCTTGCTGTGCCCGCGGAAGTTCTGGATGGGATCCTTGGCACCTGGGCGTTAACCTGCCTCAGCCCTGGCTGATACATCCGGGGTGGAGCCAACAGATGGAAGAGTTTTGTATGTCTCCATCACTTTCCTTCTGGTCATTCTGCCTTTCACATAAATAATAAAGAAAGAGAAAGATCTTCCAGCCTTCCTAATCCTAGCTCCCAGGAACTCAGAAACTGTCCACCAGTAGCCTTCTCCAGGCCTGGCACCTGCTTCATCTCCAGCCTCAGGCCATGCGCAAGCGACCTGGGAGGAGGGCTCCTCCCTGCCCTCCCGGGGCTGACGACGGGGCACAGCCAGGGTACATCAGATGCCCGGCTGGGCCAGGCCAAAGCACAGGCTCCCCAGGCAGGGGCAGCCTAAGCTTCTCAGGCCCCAGGCAGCTGCCAGCCCGAGGAGCTGGTGGGCGGGACCAGAAGGGAGGAGGGGCTGGTCCAGGCAGGAGCCCAGGAAGGACAGAGGATGTCCAGAGGGCGTGGATGTCTCCTGCAGGCAGCAGGGGCTTCAGGGGACAGGGGTCTCTGGGCTGCCTAGGATGGCCAGGGCTGAAGGAATGGACCTGGGTGCCACTTGGCTTGGAGTCCTGGCCTGTGGACATTTGGGAGTGAAACAGACCCCTCCCCGACAGTAACCAAGAGGAAGGGTCAGCACGCCCTAGGGGAGCTCAGAGAGGTTGCCCACGCAGGCATCAAGGGACCGGGTCCTCTTGTGGGCGCAGTCAGACACTTTTCTGCCTCCATCCCTGCCCCGTACACTCACCTGTGCACGCCTCTCCTGTCGCCCAGGATTTGGAGGGCGCTCCACCCTCTAAGAAGGTGAAACTGGAGGTCTCCCAGCAAAACTCTGAAGAGATGTAGGCACCCCGGAAGGCTCCACCCTGTGCCGGGAGGCGCGTCCGCACACCTGCTCCCAGAACAGCGCGGCCACGCGAGCCCCCGCGGGTGCAAACACAACTACTAACGCTCAAGGTTACCAAGTGTAAATCCAAGACAACCCTGACCCGCGTCACTTGGCAGACACCGAGGAACCCTGTGCCGCGGGTCGGACACGCGGGCCTGGCGGGGCCGTCCCTGACAGCTCAGGAGTGACTGCGCAGTCTCGGAAGCCAAGATCACGTTTGTGTTGCTGCTGTGTTGTTTCCCACTTCTCTGTTGAACGAGACGAGCTCTTCGAGGGTGGTACCCATCAGGAAGTCGCTGTTCACTGTTCAATCGATTCCTTCCGCTTTCTTTTTTTGTGCCTTGTGACCTTGAGGTGACCTCTGGCGTGTTTCCTGGTTGTTTTTCGCATCTGCCCTTTACAAAGTGCCCTCTCGGCTAGATGGTTCGGGCACCACGTTGGCCTCTGTCCTCGATGCCCAGGACTCCTTGGGCCACAGAGGGGTAGGGGTGCCCCTGCCCCTCCCCCGCCCAATTTCCAGGTGCAAGGGGCTCAGGGTCACCAGCAGCCTCTGGGGACACAGTCCCCACAAGCTGGCGTCCTCAGGCCCCACTGGGCACTGGACACTGGCCACGCCCTGGCTCCCCTGGGGCCCGTGGATGTGCTGAACCCTTGGACTTTTCCTGGCACTTGACCCCCATCACACCACCTGCATCCCCACTTTGCCTCAGGCCTCCGAAGAGCTGGGTTCCCCTACTGACTGCAGGACGGTCTCCGCAAGATGGTGTTGGGGGCAGCGGTGGCAGGCAGAGCCGGTGCTGAACTTGAACTTTCCCATAGGATGTTGCTTGGATTTCAAATCCATGGTAGCCTGCCACCCTCCGACTCCCCCCCACCAGGCCGCCACAGGCAGGGCTGCAGCTGGTGGAATCCCCACTGGCTTGACAGAAGGCCGTGCACAGCCAGCAGCCGGCGGAGGCTCCTTCCCAGGACACGCGTTGGGCCTTGAAGGCACGGAGGAGTTGGGAAGATTTGCACGCCCTCCAGCCGGGCGGAGACCTGCACCCCATGGGGGTGGACTCTCCTCAGGCGTCCGCTGAGCCGCCCCTCCCCAGGCCAGCTGGGTCTCCTTTCTCTGGCTAACTGGTGCATATTCAGGTACCACCTGTGACACATGGACCCTCCTGACCACCAGGACCGCAGGAAGTGTCCGCAGGCCCCATTTTCTAAGTGTTTCAGAGGAAGAGGTTCCTTCTTTTTTTACGGGAGCCTATTTCCTGCACTTCAAGAAGAATCAAAATGTTCCTGAATTTAAATACCTCATGCAAAATGTCTCCTGAAATAAGGGAAAAAAAAAAAAACTTAAAAAAAATCTCCATGTCTAAGTCAGCGATGCCGAAAGGTTTCTGTCTTAAACTCCTCGGACTAAGCCCCGCACCCTGGGTGCCAGCTGCTGCTGCCTGCGGTGGCCGGCCGGGTCCTGGGTGCGGGTGCCGCTGCCCATGCTACCTCGGTGGACCCTGGGCAGGCGGCTTTCGCTTCACATCCTCCAGCCACGATGCACGTGGCAGCAAGACTCCCCATGGAGGAGAGATGAATTTGCATACTTACTTCCTTTTCTTTTTAGGGGGTGGAGGGGGAATGAGAAGTCACCATCCACATGGTCGCAGGAAGTCAAGCAGGGTGGCAGTGGTGGCGGGAATGGCAGGTGTGGCCAGGCTAGGGCCATTGGCACCCCTTTCCCCAGCGCAGGTGGCCTCTTGGGCCCTCAGAGGCCCGAGGTGGCGCCCACAGCGCCCAGGCTGTCCTTAGTCTTTCTCTGAAGTGCCTGAAGGTAGGAGTGGGCCAGCGGCCATGCCAGGCTAGGCGCCAGCAGCCCCGCATGCCCTACTGGCCGCCCAGGTCATCCACGGAAATCCAGTGCTTCCTCCCCCTCCCGCCCTCGTCCCCCTAGAAGCTAAGACTGATCAGGCGGCCAAGCTGGGGTGGCGGGACTCCTAAGCAAATGCCTTCCGTGGACACCCCTGGCCTAAAGGGCTCCTAGGGCAGACTGTTCCCCCCAAAAAACTTGAAGCTGGGGAAACTGTGGCTACACATTCCGCAAAGTGCTGGCACTTACCCGCACCACCCCGGAAGGCTGCTGAGCCACCAGGGCCACACCTGGCCTCCACGGTGGCTGGGTCCACTGCCCATTCTTGCTGAGGACCTGGTTAGAGGTATAAAGGTGTTTTTCACTGTCACCCAGGTTTGTTTGTTTTCTGGTTTTTGTTTGTTTGTTTTTTGCCCTCTTCCAATTTTTTTTTTTTTTTTTGGTGTGTGTGTGTGTTGTACAGCGGTATAATTTTTCACTTATTTATTCCATCAGTAGATATGGTTTGTACAATGTACAATGATTCCATTTCAGAAAATTAAAAAAAAAAACCCTGAAATCATAGCTGCTTGCTGTGTAGTTTTTTGGTGTTCTACAAAGCTAATGCCAGGTGGGCAATGGCCATGTCTCTCACTGGCTGCCTGGCCTCTGCTGCACAGCTGGCCCCACACACACAGGTCCAGGTGAGCTGCTGGCAGGGCAGGTTCCAGGAGTGGCCACCTGAGCCTGGACGCTCCCTGGTGTGGGCAGGTGAGGGGTCAGGACTGTCCTTTGCCTACTCAGAGCTGCACCTGGCCCGCCTCCAGGCCCCTGCGACCCGTGGCTCCCAGAATCTGGGGCCCATCACCTGTCAGCTGGGGATGGCCCTGGCCAGTGCAGGGGGTTGGGGTGGACTCTGCTGGGACCTCCCCTCCCAGGGCTGCCTGCTGTCAACTGTGCTGGCCTCCTGGGGTTTTTTTTTCCCCTGCCCTTGGTCCATCTAGACTGTTCCAGCTGAAGACTGGCTTTGACCCAGGATATGCTGCCCAGAGGGAATGGGTGCGAGTTTGTGGTTCTGGGAAGTCTGGGATTAATCTCCTGCATTGACCAATCACAGGCCAGCGTTCCCCTCGCTGTGTTGGCTGACTGCTCCCAGCCCTGGTCCTTTTTAACCCATTTCTTTCTTTTTTATTTAACTAGCAGCAGGTTGCTCTGCTAAATCAGCTCCTGATACAGAAAGCTCAACTCAACAAAGTGCATACTCCAGGGCTCTTGTTTGCTTGACAAAGTAAGCTGCTGTTGCTGGCAGTTTGCCCTCCGTGCAAGGCGGAGCCTGGTCCTCTGTTGCTGGTAGACAGCCCCCATCGCAGCCTCGGTGGAGCTTGCCTTTCTCTCCACCCTGGTGCCAGGTCCCTCGTGCTCTCTGAATATCTGTGCCTGGTCCCCGGCACCATCTGTTTGTAGGGCACTAGGACAGAAGGGAGACAGGAGGCCAGCGGTTGGCAGAGGGCCTGAGAGGGAACAGATGGGCAGGTCCGAGTCTGTGCCAAGCCGAGAGTATCAGGGAGGCCCATGGTGGGGCAGAGGATGGCTTGCAAGCCCTCAAGACCTAGTCTGACCTGGTCCCCTCTTTCCTGTTCTGAATAAGGCGTGCAAGCTTTTCCTGCCCAGGTGCAGTTCCCTCTTCTTCCAGGAGGAGTCGCCCGCACCCAGCTCCTAGGAGGGCCGGGTCAAGGTCGGTCCGCCTCGCGTCTGCAATTGGGTCAGCGCTGGGCACGTGACTCGGAATGGCCCAATGGGGGTCGACCCTGGGATTTGTGCGGAACGTGGCCTCCGTGGAGTTCGCTGGAGCCACCTGCACTGGGATGAGCTGAAGGATGGTGGGCCTGAGTTTCAGCCTTCCCTTCCCCTCCTGCTTGACCTCGGGACGTCCCTGCCGAGTGTGGCCAGGCCCTTCGAGTGAGGAGAGTGGGGGTCCCGTATGTTGCCTCGACACCAACCAAGCGTGGAGCGCTTGGAGGAGTGGCCCGGCTCCCTTCAGACAGTTGCACCTGGGCGAGGTGGGCCCGGATTTGACACTCTGACCTCAGCCTGTGGGCTCAGGCAAGTCCCCTGCCCTCTGAGCCCTTTGCTCACCTGCAAAGGGGTGGGGAGGCCTAGGGGAGCTATCACGTCCCCTAGGAGTTCCTGCCCCTGACCCCTGGGTCTCAGAGAACAATGCCTGGGACTTTTGTCAAGGCCGGAGCAAGGCCTGTGCCTTACACAGAAACAAGAGGTGCTGTTCCCTAGGTCCTGGGCCACCGCCACTCCTCGGCTGATTTCTGAAAGGTAGGTGCTTCTGGAGCCCCTTCTTATGGTGGGTGAGGGTCCTGGCTGGCACTTACCCTCCCTCGCTCTGCTTGCTCCCACGTGCAGGCTGTTGCGGGAGGGAGGTCACGGTGAATACTCCAGGAGCTTGGTTCGCCCTGTGTTGTACTCCCAGGGTGGATAAACGCAGCGTCAGAAGGCCACGCGGGATACCTGGATGGGATTGTCCATCCCAGTTGCAGCCCTGGTCTCGGTGGTCTAACGTATGCCCTGGGAGGCAGCAGGTGGAGGCCAGGAACTCGGGTCCCTGTCACTTGTGGATTGAATTTCTGGCTCCTGGCTTGAGCCAAGCCCAGTCCTGCCTGTAGGGGGCCTTTAAGTAGACCAGCAGGCAGAAGATTCATTCTCTCTCTCTCTCTCTCTCTCTCTCTCTCTCTCGTTAACGACATTTCTAGGAAAGTCTGGAGGGAAAGCCGAGCTGGGCTGGGGGCGGAAGCGGGCATTGAACACAGAGAGGGATAAAGATGACACACCTGTGCACCACACCTGTATACACCTGTGCCCCGACCTGGATGCATAACGTCACCTCAGTGAAGCCGTGGAGGCTGCCTACCTCCTCACCTGCCTGTGCCTCAGTTTCCCTAGCGGTGAGCCAGAGGTCACCTGCCCCTGCCTGTACCTGCACTTTGGGGTCATGCAGGCTACAACCAGGATGTGTTCAGAGGGCCCTGTCACCTGCCTAGGACTCCGCTGCTGCTGGGTGCCAGCTACCAAGGTGCCTGACGGGCACCAGTGTGGCAGGGGGACATCTGAGGCCACTGGGATCCTGTTTGGCTCTGCTGCCACATCTGACGTGCCGCGGGCAGGCAGGGCAGCCACGCGCCGTGGATGCTCCAGCCTCAAACTCCTCCCCGAGTGGTCCCCAGAGGCAGTTGCTGCCTTTCAGTCAGCAGGCCTGTTTGTTTTCAAAGGGAGGTTGCCAGACCGCTGGGCCATCCCCGCCCTCCAAGGCCTGTGCTGGGAGGGAGGCCTCGGGAAGGCGGGGAAGACCAGGGCAACCAGTAAGGAACCCCAGCTGATGCCGGCTGTGGGTCTCAGGGCAACAGGGGGGCTCAGCTGCGAGGGGGGGTCACCCTGAGGAGACAGCCGTGTTCCACATGTGAGGCTGTGCTGAGCACACATTTGCACACACGTGGAATGAACCCACACGCTGCACTTTATCACAGAGCTCTGTGACAGTGAATCCTAGAGGAAGTTGTAGCGGAAAAGCTTGGTGATCCGGTGGCTAAACGAAGTTTTCTTTGGACATGCCGCCGTGGAAGCAGCACCTGTAAAAGGAGACATGGTGACATCAGATTTCATCAACGTTCTAAACTTCT